GAAATTAACCTTCTCAATAATATTTGTGTAGATTAATACAGAATATTAGAATGTAAGCTATGCGAGCAGGGGCATTCTTTATCTCTTTTGTACCCTTTATATTAATATGAAAGCTCTGTGAGCAGTGACCTAATTTTTTTTTTTATTGTCACTTTCATGTTAACATTTTCCATGCTGAGACCTTGATTCTTGTGCTGGGCTTGTTTCCAAATATGTAGCTGAATAGTTGCCGTAGCCATGTACAACACCCAGTAGCTAGCTGCAATTACTAATACAGGACTTCCAACTTCAGCATCAATCTCTGCATGGTCCTTGTGATGGACCGCCTTCACTGAATACCATGCCCACTTCTTATTTATGTGTTTTCCCCTGTGTATTGGATGTTTCCCCAATGTATTTCTATGTGTTTTTAGTAATAATCCCTGTTGACCGTTCGGGAGCACTCACGCGAACAGAACTCATTTGTCTCCCGAATGCGGACCACCCCACCCCACCCTCAATCAGAATGTTTGCGCCTGCAACATAAGTGTGAAACTGCAGGGGAAGTAATTAATGAGTGCTCCCCTGGGTGGCCGCCATTCGTATAGGCGAACGCCACCCAGGGGGAGCATTCGTCTCCCGAAAGAAGACGCTTACCTTGCAAGATCTTCGCACCGGGACTCTACAAATGGGTCCCTGAGGTTGGTGGGGACACTGTTGGGGTACTGGCGGTTTGGATCGCACTACCTGCTCCCAACGGAGCTATAATCACTCCCTTCCCCTCCCAGAAGCTGTGAGGCCAGGCTTCACAGCAGCAGAGTCCCGCTGGCCGTCTGGAATCCGTGCTGACCAATCAGGAGTAGGAGCTCCCTTTAAACTGGGTTTGCGCCCTTCTCCTGATTGGTCGGCACGAGTGAGAGCTGACTGGTCGCTGCAGGGTGCAAGCGACCAATCCGAGAAGGAGCTCTCCTTCAAACGTGGTTTCACGCCCTTCTTCCTGATTGGGCGCAGAGACCCCTCTCCTCCCCAAGCGCCGATCGGTGCACATGGGTTTCGCACCCTTTCTCCTGATTGGACGGTGATACCCCTCTCCTCCCTGAGCGCTGATTGGCACGATTTGGTTCCTGCCCTTCTTCTGGATTGTCTGTTACGTGATTTAGGCGCGAAGTTTGAATTCACCGCACTAAGCCAAGCAATGCTATGGAAATAATTGCAGGGATGTACCTCGAACTCCAGGATTTATACGATGATTTCTCGGGATCTGTACATCCGATAGCCCCGCTATTTGCAGAGATCCTAGTTGGGACCCGGGGCTATTTCGTGACATATGTTTTACCTGTGTGACCCCTTCCCTTCCTGGGGCGCGGAGCCCCTAAGTGTTTCCCCATGTATATGATGTTCTTTACTGTTGTATTGTTAGTATCGCAGAGGGCGGGAGATGGTTATCTGTAAACCAACCCCCTCTGTTGAACTGAATGGAGACCCCCTGCGGGGGTCTGTGCATAAAAGCTGTGTGTACCAACAAAGCATTGTCAGTTGTTGTACCTCCAGAACTCTGTCTCGTCCAGTTACTGGGGGGAAATGGGTCTCGTCGTATTCTAAGGGGTTTCTGAATGGCTGACAGAAGGGAATTAGCAGAGATAACCGGTCGGGTTAACCGGGGTCCGCTACAGTCCTCTATGTTGGTTGGCCAGCCGGGAGGATGTTTGTGAGCCTGGTGTCCTTGACGCAAGGCTCAAACACACCTTCAATGGGCAGACCCTTACACTTTTCATGTAGCCCCATCCATTATGAGTGTCACTAGTGACACAAGCTGTAAAATTCCCAACACCCCCTCTGAAGGCCTACCCCATCCTAATTCAATACCTCCCAATGTTAGTAACTGCATTCCAACCTTGACACTATTTTTTAACGCGGCACTGTCATGCCATATTTACCTTTTCCCAATTGCTTCCTTTTCTCTTGCTCTTTCCTACTCTGTATTTTTTTTTTAAATCTATTTCTAACTAAAAACATTAAATAAAGTAGGGACTACTTTGTCTTATGTATTTTTTTACATCTGATATTTTTATATAAAAGGAGGAGCTTAATTAAGCTCCACTTCCTGTATCTAGGAAAGTTTTTCCATAACACCTTTCCCTCCATATTCTTGTTTTGCCTCCTTTCACCCTTTCTGAACTTCCAGCCATTCCCATAGTTTGTTATTGGGTGAAATTAGGTAATTATTCTCGGTTCTAAATTTAATTCGTAAAAATTAAGTTAGTACTCTGTGGTATTGCCGTATAATGGCAATCCCACAAATATTAGGGAGCAATCTATTAAAAAGCTAAATTACCAAAATACAAAAAGTTCTTAATTTTCCCAAATTTGGTCTTTCATCAAACTTTATTAATACTAAGTAAAAAAATAGCTAGTATAAGTAAATAAGGGTGGTTACATTTTCCCTTCTGTCCCTACTTGCTGTGCTGCGATTAGGGACATATATACTAAACAGCGAGCAGCCTCTATGAGAAGCCTGTGATTGGAGCGTGTAAGACCCATGTGACGGGATAAGGAGAAATGGAAGTGAGTCCCAGGAGCACACTGGTAACGAATGTATAGAGCTTCTCCTAAGCATGATTTTTTTCCCCTCCTTCCCCAAGTTAAGCTTGCTCTATAGCCCTATAGCCACAAAAATTACCAGCTCACTAAGGAGCTCTGGGATTGGTTGGCTTGAAACTTTACTGATCACAGTGCTCAGACTGGCAAGTATCACAAATATATACAGTATATATATATCCCTCTTGATTTACTTTGGATTCCCAAGATCCTAACAACCACCCAAAATTGCAGACCCCCTGTCAACTCAACGTCCAGAAAATATTTCTGCCTACCCCTTTGACACTCCACAATGAGAGGGAAGCTAATTTATCATAAAAGCTGAAAAAAAAGGCTAAATAAAAATCCATAACTATCCATCACAAAAAGTAAAAACCCAATTTGCCTTCTCTACCTTGAATGATCAGTAAGGAGCACTGTGAATACTTGGCTTGGAAGATGACTAATTAGAGTGCGTTGCCTGGCAGTAAGGGGAAGAGGCTCGGCAAATGTCTTCTGTTACTTATTTAATCCAATAGGCTGTAGGATGCAGGGTCCCTGAAGATTCCCAATCTACTGAACCCTGTTTTAATCCCATAAGAGACTAATCTCATGAGAGAGTTAACTTATTTATTTTCCAGAGACTGCGATTGCTTGGAAGACTGTGCCATTTTTCTTGGCTCTGTAAGCCACCACAATGGATTTGAAATGAAACAACCGGGAGGCAATTGAAGTGCTTACTTTCAGTTTTAATTCAAAGGATTGAACAAAAATATTGTGTAAAACGTTTAGGAATTGCAACCAATTTCATACACAGCCCCCGTATTTTTGTTGTCATGGGCCCGGTGGTCCTGGGGGGCTCGGACTGCTCTGGGAGTCCTGGGCCCCACATTCCAGATATGCACATATAGATAGCGATTATAGCCATACAATGTAGATAGGGGCCAGCCAGCACTATCTTAACTTTCCAGCAGCTCCTGTGTCTGTCACTCTCGCGAGCTCTGCTGCCGGCAGAGCATTGTCACGGGTTACTATGGCAACGCTCCGCGCGGCACGCAGGCACAGCTCGCAAGAGTTACAGGAGTTGCTGGAAAGTTAAGATGGTGCTGGCTGGCCCCCGTCTACATTGTACAGCGGCTGGCTCCTACCACCAGACCACCAGGATGCAATCTCCCCCCTCCCTAGTCAGGTAAGAAGCAGGGAGGGGGGATAAAATTGTGTTAAATAAATGTAAATACCACCAAAAAGGTTCCGCTTCCCCCCCAATGCAGACCCTATTTTACACATTTACACACACTAAAACCACAACACAAACACACACTGCATTCACCATACACACACTAAAACCACAATGCAAACACACACTGCATTCACCATACACACACTACAATCACAACACACACACTGCATTCACCATACACACACTAAAACCAAAACACAAACACACACTGCATTCACCATACACACACTAAAACCACAACAAAAACACACACACTGTATTCACCATACACACACTAAAACTACAACACCCACACTGCATTCACCATACACACACTAAAACCACAAGACAAACACACACTGCATTCACCATACACACACTAAAACTACAACACACACACTGCATTCACCATACACACACTAAAACAACACACACACTGCATTCACCATACACACACTAAAACCACAAGACAAACACACACTGCATTCACCATACACACACTAAATCCACAACACAAACACACTGCTTTTACCATACACACACTAAAACTACAACACACACTGCATTCACCATATACACTAAAACCACAACACACACACTGCATTTACCATACACACACTAAAACTACAACACAAACACACACTGCATTCACCATACACACACTAAACTTACAACACAAACACACACTGCATTCACCATACACACACTAAAACTACAACACAAACACACTCTGCATTCACTACACAAACACACACACACTACACACACTTTATCTAAAACACACAAAACTACATCCATTATACAAATGTGCAATCTGTATCCATTTTACACACCACACAGACAGGGCAATCTTGTGGGCGGACTCAGAATGGGCCCCATGGGCAGGTCTGTGGGGGCCAGACTTTGAACTGTGTCAGGGGCCCCAAAATTTCTGATGGCAGCCCTGACTACAATGTTTAACATTGCAGCACTAAATGCAATAAGGACACTGCACCAAGACCACTTCAATGAGCTGAAGTGGTCTGGGTGCCTATAGTGTCCCTTTAAATAATAACTAACCTTAAGAAACCATGTCAATGTGGCCTCATCTAAAAATCTCTCTCTCTCTCTCTCTCTCTCTCTCTCTCTCTCTCTCTCTCTCTCTCTCTCTCTCTCTCTCTCTCTCTATCTATCTATCTATCTATCTATCTATCTATCTATCTATCTATCTATCTATCTATCTATCTCAATCTCCATGTAGAAAGATCTATCTGGGGAGAAAGAATTATACTTCTCACAATGCTTTGTTCACGTCGGTTTAAATAAAGTTTTGCTGTCAATGAAAAGCAAGCCACGAAGCAAGTGTGACAGTGTAGGATTTCCTGTAGGGGTAGAGCCATGGAGAGGGAGGGCTTAGACATGGCTGAGCTCTATGTGAAGCCGGGTAAGGACAGCTGGGGCTGCGGGATAGATATCTATTAACTATAGAAAATATTCTCATTTAGTGAAATGGGCATTAGTCATTTGTAAAATCAGCTCTTATTTGCTGCAGCTCCTTTGACAGTTTGTCTTGGCTGGCTGAGCTTGATGGGCATTATAGTCCATAACAACTGGACTGCCAAACTTACCTATCGCAGATCTAGTGGGTCAATGTAAAGAGAATATGGGACACATAATAACATGTATAGGAACTGCTTGGCTCTGAGCGGTAATGGGTGCCATGGGAAATAAGTTTATAGAATTAACCTGCTAAAGTACAAGGTGGCTTAGCTTCATAAGGAAAATTAGACCTTTGGGAATTTTATGATAAATAACTGCATGAGCTGGGAAGAGAATATGTTAATGGAAATTATTCCTGACCCTATAAATATTAATATAGCATACATGGGATGTTAGAGAATTGCTGACTATTATTATTCTACCTAATAATAATAGCTCACAATACAACTTACACAGCAACCAGTTTGTACAAAGTCTTCATATATTACTTATGGCTAATTTTGTATTATGTAAAAAAAAAACACTTATTATAAGCATATACATCTTTTGTTAGTGGAATGTATATATGTTTGAGCGACATCCTGCAATGTGTGCTTACTGTGTGTTGAAAATGCAAAGGGAACACAAAGTGAGAAGCAAGTAAGAGCCTGCCCAACCAAATTTCATTAAATTCCTCTATTTACCAGTACCTGTGGTATATAAGGTCAGGTGTGTGCATTGTCTATAGGCCGTAAGTGGTGCTAGCCTATGGATGGGATAGCTTTTGAGACCGCAGTGATGGGAGTCTCCCTCTGCATACCACCGTGAGTTGCAGGTCACTTGGCCAGTACTAACAAACAATTAAAAAGTATTAGAAAACAGCCCCAGATGAAGAAAACTAGTGACAGACAATTCAGCGCTATACACACAGTTGACGTCATAACATGCAGAAAATCTTGCCTTTACTTTGTGGCTTTTTGTGTCCAGGTAATGCACAAGAAAAAAAACAAAAACAACTGCGACAAACTACTTAAGGGTCACTGGGGAGATGTGAAAGACATTCCTTCACCTCTGTTTTGTAACACACTCACAATTACAGCACTAATAAGAAGAAAAACTGTATATTTTTATTTCTATTGCTAAGTTGGGTGCCTATAGCAAACAGGCACATTTATAATGCTTACTGGAGACAACCTGCTTCCTTGTAGTCTATGGGGATGACACAGCGTTGAGTTTTTGATCTTATGATCACAGGAAGATTTTCTGTTACCACTCGACCCTGGATTTATTAACTACTATTGTAATAGGTCCCTGTCAAGGTGCATGCAATCTGTTCTTATATCCCAATAGCAGGACTTTTTGCTTAGTGCCACTTGGAGCTAGAGTTATGTAGGTCCGTGTTGTATGTACAAGTATGCATATAGACTGTAGGTGGAAATGACACCTAAGTCAAGCACTACCCAGCAGTAGAAGTGGGAGTCTGGAATTAAAGCCATATTGTATTTTGCTGCTTAAGGGCTTTTTCTTGAATAAACATGCTTCTTGTTACACCAGACCTCCTGTTGTAACATTTCACTACCACCCACAGCCAACTCTGATTCATTGGCTTGAACTTCATTTCCTTTTCATGAGCTAACCCGATAGAGATACATGTATCTTTTGAAAAAGTGACTTGGTCATAACCTGGTTAGGGACACTATCAAGCCAAAATCCCTCTTAAAATGTATAACCAGGCAAGCACATATGACCAGAGGGTAATTTGGTTATGATGTAATAAACTATTGACCTATGTAATTTCACATACAGAACAATCCAAGTTCCAAAATCAGTATTATACCACTACTTTGTATACTGTCAAGTATCGACAGTTTCTGATACAGTGAATACTTTTTGTTATGTGAATGAGCAGTTTTTAAAACTTGCCCCTTTAAAGTGTTACACTAGTTCTGTCTGTTATCCTTTTTCTCTTTTACGTTTATGCCAAAAATGGAGCAATATAGTAAAAGTACTCATATGCCATACTTATCTTTTAAATAGGTAACCAGGAGAGGGGTTGGAATGACCCACCCCAGTTTTCATATGGGCTGCAGACCCAGCAGGGAGGTGGAAAACGCACACCACTTAACAAGAGAGTACCTGCTCCTTTGCATGGTTCCCCAGCAGGTAAGCAAGAATATGTAAGGTGGGGTGGTCGCTAAAAATTTAATGTATATCAAGCATGCAGTAATTCTGCCATTTCTGAGTTAAATGTATATCTCATGGATCATGATCTCAATGATATAATGACATCTGCTGTCATCACTATTATAGTGCAATGTTTTATATTGCAGTGTTAAACCTACAGGACTATAGCACCCAAGCCACTTCATTGAGATGAAGTGGCCTGGGTGAGTCTAGTGATCCTTTAAATATTGTATTGCCAATCTTAAGCCACATACATAATTTGGGTTTATATCAAACGTTGTTAAAAAAGGAGAGTGTAGGGAATATAGCCATTTCATCTCATAGAATTGGTTATAGTACCTGGAATCTTATGATACTGTCCCTCTATTAAACATTAAACCATTTGCAAACAGCTTAAAGCAACACTATAGGGTCAGGAACACAAACATATATTCCTGACCCTAGAGTGCTAAAAACACCATTTAGGTGTCTTGCCTCTCCAGAAAGGGTTAAAACTTACCTTATTTCCAACTCTCCAAGGGTCTGCAGGTGCTTGCCCTTCCCCCAATCCACCTCTTTGGCTGACATCATCAGAATTGTGGATCTCAGCCAATTCATTGCTTTCCCACAGGAAAAGTATTGGATTGGCTAAGAAAGCCAAGGAGGCTACTCCATGTAGAGTGTGGAGACGCTGAACGGCAGTGCACGCCCCCAGGAATCACCTCCAGTGGCCACTGGAGGTGTCCCTAGACTTTAATGTAAACATTGCCTTTTCATTAATCTGTAGATCTACTGGTGACTAGTGTCCCTTTAAAAGAAAGGAATGCACACCATCTGATACAATAGTATCTATCTATATATATTTATTACAATACAAATACAAGCCATACATACAAAATGTAACAATATAACAGTGACCAAATAGGCTAAACAACTCAACAAATATATTTACCAAATTCCACAAGCCTATATGGGCAGAAACAAGAGTCACAAACAATCCCCCAACGTTTCGGCTCCTCCTGGTAGCCTTTATCTGATAGCTGATAAAGGCTACCAGGAGGAGCCGAAACGTTGGGGGATTGTTTGTGACTCGTGTTTCTGCCCATATAGGCTTGTGGAATTTGGTAAATATATTTGTTGAGTTGTTTAGCCTATTTGGTCACTGTTATTTTGTTACATTTTGTATGTATGGCTTGTATTTGTATGGTAATAAATATATATAGATAGATAATATTGTATCAGATGGTGTGCATTCCTTTCTTTTGAGTATTCACTTTATTGTTATTGGAGGGAGTACCTTTTTGGAATAGCACCCTTAATTGAGGTGGTGGTTATATTAAGTGTCTCTCCACACGTTACAATTTGTATGACTAGTGTCCCTTTAACACTAAATAAGGATCCCATGCCACCCATATCTTAGTCAACACTGGAGGCAACAATTACACACTTCCTTCTAACCATACCAAGTCATCCCAGCAATGATAGGCTTAAAAGCAGTCAACTGACACTCTCAGCCTATCACAGCTTTCCACTACTGATCAGGCTAATGCTTCTACATTAGCCTAAGCAGCACAGTGGGGATGGGCTGCTGGGGACTCTTGTTTAGCATTAAAACATTCAAAATGGGTAAATGCTAAATGGAAGGACAGCACCAAGGACTCCATACACTATAGCCATTTCAGTGAGATGAAGCAGTGATATTACTTGTAGTGTCCCATTAAGAATCCCTTTCTTCAACTGTGCATTTAAATATATAATTTTGAATCTTTGCTGCTACTGAAATGTTCCTTAAGGTGGCTCTGTCTCATTCTGCATATTTTTCAAAGACCTCTGATGCTGAGTGCTCTGCTTGTAGTGCGGTGGCACTTGCTTGCAGGTTTTACTTATCTGAACCTGTCCCCCGTAGCCACCATCTTGATCCGATGCATCCTCTTCATCTCCTTGTGCTTCATTCTTCAGGAGCCACTGTCAGCAGTGATGTCTATGGAGGATCCCGTAAGACTGTTGGAGCCTCAACAGACAAAGGCTTTTACCACTCTGCCATCACTAGTGACGGACGCAGTCTTGACAAAGCTTGACACCAGTAGCTTTGTTCAGAAGTGTAGGAATATATAAGACAAGGTAGTCTCTACTTTGTCTTATGATACAGGGAGTGCAGAATTATTAGGCAAATGAGTATTTTGACCACATCATCCTCTTTATGCATGTTGTCTTACTCCAAGCTGTATAGGCTCGAAAGCCTACTACCAATTAAGCATATTAGGTGATGTGCATCTCTGTAATGAGAAGGGTGTGGTCTAATGACATCAACACCCTATATCAGGTGTGCATAATTATTAGGCAACTTCCTTTCCTTTGGCAAAATGGGTCAAAGGAAGGACTTGACAGGCTCAGAAAAGTCAAAAATAGTGAGATATCTTGCAGAGGGATGCAGCACTCTTAAAATTGCAAAGCTTCTGAGGCGTGATCATCGAACAATCAAGCGTTTCATTCAAAATAGTCAACAGGGTCGCAAGAAGCGTGTGGAAAAACCAAGGCGCAAAATAACTGCCCATGAACTGAGAAAAGTCAAGCGTGCAGCTGCCACGATACCACTTGCCACCAGTTTGGCCATATTTCAGAGCTGCAACATCACTGGAGTGCCCAAAAGCACAAGGTGTGCAATACTCAGAGACATGGCCAAGGTAAGAAAGGCTGAAAGACGACCACCACTGAACAAGACACACAAGCTAAAACGTCAAGACTGGGCCAAGAAATATCTCAAGACTGATGAAATGAGAGTGAGTCTTGATGGGCCAGATGGATGGGCCCGTGGCTGGATTGGTAAAGGGCAGAGAGCTCCAGTCCGACTCAGACGCCAGCAAGGTGGAGGTGGAGTACTGGTTTGGGCTGGTATCATCAAAAGATGAGCTTGTTAGCCTTTTCGGGTTGAGGATGGAGTCAAGCTCAACTCCCAGTCCTACTGCCAGTTCCTGGAAGACACCTTCTTCAAGCAGTGGTACAGGAAGAAGTCTGCATCCTTCAAGAAAAACATGATTTTCATGCAGGACAATGCTGCATCACACGCGTCCAAGTACTCCACAGCGTGGCTGGCAAGAAAGGGTATAAAAGAAGAAAATCTAATGACATGGCCTCCTTGTTCACCTGATCTGAACCCCATTGAGAACCTGTGGTCCATCATCAAATGTGAGATTTACAAGGAGGGAAAACAGTACACCTCTCTGAACAGTGTCTGGGAGGCTGTGGTTGCTGCTGCACGCAATATTGATGGTGAACAGATCAAAACACTGACAGAATCCATGGATGGCGGGCTTTTGAGTGTCCTTGCAAAGAAAGGTGGCTATATTGGTCACTGATTTGTTTTTGTTTTGTTTTTGAATGTCAGAAATGTATATTTGTGAATGTTGAGATGTTATATTGGTTTCACTGGTAATAATAAATAATTGAAATGGGTATATATTTGTTTTTTGTTAAGTTGCCTAATAATTATGCACAGTAATAGTCACCTGCACACACAGATATCCCCTAACATAGCTAAAACTAAAAACAAACTAAAAACTACTTCCAAAAATATTCAGCTTTGATATTAATGAGTTTTTTGGGTTCATTGAGAACATGGTTGTTGTTCAATAATAAAATTAATCCTCAAAAATACAACTTGCCTAATAATTCTGCACTCCCTGTATATTTTGACTTGGTTTTGAATTTCAGTGAAATCTTTGCGGGATGGGGATAGTGACAGAGCAATGAACCCAATTTATGTGCCTCTATACTATACAAATATGCTAGTTTACTAACTGGGTTACTCACTAAAGTGCAAATTGTTCTGTAGAATTTCAAATTTAAGGCAAAATAGCAAAATTGGAAACATGAAACTTTGAGAATTTTTACAGTTTGGATATTTTAGCCTTAAATTTTAGATTCACTTTGATTCTTGATAATTCTCACACCCTGTCAGCATTATAATTATGTTTTATTGTGTCACTGAAGAAATACTGTTTTATCTTAGCATCAAACTATTTTAAAGAAATATACTAATGGATATACCTCAAGTTTTGTTTTTCTTCTTTGTCCAGAAATTCCTCCTGGTAAACTGCTTCTTCACAATGTTAAGCGCCTGAATTATTTTATTAATAGTTATGATTTTAGCTATTTATGTTTTCCTACCAAACATCACACTTCCCATTTGCAAGGAGTGGCTCATGTATTCATATTCTGTGGTTATGAGATCTATTGTTGAAAATAGAACATCATGTAAGGAAGTGGAATGACCCTGATGATTGCTCCAAAACTGTTGTCTATTAATTACCTCCTTTGTATTTCTCATGCGTATGAAATGTTAACATGCCTTTTAATTTCAGTTCCTGCTGCGTCCTCCATTCCTTCTTCCACACCACCAAAGATCCCACCACCTTGTTCTACGAGCACTTTTGGACCTCCACCTGTAGGGCAAACTGCATTACCTCCTAAAACAGAGGCATTGAAGTCTTGTACCAGTCAGACAGAAGTGGCGTGTCACATTGATGTGCAGGACATTTTAACTCCATTGCAAAATACGCTGGAAGCCTGCAGGGATTTAATCAAGGTAACTAAAAACAATTAATGGGTAAAAGTATACAAATATTGAATACTTTATTTTATTTGCTTTAAAAGGAAGGGATGCATATTAAACAGAACTTTTATCAGCCCCTATGGCTCTATTTAGATGCTTTTATTTAATCTGTATGTTGATTGTAATATTTTAACCTGGTGTGCTTCAACCTCCCTAGAAACAAGTGTTCAACGATATTAGCAAGAGATTAACCATGTTAGAAGAAATGTGGAACAGTGGAAAACTGTCCCCACCCGTACACAAGAGAATGATCGTCCTAGTAAAAGGTAAATATGGATCAGTACATGGAATGCCAACAAAGTTTAATACAAAACCCAATAATTTAGATTTTCAATAGGTTAACCCCTAAAGAAACACTAAACCTCTAGTTGAATTTTGGTATATTTAATAGATGATAATCTTAATATGAATATGCTACCTGAATGCTGTGCAGAATGACATACAGTGGAACCTCGGAACTCGAACTTAATCGGTTCTAGAAGGCTATTCGAGTTATGATTTGTTTGAGAACCGAATCAACATTTCCCATAGGAATTAATGTACATTTGTTTAATCCGTTCCAGACCCCCCAAATTACATGGATGGGGATAGGTAACTGTTCTTCTGGCATTACATACAAAAGCATATACAATGGCTGTATCAGGTTCAAAATATCTAATACCCCTCTTTCCTCTGCTTGTATCCTTATGTCCATAGTCCCTCTTCCCTTACTCGTGTCCCTTTGTCCTCTGGTGTCCTTCTCCTCATATTTTCCTCTTTCCCCTTGCATAATAATTCTGTCCACATCCCTTCACCCTTTACTTGTGTGCCTCTGCTCTCCGGTTTTCCTCTATCTATATTCCCCTCTCTCCCTTTACATAGTCCATCTGCCCATATTTCTTCATCTCACACTTGTATACCATGCTTCCCCACACTTGTGTCCCTCTGTGAATGCCGCGGGTACCAAGGATCGTTCGCGTACCAAGACAATTTTGTTACGCTAAATTTTTTTTACTTCCGACTTGTTCGAGAATGGGAACATTCGAATTCCGAGGTTCCACTGTATATCTTTGCAGAGGCACACTTATTTTGATTGACTGGGCCCTTTAGACATATAAGTTCTGTCCCACTGCCCCATATCTTGCAACATTCTAGACCAGTGGATCACCAACAATGCAGCTTTGTCAGTATCTCCATTGGAATAGAAAAGGTAAATGCATTAATCCTGGATTGTTTGTGGGCCACAAGGACTGGTTTGGAAACCACTGGTCTAGACATGACGTCAGTCCAATCCAGTGTTTCTCATAAAAATGTAGTAGATATACCCCAAATTAAAACATACATTTATTTTATTGGCGATATACCCAAGCACAGCTTGCAAAAGCTGCAGTTTTCTAGTCTTCTGATTTTGCAATGCCTCCCTTCTAACCCCGCCTAAACTTTCTGTGGCTGTCCAATCACAGACTTCCCAAAGTAGCTCAGTGAGCACTCTTTGCAAGGCAGGTACTCTGGGCAATTACTGCATCTTGCTTTTAGTATATTGAGCTAACGGGGGAGGGAGAGAGGAGGCAGGGGAGGGGTTTAACAAGGTAAATTTATAAAAAATGTCAACTTCTATTGAAATCAGCATTTTTTGTATAATGAAAAAAAGAGGACACATTCTTCACACAAAAAGCATTTTTAGCAAGCTAAAATGTTTTAGGGATCTGGAGTGTCCTTTTAACTAAACACAGGCACCATATTAATCATCTCTCCTCTGAAAATGTTTTCATCCTTTTAGATTGTGAGCTTGTTTGAACAGGGCCCTCTTCACCTCTTGTCTCTGTAAACATTACCTTTTTTTTTTTTAACATTTGTTTTAGATCCACAAGGTTTTATTGTAGAGCACTAAAGAATATATCGGTGCTGTTTAAATTATAATATTAATAGTGATATGTAGTTTTTACTGTATCATAAAATACTTTAGGACTGCATTAGTATATTTATTAAAATGTCGTCATTGTGAACTAAAATTCTTATCAATGAGAAAACAAAAATCTGACAAAAAGATAAAAGGAAGGAAGGAAATCTTTCCAAATTAGTGCAATATATGGAGAATATCACCTTATTGTTGCTCATACCGAAAAGGAGCAACATATACACTGCCCCCCAAAAAAAGCCTACAAAACCACCATGTTTTTGGTAGATTTGTAAGCTAAAATTCTTATCAGTCCCAGCCAACCACTGAAGGTTGACTAAAGTTATATTTCACATTGGCTATTTAATGGCTTTCAGACAGCTGCTTGAGGCATGTTTTCTTGCATGTGTTAACATTTGCTGTTTCTTAGTAACATCAATATTATGCATTTCCATTAGAAAGGGACATGTTTGTGGACAAAATCCATTAATTGGAATTTCCCTTTAATAAAAAAATGAAATAAACTTATTGTTTTACTTTTTATAAGAACTGTAAACAATATTTGATTGAATCCTCATACTAACCACTAAGTTGATCCCTTTTGATGGTTTATTATTAATGCATTGTTCATTGTATTCAATGTTAATGGCAAAGTATTATTAGCAAGATGCACAGCTGTAATCATTAAAGAACCACTATAGTGCCAGGAAAACAAACTCGTTTTCCTGGCTCTATAGGGTCTTTGGGTCCCCCTCCTGCCGGGCTCAAGAGGGTTAAATTCTTACCTTTCTCCAGCGCAGGGCTCCCTTGGCGCTGGGGACTTTCCTCCCTCTTCCAACATCATCCGCTGAATGCGCGTGCGCAGCAAGAGCCGCATGCGCATTCAGTCATTCCATAGGAAAGCAATTCTCAATGCTTTCCTATGGACGCTGGCGTCTTCTCACTGTGAAAATCACAGTGAGAAGCGCAGAAGCGCCTCTAGCGGCTGTCAATGAGACAGCCACTAGAGGCTGGATTAACCCCAATATAAACATAGCAGTTTCTAGCTGCAGGGTTAACCCTACATGGACCTGGCACCCAGACCACTTCATTGAGCTGAAGTGGTCTGGGTGCCTATAGTGGTCCTTCAATCTTTCTGATTTCTAAAATGAGAAATGGAAATTAGCGCATTAAAAAAGCAAATGAAGCAAAACCTAGTCAAGTGATTGAAAACAATTTACATCCAAGACCACCAATAAATGTAAATAGTTTTTTTTTTTTTAGCTCAACATGGCTATATATCTTGTGGACTGAGGTTTTTAAAGGGAGTCTATAGTGTTAGGAATACAAATCTGTATTCCTAACACTAAAGAGCCCCCCACCCCACCCCCCCAGCCAATAAAGGGTTAAAAAAAAACTTTACTTACTCACCTGATTCCAGTGCCAATGTCCTCGGTCATCATCCAACATGAAGTGGGGACTAATGCGCAATGCTTTCCTATGGAGATTTTACTGACGCTGGATGTCCTCATGTAGTCTGGTAAAAAAAGTGCCTTTAGGCTGACATAGTGCTGCAATGTAAACATTGCAGTTTCTCGAAAACTGCAATGATTTACATTGCAGGACTAAGGGGGACTGGGACACTGCACCCAGATCACTTCAGTGAGCTAATGTGGTCTGGGTGCCTATAGTTTCCCCTTTAAGCAGTAAAATGGCCTTTTCCGGTATTACAAAAGATGTTCGATTTAGGATATGTTTTATGGGGCGCTGTGTAAATAGTAATTCTGGAGGAAATGCATATGGTTTATAAAATGAAAAATACTAACAAAAATGTATTCATAGAAGAAAGTGGTGCGAACAGTAGGAACATTCCATTAGTTTTAATAATCCCCATTCTCCCTAAAGCAGCTGAAACCAATTATGTTGTGGAATGTTTATGTTTACAGATTCATGTATATTTTATATAATATGGCAATTAAAATATATTTTCTCAGAGTAAAACAAAAATTAAATAATAAACTTGTATTTTTAGAACTGAAGTGTCAGAATTGGGATACAGCAGATGAAATTCATAGGTCTCTTATGGTGGATCATGTGAACGAGGTCAGCCAGTGGATGGTTGGAGTAAAGCGCTTAATTGCCGAAGCAAGGAACTTACCCACTCAATCTCTTGCTGCAAAAGATGAAATGCCAGATGATGGCACTGAGGATGACACTACTCAGTAGATTTAAAGAAGGTCTCTACCTCTATATTGCAATGCAATCTCTAGGCAGTATCAACACAATTGTTTCCACAAGAACTAAGTTCATGTTTTGCTATTGATTTTAGAGTTCTGTAAAATGGATATCATTGTGCAACCCCTTCTCAAATGATACTCTGTAAATTTGTTGGTATTTATTAATTGCTGAAATGGGATGATAGTTTATTTTTCACCAAATTTTAAGGAAGAAAAAATACTATCGTTACACATTCCTTATGTTATTCAGTCCTATTAACACTAACAGGAATACCCACAAATATTTTTTTTCTTTTTCTAACAAGCAGTTTTGATTGTTCTGTCATTTTGAATACATTTGTTAACATTTCTGTAAAAGAGAATCAAGTTTGATTTTGTTTTATTTAATTTGTAGTTTACATATACAATTTTAGATATCCAGTGGATTGGCTTACAATCGCTGTGGCTAGGAAATTAACTTCTTATATTAAAAGTTATTGGCAGGAACATTGCAACAGAATACAGAGCTTTGCGGTGGGAATCAAGGTTCCAATAGACCAGTTCCCACCAGAAAAAGAAGTCAACATTACTGATATCCTTGTCTTTCTTCTTGCTTGGGAAGAACATTTTTCAGGGAGGAAGGAGGCTTGTTGGTGAAATCAAGGTATTAGGCAAACAGAACTAAGCACCATAGGATTTTGTATCCTTTGACCAATACCTGTTGGACTCAAAACCCGCAGACTAACCATAATGGGTATCTACATGTGGCTGTGTGTTTTTTTTTTTGTGATAAAAAAAGATGTGCTAAAACTAAATACTAGCTAGTAATCCCACAATCACCACCCTTTCTGGTTTGGCAGAGACAGTCCTGAATAGAGAGGTATATACAGAGTACTAAGATTACCAGTATATCTTGGATAGCAGGGTATGGGAGTAGGCAGGGGGGCAGGGAGCGTTGCTTGCAAGGGAGAAACTCATTACGTCTGCAGCCAGTCTGCTGATGCCAGATGTAAATTTTGCACAGAATTTACATTAGGCAGCTCTGAACGTTGTCACATGTGCCTGTGGTACAACTGGCTCCCGACACAAAACTGCAGATTACCTTGTATCAGCAAAGTTTCAAGCTTAAACGCTGCACATACAGACTCTTACCACCATGCCCACTTATGATAAACTGATCATGGTGGTTGAAGAAACCCTTAAATGTAAATTTTCAAACGTGTTTTATTTTGGGGACATTCAGATCACGCGTGTCCCACTACTGTAAACACCCCATATTTGTGTTCTGCTACTGTTCTCAATTATACACCACATGTATACATTTTTGCCTAATCCTGACTCTAATCCTACTTCAGATGGATTCTTTCTGCAAACGTCCAGACTGACATCAGCAGAGGGATTTCCCAGCTCACACAGTAAAGAACGCTTGGTGAGCTCTCTATAATTGTGATTGCAGCATGAGGGACATTTCCCTGTCATGCTGCAGCTCTTCTAAATAGTGATCAGTGCTGGACTGCTTGCAAAGCCCAGCGCTGATCATTGGGCAAAGGGGCATGCAGGGAGAACTCACCAGGGGGTATTACGTAAATCGCTCATTCGCAGATTTTATAAGGATTAATGGGACTATGGGCAATGCTCACTTTGAGTGCTGTGCATAGTTAAAATGTCAGCCTGGAGCCACTAGTTTTAACTCAACGAGTTACCCAAGATGCCAAGATAAACATTATGTTGTAATCTGCAACACATGAACTTACTACTATTAAAAACCACTGGTGCCTCACATTGTTAATTTCAGGAACTCCCCGATCTGTCTGTTACGAATATTGGCCTAGTCTTAGGCATGCAATCAAGCTCTCTAAATAAGATAGCCCCATGGAATATTCTTACTACAGGCTCAAGTTACACGAAAGTCCTAGCATTACATCAAACCCGGTATTTTTCGCTCTGTCAGTCTCAGGCTGCAGCACAAGCTCGCATCGTGTTCCTCTCGGATTTGGTTCTCCTGTGAGCCGACGTCGGAGTCCCTGGAGAGGATGGTTCTTCTCCTCCGGACTCGAAGCTCAGGTGAGCAGTTGCGGGGATCAGACGCTCCAGCTAGGCATGGAGATGGGAGCAGCAGACGAGAGAGTTTTACCTGGATGATTGCTGTGCGCCTCAGTAGCATGGCTCAGTATCGGAAACAGAGGCTCTCCAGCACCTTCTTGCGTGTTTCAGCTTGTAGGTAAATTTGGTGAATGGCCACCATTTTGGTAGCAGGGCGCAGGAATCTGAATAACACGTTAGCTTGATTTCCTTCTCCTTAATGTTGGATCCTTCCAGTGGGGACTGGGATGACCCCCACCAGGAAGGGGATAGGGCCTGTGTGAGAGCTGGAGAGGAGAGCAGGGCAGCAGCCGTCATAGAGGGGGATTATTGCTGTAAGTGCAGCTTTAATGCTATATGTTTGAGATTAATTTTGCAAGTGTGAGTTTAATGTAAGTTGGTGCTATTTAAATTCCATTAATAATAATAACACAACACTAATGTGTGTTAGTGCTGCAGTTGAGTCTAGAGACGAGTGTGTGTCTGGAAGTAAGGATCTTTCCCTGTGTAGTTTGGGAGGTACAGATATGTGTGTGTGTACTCAAGTAAGTAAAGATCTGCAGCCCCCATAGTAGAAAATTACTTGCCCAGTGGCCTGGTAATTGTTTTATACCCTCTTATGATTCTCTGGGAATTGTAGTTCAGCAACATCTGGAATGCCAGGGTTTGGAGAACACTGCTGTTGATAGAAAAATGTCTCATCCCTAAGAAAAATGCGTGGAATTAAGAGCAAATGTGTAAAATGAACTTATAGCTCCTCCCCCTCTCCTATTGTAAGCATTGCAGAGCTTAACTCAAAAAAAGCTAACAGAAGTTCATTGGCTCTCTGGCATTGGTAGTGGAAGCAGGGAGCAACGCCTGGCGGACCCCAGGTAAGCAAAGTGGTAGAAAAAAAACCATATTTCTTACAATAGAATGGCACCAGGGCATTCCTAGCACCATAACCACTACAGCTAGCTCTTCTGGTTGTGGTGCTTGAAGTGTTCCTTTAAGGACCAATTCCCCATTGACTTGGCAGACACTATCAAAGACTGAGATGGTAGGAGGGCTGTTATTCTAAAAATCTAGCCTGACCTCCACATCAGATGTAGAGGCAGAAAGTAAACTATATGGTCTTTTAATAGGGGACACTAAACTCTTCCAATAGATTTACTGAACTCTTCTAGCCCTTTGATTCTTCCTCCTGTGAGACTAAGCCAACTAACATGGCTCATAAACATATTTAGAACCTAAAGAAAGCCATGGGGACGGTCTTAAATATCTGTGAAATATAGCTTCTTGAGGCGTATCAGACTTACAGTATTTGTATTACAACTCCCTTCCTCTGTTGTAGAGGGCCAAGTCACAGGCTCATGGACCATTCCTTACAAAGCTAAGTGCCTACTTTTTCATAAAAGTTTCCAGTTCCGTTTCTGGTTTCCTGATTTTTGTGTAATAACATCCAGGCATTATTCTCCATAATACAGAATTTGATGTTCACTTTGAAGTAAATATGCTGGTAACAGGGGCAGCACTGTGCATATATAAAAAGATTAGTCACATTTTTTCTCCTGGGCAGAAACTGTTGTCAGTTTAATTTAACCCTCTTCGGAAAATGATATGGTGGGGGAGTGGCTGAGGAGACAGAAACAGGACAACTCTGCCATTGATTTAGCATTGACAGAATTTAGCAAACTACCTGGACTGCCATCTGCAGGGATTATCTAGGACTATTCTGTGTATTCCTAAACAGTTCTTCCAGCAGGGTTGTGTAGTCTTCTGATTTACCATGTCTTTTAATTGAGTATTCTGTGTTCTGATCTGCTCTATAGCTGGAGTAATCACCTGCAATTCTACTTAGAAAAACATGCAAGCATAGGGCATACAAAATAGTAATTCAATAAAATGGAAATACATGCATGTGATTTTATTTCCAAAAATTTTGAGTTGAACCATTAACATATTCACATAGATATGCTAAGCTTTCCTTATTTTGATATCCAGAAGGATAATTTAAAATTATAAATAGTGCAGTAAAATGTCCTTAAGGCAATACAATTTCTATTAACATTGGTTTATCCACAATGATGGATATGTCACAATTATTATTATTATTATTTTTTTTTTTTTTTTCATGAACATGATTCTTAGCTGGCGACAGGTTTATTGCTGGTGAAATCACCAATTGTTAGGTATCAGATGAAATGCTTCATGAAGTGTTGAATTTTATTTACATTTTTGATTTACCCATTTTTATTGCTTTTATCGTGTTATAGGTTTTGGCATTTTATTTTCTATTCCATATTAATTAATCCTCTTACCTAGATACCAGCTCCTGGTATATTGCAAAGTTGTACGTTGTGTACTTTGTTATTGCTAGTTTGCAAGGGTTTCATGCTGACTCTTTTACACCAGTGAATTTAGATTGGCATTTAGTAGATAATTTCCTTTTTCCCTTACTCCACTAGAAGGAGCTGGCTCATATTCTCAACTCACATCTGATGTTTCCTGTGTGTTGCTTCCATCTTCTGGTTCATTAATGTACTCTTGTTCAGGATATATGAGGAATCCTGTAAATAAACTATCGGTCCAGTACGGGTCATAAAATAATCCATTCTGCTCTGAGTAAAAAATCTGCAGCCACACTTCATCACCGAGTTTTAAAGGAAGAATGGTGGAACCAGAAGCAACGTCATGATTTCCAGTATTGGCATCAAATGTCTTTATCTTGTATTGACCATTATGTACCAATCCAATAGCTAAATGCTTGTTTGCCAATGTAATGTCATATGTGAAGAAGTAGATGCCTGGAACACTACATATATATTTCCCACTGGATGCATTGTAATGTCCACCTTCATTCATAAGAACTTTGTCAAATTTAATTGGCAAACGTTCTTTTGGGTAACTTTTAGTGACTGCTACAGAGAAGGCTGATTTGGCTTTCTTTGTTCCACAAGTGCATGGTCCTGGTATGCCTACATCTCCTTTTTTTCCCTTTGGCCCTTTACCTCCTATATCACCTGGCTTTCCCTGGTCTCCATGAATTCCTTTTGGTCCTCTTGGACCAGCTCTTCCAATTGCTCCTTGTTTTCCTTTAAAACCTTGTTTTCCTGGATTTCCTACTCTGCCATGAGTGCCTGAGGAAAAAAAATGAAACCATAAACTGAAAAAATGTTTGCTGAAACTCAAACAAGACAAAGCAAAACAAAACAAAAAAAACACGCCATTTTTATATTGGGCAAACTTAGTGGTCAGTAGAACAAGGAAAAGAATCCAAACTAAAGAATGGTTCAGAAAATTGAATGGGTTGTACATTTTGGTTTAACTTTAAAGAGTTACCATAGTGGCTATGATGCCAGGAGTATCCTGTCAATTTTGCAACAGTTTGCCCCTTACCTGGAGAGCTTTCCTGCAGTGCTACAGAAACCAGATGCTGCCATTCATTAATTGGCTTAGGATGTCAGCTGAGCTGCCCGTACTGTTTGTAGGCATCACCAATTATGCCCCCCTCAGGCCTGCCCACCCGTCCCCATCTCATACTACCCCGTGTTTGGAGGTATGAATTTAATAGGCTTTCTTCTTTCTGCAATGACCAGAAAGGGCACATCCTATTGTGATGTCTAAGGACGTGTGACAATACTAGAAAAGCAAATCCTGACTAAAAACAATGAGAGTTGCAGTCCTCTGCACCTTCAAGGCAGAAACCTCTTACCCTACAAAACCCATAACCCAAAAATTCCCATAATACAGGCCCTGACCGTATCCTGGGAAAGTTACATATATGACCACAGCCCCTTTTGTATGTCTCCTACCCCCTATTCCCTTTTGTGTCTCTTTCTCCCACCAAAGAAACATAGAATGTGACGGCAGATAAGAACCATCCGGCCCATCTAGTCTGCCCAATTTTCTAAATACTTTCATTAGTCCCTAGCCTTATCTTATACCTAGGATAGCCTTATGCCTATTCCATGCCTGCTTAAACTCCTTTACTGAGTTTGATACCGGAGAAACTGATGGAAGCAAAGCACAGAGGGATGGACACAGGTTTCTTCAGGAAGGAAGAGATTCTTTATTGGATCACCGATCGGGACTCAGAGGGACTAATGTCACCAAAAATACAGCAAGTTCTGAGCCCTGAACAATAGTGCAGGCTCCCTATATAGGCACATAACTCCTCCCATATTAAGCTCCACCCGCACATTCTCTTGACCAATCATTACAAATAAGAATTAACTTCCTGCTTGACCGCATGGCTTGTCCAGCACAATGGAGGAGGGGAATACTACATCCTGTATTCTTGCACATGCTCCGTACACTACTGATCGTATCTTGCCTCGTGCAACCAACTGATCGATACGTCAGCATATGCACGTACACATGCCACGTGGTAATCTCGGCCTACTAAATTTATTTTTACCGAGATTCCACCACATTCCCCCCTTTGATGCCTCTTGATATTTTACAATTACTTGAGGCATCACTTAACCTTGGTTTGCATACACCACAAGTTACCTTTGAACCAGACCAGACTTATCCTATGATGTGAATCTTCAACACTCGTCTTCCTGCATTGGTTCTCCCTGATCTAGAGCCTTATATTTATAAATTGCCATTATCTGTGCAGCAGCCTTCCTCTCTGCTATATTTTCTATCAGGCTTTGCACAGACCTAACTACTAAGGGTATAAGACACGGCAGGAGTAGACACAACATTAAAATCAGTAGGACTCCACCTACCACTGCCTTAAGCCCTCCAAACCACTCATACCAGCTACCAAACCAACTACTTGGATTGTACCCTTTCCATACCTGAGTAGGCACATGCGCTAGTTTAACCATATGGCTAGTAAGCTCAGCTATTGCTTGCCCTTCGTCATCTATTTGAAGACAGCAATTGCTCAGGTTAAACTTCCCACATACACCTCCCTCTACTGCCAAAAGATAATCCAAGGCTAATCTATTTTGGTAAACTGCTGTTCTCATCCTGGTATTATGCTTCGCTAGAAGATTGAGCGCTTGTGATGTCTCGTTAGTAATGATCTCAACCACCGCCTGTAACCTTATAATGCGGTTGAGCATATAAATAGGGGTTCTATAACCAAAGGTACCATCCTCTGCCCACGTGGCTGGCCCATAATAATCTATAATACGCTGGGGAGGCCATTCATTATCTTCCCAGGCACCTATCTCTATGGGTCCCCTTTTCTTCCTATGATTCACATCATACACTTTAACACCTAAAGTCTCACCTGTTTCAATAGGCAACAAGAAGAAGGATGGTTTCAACATACCCAACACACATGCCCCTTCCCAGTCCTGTGGTAACTCCGAATAGGCCTTCTTACCACAGATCCAGTACAAATTCGCTGGGGCTCTCCAGTTAGATGTGATGGATAGATCAAACCATACGTCCTTTAAATTGGCATATCTTGCAAACGGGTTAGATGGTTCTGAGACATTTGAAGCCGACCACCAAGTTGTATTCTTTGTATCATCATCATAAGCTTTTTGCCCTAGACAAGTTAATTCTCCTACAGAAGTATTATACATCATTCCTTTCCTCGCTATGCAAACATAACCTATGATGGAGGTCTTCAATCTCCACTCAGATTTACCTCTAACACTCATATGATAGTCGGCTTGTGTAGATATTAATTGGTCAACTGCCTCAGAACCGGACATTACCTCCTTTGCTTCCCAAGGCCATTGGTCTCCCATGTTAGTACCTCCACACACATAGCAGTTGGTAACATTAAGACTACCGGCAATACTCTCGGCTAAATCAATGAACAAGTTTTTAGCATTATGGGGGATCTTATTATCTATGCTCATCTCTTCATAAAAGGAATGGTATACTTGATGAGTTTGGGAGGTTACCGTATCAGTCTCTATCCCTATAAACAATATTGTCCCAGGGTCTAAACCCGTCCCATATATTTGAAACCCAAATAAATTACCATATTTATCTAAGAACTTGTCAGGGTTATTTATAAGTATATGGATTGGATTACATTCCATAGACTTACAATATGGATTAGTAGGCAACTTAGTCACAATCATGTCCTTGTCTGCTGTCTGTCCCCAAGTCGCCCACCCCACACAAGACCAATATGGGCAGAAGTTATAATCTCTATTTGGGCATCTTGGACTTACATATTTATTTTTACTACTGGGACAAATATATTTATCGTTAGACCCATACGTCCTCTCCCATCTAAGATCCCCACATACATTCCACGGCTTTCTACCACTTGATATTGCTTTACACGCATCAAATAGCAGAGCACCTGAAGAATATACGGATTTTAATACCGTCTTATTAATTAGGGTCCCCTGAGGATCTCCATTTCTGAGAGTCAACCAAATTGTACGGGGTTGATACTCAGGACTGAAGCACTTAGGTTCTCCTACTCCTAAATGACACACACTATATTCTATATTTAAGTATCTACATCTTGATACATCTCCTTTACACTCATATTGCGAATGCCAAATTAGGGTCTGGGATATATGGTTACCTGTTCTTGTAGTCTTAATGCATACCTCACAGCTAGGAGTGTTGGTACCTCTACCTTCCTGAATATAAAAATACACATAAATAAACATTATTAAAAATACATCTTTCGTCGTCATCCTCAGTCTTCGTCCGTGCGAAGGCACCTCAGCTTCCAGGATGTAAGGACTGCAGGGAATGGAGTTCTGCTCGTCTTCACAGGGGTCCCCTCAAGACTTTCCCTGACTTATACACTCGTTGGTGAGTGGACAGGCTTTATTATGGCCTTCTCACTCACTTACCAAGTCTCTGAAACAATAAAATTTGTAATCTACAAGGTTCCTCGTCACTCCGACTGAGTCGTGCGTTTTAACCGGATCTTGCAGGGATTCTCTGGATTTGCTGTAACTTGCCAGGAATCGGCTGCTGCTGGTTTAACCCTGGAGTGATGTATCCACGGAGCCACTTCGGCTACTTTTATCGCTGTAGGGGTAGACAGAAGAACAACATAAGGACCTCTCCACTTGGGCCCTAACGGCACATTATTCCACTCTTTAATCCACACTTGGTCGCCTGGGTGGTAACTATGAATTGGGGGATAAATATTCACAGGTAATCTATCTTGTACCCATTTCTGTACCTCCTCCATAGTCTTACCCAACTCTACAACCTGCTGCCGGGTAATTCCTTCTCCCAACTGACTCAAATCCCCCCTTAAGTTACCAAGCACGGGAGGTGGTCGCCCGTACATGATTTCAAAAGGAGAGAGGCCCATCCTTCTGGTAGGTGTACTACGGATTCGCAATAGAGCTATGGGCAAGAGAACGTTCCACTTAAGTTGGGTTTCCTGACACATTTTAGCCAACTGATTCTTAATAGTTCTATTCATTCTCTCTACCTTACCAGAACTCTGGGGTCTATATGCCGTATGAAGCCTCCACTTTATACCAAGCATATGAGTCAATTGTTGTAGGCACTGATGAACAAAAGCTGGACCATTGTCCGATCCTATAGAGCAGGGTAGTCCATATCGGGGTATTATTTCTCGTAGCAGGAATCTCACGACTTCTCCTGCTTTCTCTGTACGAGTAGGACATGCTTCTACCCAGCCTGAATAGGTGCACACCACTACCAGCAGGTAGCGATGTCCACCCGATTTAGGCATCACTGTATAGTCAATTTGTAAATCGGACATGGGAAGTCCCCCCATAAACTGGACTCCTGGTGGCTTTACTGGTCCTTGTCTTGCATTATTTTTAGCACACGTTACACATCTACGTACAATGGCCTGAGTCAAGTTGGACAATCTTGGTATGTAGAAATGTTTTCTGAGAGATTCTTCTGTACTGTCTCTCCCAGAATGTGTCCCGTTATGATAGTTTTGGACAATTTCTACCGCTAGTGATGCTGGAATAACTATTCTTCCATCTTCTAACTGATACCATTTGTTCTCCAAATACTTTCCAGGTTCAGTCCTTAACCACTCCTCTTCTTGAGCTGTATAAATTGGAGTCCATTGAGACAGTGGAGTTGGTATAAGAGCAGCTATATGCCCCACATATTCCTGTCTTCCTGATTCAGCAGCACGCTTAGCTGCACTATCTGCCATCCGATTCCCTTTGGTTACATCACCATCTCCTCTCAGATGCGCCCGACAATGTATAATACCGACTTCTTTCGGCTCCCACACTGCTTCCAATAGTTGTAGGATCTCAGCTGCGTATTTGATTTCTTTGCCTTCTGAATTCAATAGTCCTCTTTCTTTATACAAAGCTCCGTGGGCATGAGTGGTTAAAAACGCATACTTGGAGTCCGTGTAGATGTTCACTCTTAAACCTTCAGCCAATTGTAACGCTCGTGTCAGTGCTATCAATTCTGCCTTTTGTGCTGATGTTCCTTTTGCCAGTGGCCGAGCTTCTATCACCTTGTCTATCGTTGTTACTGCATATCCTGCATAGCGGATCCCTTCTTTTACATAACTACTGCCGTCGGTGTAATATTGAACATCAGGGTTCTGGATGGGAAAATCACGAAGATCTGGTCTACTTGAAAATACTTCATCCATTACTTCCAAACAATCATGTTGACTTTCAGTAGGTTGTGGCAAAAGGGTAGCTGGATTTAAGGTATTTACAGTCTCTAAATGCACTCTTGGGTTTTCACACAACATTGCTTGATACTTGGTCATACGGCTGTTACTAAACCAATGATTTCCTTTGTAATCCAACAACGTCTGTACTGCATGTGGAACTCGTACATAAAGTTCTTGACCCAGAGTGAGTTTATCGGCTTCAGCTACTAGCAGGGCGGCTGCAGCTACAGCTCTTAGACAAGGTGGAAGTCCGCTGGCCACTGCATCCAGTTGCTTAGACATGTAGGCAACAGGTCTTTGCCATGATCCCAAGTACTGTGTCAATACTCCCACAGCCATTCTTCTTTGCTCATGTACATACAGGTAGAATGGCCGTGTGTGGTCAGGTAGACCTAATGCTGGGGCACTCATCAAAGCCCTCTTCACATCTTCGAATGCCGTTTGCTGTTCTTGAGTCCATAAGAAGGGGTCGTGCTCTGTACCTTTGATAGCTGCATACAGAGGTTTTGCCAGTATCGCGTAGCTGGGAATCCATATCCTACAGAAGCCTGCTGCCCCCAAGAATTCTCGCACTTGTCTTCTATTCCTGGGTATCGGTATTTGGCACACAGCTTCTTTTCTCTCTGGCCCCATAATTCTTTGACCTTCAGAGATATGGAATCCCAGATATTTGACAGTTGGCAAACACAACTGAGCCTTCCTTCTTGACACCTTGTATCCTGCCTTCCAGAGAATGTGTAGTAGATCGTGCGTTGCTTGCTGACATACTTCCTTTGTAACTGCTGCTATCAACAAGTCATCTACATATTGTAATAATACACACTCTCCTGGGATAGACTCGAAATCTAGTAGATCTTGACTTAGAGCTGAACCAAATAGGGTAGGTGAATTTTTTAAACCCCTGGGGCAATCTTGTCCAGGTCATTTGGCGTTTCGAGCCCGTTACAGCATTTTCCCATTGGAAAGCGAAGATACATTGGCTTTCTGCGGCAATTCGGAGGCAAAAGAAGGCATCTTTGAGATCTAAGACTGTAAAGTAAGTAGCCCCGCCCGGAATTAAAGCAAGCAGGTTATATGGATTGGGCACGACTGGATGTATACTAACAACCGCATCATTGACTGCTCTCAAGTCCTGCACAGGTCGATACTCATCTGTACCGGGCTTTTGAACAGGCAGCAATGGGGTGTTCCAGGGGGAAGTACAGAATTTTAGGATACCATACCGTATGAACTTATCCAGATAAGATTGGATGTTCTTCTTAGCCTTCTGCGGAATATGATATTGTCTCAGGCTTACTGGATAAACCCCAAGTTTTAGTTCGATTTTAATAGGTGGAATATTGCGGGCCAGTCCTGGTGGGTTGTTCTCTGCCCAAACTCCTGGTATGTTAAATAAGGATTCATCACTCCTCGGGTTTTGGCTAGTCAACACTGTATAAAGTCGCCACTCTTCTTCCTTTGGTACAGACAATGTCATAATACCTGAGGGTCCATTAAACTTTAAGGATGTTGTTCCATTTGGTAGGAACGTAATCTGCGCTTGTAATTTGGATAGCATATCACGTCCCAGCAATTGGACTGGACACTCAGGCATATAAAGGAATTGATGTTTTACTACGTGGCCTCCCAATGTACAGAGTCGACTTTTAAGAACCGGTTTTTCAGCACTTCTTCCAGTTGCTCCTATTACAGTAATAGTTCTTCCAGATGGAGGAGCAACTAGATTAGTCACCACCGAATGTTCAGCACCAGTGTCGATCATGAACGCACTCCTTTTTCCCCCTATTGATACATCGACCATAGGCTCCGCTCGACCAAGGGGGATGGAGCCCGGTCGGTATCAATAGTCCTCCATGACCGTGTCAGCCAATCCCACAAAGTCCCTACCTTCTCTATCGCGGGACCTTTGCGCTGCTGGATAGTACCTATCTTCCCTTACACTTCCTCTGTTCCCATTACTCCCTCTATTACCATTACTCCCTCCGGGGCCTCCTCTACCTCTCGCTCTGCCTCTAAAGTTTCCGTAACCTGCCCTGGGTAAGTCTCTCTCATACTGCTCTCTTTGCGGACACTCGTTCCTCCAATGCCCTTCTTCCTTACAGTACGCGCACTGATTCCTACTCAAAGGCTCCCTATTCCATCTACCATCGCCTCTATCTGGGCCCCGTCTATCTACGCCTGCGATCGCTACCGCTAGCATATCTGCCTTTCTACGCATCTTGCGCTCTTCCTCTTTCTTACTTTCTGTTTCCCTATTCATATATACTTTGTTCGCTACCTCCATTAGTTGGGTGATAGACATACCTGCAAACCCTTCTAATTTCTGTAGCTTGCGCTTAATATCTCCGTAAGCTTGGCTGACAAAGGCGGAGTTTACCATTCGGGAATTATCAGCGTCTTCCGGATTAAAGGGGGTATACAAGCGGTATGCCTCCAATAATCGGTCATAAAAGACACTGGGCGCTTCATCACTTTTCTGAATCACCTCAACTGTCTTCGACATGTTAATAGCTTTCTTCCCTCCGGCTTTCATGCCAGCAATTATAGCATCTCTATAGGCTTTAAGTTGAGCCATATCTGCGCCATTTACATTCCAGTCAGGATCGGTGTTAGGGTAATGTGTTGCGGCCCATGCTGCCGGATTGGCTTGATTTAAAGCACGGGCTCTCTCCTCTAGCGCCTTAATGGCCGCTTGGTTAATCCTTGTCCTTTCCTCATTATTGAACAATGTCATTAATAACTGCTGGCAATCAGCCCATGTCGGGTTATGTGTCTGAACTATCGAGGTGAACAGATCGGTCATAGCTTGTGGTTTCTCAGTGTACGAGGAATTGTGGGTCTTCCAATTCAAGAGATCGGTAGTCGTGAACGGGACATATACGAAGACTGGGTCAGCATGTGCCATTTGACCTGCGGCATCGATATAGGCTGACCCAGGATTCAGACGAAGAGGCATCTGATAATGTTTTAATTGTTGGGTACCGGTCAGTTGTCGGGTTAGTATGGGGCTACGTGGAGGGGCGTCAGTTAAAGGTTCCGGTCGAGAGGTAATAGGGCATGAGGATGTGGGAACTTGATTTTGGGAAAAGTCAGTGAATAGTATACTCCGAGCCGAGCTAGAAGAAGCTTGACCGGAAGTTTGAAGTGGCGCCAAATCAGGATATTCAGATCTAATGGGGGTTGGTCCTGGTTCCGGAAGGGGAGTTTTAATACGAGGGGGGGTGGATTCTGTACTGGAGGAGGAAGCGGAAGTGGATGGGGGCAATAGGGGAAGGGGTGCAGAACTTCCTGCATTCGCGTCACTTCCTCTTAAAGGAAAGTAAGGGGGCGGCAAAGGGATCTCGGACTCAGGGGGCGTGTCCAAAATGGGCCTAACACCAGTCCTAGTGGACAAACAAGTCCTGGCCACCATGAGGCGACATTGCTCCTCGTGGCATATCCGGATCCATTTTGGCGAGTCGTTTACGGCCTGCCTCCAACAATCAATGTATGGAAACTGTCCGTAAAGTTCAGGCCTACCTGATACAGCCACGTGTACACGCTGTACCAGGGTTGGATCCAAACTGCCACGCGGCGGCCATGCCGCAACCAAAGTAGGCCACTCCCTAGTGCACAAAGTGACCAAACGTACAGGAGACATTTTAACCCCAAAATCACATGTTTTGAATCCCTTTTTAAAATTCTTTACCATACAACCTAAGGGATCCGAAATCGTTGACTCTGACGCGCCCATACTTATCAATGGAACGTCGTTGACAACGAATACTATGCACGCGTTCTTATTCAACAGTCACACCCGTTTCCTCTGGCAACAGCACCACGTGGTACAGTTACCGAGTGAAACGTACACAATAACACAATAATCACTCAGGGAATTCCCGTACACACACAGCTGTTACACCAGTCACTAAATAATCAATATTATGCCCTTTGGCGAAACTATACAGTCACCCACGCTATAATTCTCTATATATGAATTACCCGTCTATAACACACCCCAGTAACATCGTCTTTTACTAGTATCGGTTACAGTACGGTTAGCATAGGTCAAAGCACAATTTAAGGTCACAATACAATTATTAGTGGTTACGGTGTTAAACATGCAATAGACGACAATGATTAGTACTTATATACAGTGTCAGTAAATATACAGGGTTATGGTACCGTGCACTATGATACAGCAACACACTATTAACACTCTCGCTAGACGGCTGAGCTCGCGCTATCTAACAAGATATACACTTTACTAACAATCTTTAACACATTTACAATCCCAACTAAACTATTGGCCAGTACCTTGAATGGACTACCTAAAACTATATACACCCGTTTTGGTTAGCCACACTGCCCAAGCACCACATATAGCGAACTAGAGGGCGGAATTTACAAAATTGCCCTTCTAGTCTATTTACTCTATCAAAAGTCTAGTGGGTTCCAAATTTACACGCCTTCCCACTTAGCCAAGATAGGTTGAGAGCTAGCGAACCGAATTTACACAGGCGCCGCTTAGTCTCCCGGTCCCTCCGACCTAGCGAACGTAATATACACCCTAGAACGCTAGTCTAGACAAGACACCGGTGTCCGGCTAGGGCTATTTACACAGGACCCCGCCTGACTAACCAGATCAAACGGTCTTACTAAAGAGCGTTCGATCGAGCGGTGCGCCTTCGCTCCTTCCCTCCGACAGAGGGGGCAGATTCCATACACAGATTTAAACCCCTTTTGGGCCTACCGCACAATCGGTATACCCCTAGTGGGTCTGCCGTCTAAAACAGCAGTTGTCTTACCTCCTCGTTCCTGAACCTGAGTTCACACTCATCGACGGGGACACCCCAGCACTTCTTACGTAGAGGCCGATGATCTCCTGGACAACAGACCAGTGGCGCCGAGACGAAGGGAGGTCCACGCAGAAGTTCAGGGGTGCAGCCGTAGAGAACGTGGGCAAAGATAGACCGTCTCACGCCTCTGCCTCTCAGCTACCGTTGAACGATGAGCTTCCCGGCCAATGCACCAAATGATACCGGAGAAACTGACGGAAGCAAAGCACAGAGGGATGGACACAGGTTTCTTCAGGAAGGAAGAGATTCTTTATTGGATCACCGATCGGGACTCAGAGGGACTAATGTCACCAAAAATACAGCAAGTTCTGAGCCCTGAACAATAGTGCAGGCTCCCTATATAGGCACATAACTCCTCCCATATTAAGCTCCACCCGCACATTCTCTTGACCAATCATTACAAATAAGAATTAACTTCCTGCTTGACCGCATGGCTTGTCCAGCACAATGGAGGAGGGGAATACTACATCCTGTATTCTTGCACATGCTCCGTACACTACTGATCGTATCTTGCCTCGTGCAACCAACTGATCGATACGTCAGCATATGCACGTACACATGCCACGTGGTAATCTCGGTCTACTAAATTTATTTTTACCGAGATTCCACCACAAGTTAACCTCTTCCACTTCAGCTGGAAGGCTATTCCATGCATCCACTACCCTCTCAGTAAAGTAATACTTCCTGATATTATTTTTAAACGTTTGCCCCTCTAATTTAAGACTAATCTGTTTAGTAGCCCTTCTCTGAACTCTCTCTAAACTATCAATATCCTTCTGAAGATACGGTCTCCAGTACTGCGTACAATACTCCAAGTGAGGTCTCACCAGTGTTCTGTACAATGGCATGAGCACTTTCCTCTTTCTACTGCTAATACATTTCCTTATACAACCAAGCATTCTGCTAGCATTTCCTGCTGCTCTATTACATTATCTGCCTACCTTTAAGTCATCAGAAATAATCACCCCTAAATCCCTTTCCTCAGATGTTAAGGTTAGGACTATCAAATATTCAGTACTCTGCCCTTGGGTTTTTACGTCCAAGATGCATTATCTTATCCACATTAAATGTCAGTTGCCACAACTCTGACCATTTTTTTAGTTTACCTAAATCATTTGCCATTTGGCTTATCCCTCCTGGAACATCAACCATGTTACATATCTTAGTATCATCAGCAAAAAGACATACCTTACCATCAAGACCTTCTGCAATATCAGTAATAAAAAAAATGTCTCTAATAAAAAATGTCACCATAGGTCTTTCTTCCCCCAGCCCCTTTTGTGTGTGTCTTTCCCCCTTCCCAAGCACCTTTGTGTGTCTTTCTCCCCTCCCCCAGTCTGTGTGTGTGTGGGTCTTTCTCCAGTTCCCCAGCCCCTGTGTGTCTCTTTCTCCCTTGCCCCAGTCCCTATGTGTGACTCTTCTCCCCAGCCCCTCTGTGTGCCTCTTTCTCATATTCCCTAACCCCTGTGTGTGTCTCTTCCCCCCCCCAATTTCCATTTTACCCCTTCATTAGCCCCTCATTTGAGTCCCCCCTCCCACCTTGTGGTATCTTCCCCTTCCCTCCTTCTCACTTCTATTTTGTAGAGTGGCGGAGCAGACTCTATATCCTAAACAGTCTTACAAAGACATCCAACTAGCAGATAACATAAGAAATGTATTGCACTCTATCCACAAACAAATATATTACAAAACAAGGTGACCAAACAAACACGTCAAACTTTTTAAGGTGCTGCTTGACATAATTGCATGTGAATTTATCTCAGTGCCATTTTCACATGCAATTTTGGTTTTTACTCTCTCCACAAACATTTGTCTTCAACTGACAAGTCAGAACATTTGTACCCTATTTACAATTTAAGTAATTCCAACAATTACATAAAAACTAGATTCTTATTTCGATCTTGATCGATAACTGCACATCATGCTGCTTCCAGTGGAAATGCACCTGTTCTACCTGGACAAAAGGCAAAGAATATATTTGGCTTGGGCACATGCTTTTCACCACAATTGTGAGTATGTTTAATTGACAACATTACTAGTTTGTTTCACTTTTTTTTTTTAAATCACTTTAAAGACAATACAAATCATCTACTGCAATATTTGGCACTGAAAAAACTCTGCAAAACAAAAGTTTCAATTTTCAGTCATTTCTATACTCACAGGGTTAATGTCTACATTGTATAAAGCTTTGAACATATTCCCACAGCAATTTCACATCAGTAGAGCAAATCTCATTCTTAACCCCTAACCCATAACTAGCAGGTCCCTCCCACCCTCTAGGAATATAAACAGTGTATGGCTGTGTTCCATAAGAAAAAGCCAAACTCAGCATCTGACCAATAGTTGCAGTTTAGCTTTGAACAAAGTCTCTCTTTGCATAGTTTGTGGTTTTTATTATATTCCTGGAATATTTAGGACCGGTGCAACCATAAGGTGACACATGCGGCTGCCTTAGACATAACTTTCACAGTGACCAGCAGGAAGGAAGAGCACAGCACAGCTCTCCCTTCCTGCCAGTCACTTCATGTAGTGTGGCCGAGTAGACTGCGGTAGAGGATCTTCCACCCGGTCTGACAAGAAGTGTTTGCTGGGAGCAATGAACAGTTTTCTGACAGAATGTGTATTGGATACAGAAGATCCTCTAGTGCAGCCTGCTTGACCACTCTACAAAATAGAAATGAGCAGGAGGTAAGGGGAAGAGACCAGGGGAGGAGGGGGGAGCCAGAGATTTAAAAGAGGGGCTGGAGTGGTGAAAGGGATAGGGAGACACACTGTAGCCGAATGGATCAGCTCCAACAACTTTTATTCCCTTCCTTGGCTGTCCGTACACCCCCGATACAGTACTGTGTTTTATCTTGTATATTTCATGTGATTACACTTTGTCCGTTTGGGAGACTTCATGTGAATGAAATGCGCTCACCTCCCGAACGAGGACCACCACTATGCCCCATTTGAACGTTGTCACCCACCACTTAAGTGCGAAACCGCAAGGGAAACATTTAATGAGCGCTTCCTCCTGTCTCCCGAACGAGGGCAGCGGTACTTGGTCATCGAGTGCATTGGACCCTTTCCAGCTAGGCACTCACACAGGTAACCTTTTGTGACAAAAATACGGTAAAATTTTGACCGCTGCCCATTCCTGTTTCTGACCACCTACATGAACGGCGTTCGGGAGATATGAAGTACCGGACAGGGGGAGTATTTGTATCGTGAAAGCAAGAGATTCCCTTGTATGGTTTTCGCACATGAACCTCACAAACAGAGAGCGGCCAGGGCACCTATCCTCCTGGAACTATTTTGGGCTACCACCTCATGTCTGGCTGGTCAAATCTTACACGAGCCTGTTCTAGCAAACAGATTTGAGTGATTCTCGGATATGTTGGAATGTGTTTTTTTTGTGGGGTTCCTATGGATGGTTGGGGGACTTTTAGGTTACGAGATATTTGGGGGATTTTTTTTTTCTTTAATTCTTTATTTTTCGTGCAACGGGGTTAACATACAAGCCTGCTGTGCCATAAACGCATTAACAAGCATATCAAAGCTAACATTGTCATAACATGGATATTTTGCACATTTTTCTTTTTAAACGGGTAACATTCGTATGGTCAGCCAGAAAAGATTATGTGTAATGTCATTTGTGCTAAACAGGTTAGTGAGTAATAAACGATTATAAGCTGTGTTATTCTTATGGAAGGAGTGGGTTAGCATAATATGGAAATTGTGCGCTTTCCTGTTCTTCCTAGGTGCGAGTACATGTTTAGGAAGTTTCAGAGTGATTCAGTAGTGGAGTGTAGGCTAATCTCGCTGTCAGTAGTGCAGTGTAAGTTAGGTATTATTAACTGCTTAACGGGTGTGATGAGAGTTATATTCACTGTATGCTTGTGGCAAGTATATAGAGGCAAAAGTAAAATTCCACAGTGTGTGATAGGTTATTTAAACAGCGTAACAGTATTGATTAAAGTATGTGCACTGTGCATGCCTATAGCGAGGAAATTACAAGAGCTCAGTGCATAATAGAGTATCCAAACAGCGTAACAGTAAACTAGCTAGCAAGAAGGCTAACTCAGGGGCAGGCACTGGCTGAGTGTACACTTTGTGTTGGGCAGATGGTGTAGCGTTGGGGATTTTTTTTTACCAGAAAGATAATTAAATTAACGGAGTTTACTCAGGCAATTATCTCTCAGGCACAAGGGATCCTGGGATTGAAACCCTTGCATTTTCTGCCTGTGAGACCCCTTGCATGGGATATGGCATAAAAGCCGTGTATGTGTGAATAAAATTCAGTTATACACCCAGAGCTGAGTGTCGTCCAGTTGCTGGGGATGAGGTGGGAGATTTTTGGATTAATTTGCTGTGCCTGACTGTTCCATTGGATTGCTTTACTTGTTCCTGAGTATATTTTGGCGTAACCAGCGGAGGAAAGTCCCTGCTAGGACTTGGACTCCGCTACACACAGATTGGCTGGGGGGAAGAGACACACACAAGGGTTGGGGAAGGTGAGAAAGAGGCACACGAAGGGGCTGGGGAGAAGAGTAAAAAACAGGGACTGGGGAAGGGGAGAAAGACACAAACAAAAGGGGCTGGGGTGGGAGAAAGAGGCACACAAAATGGGATAGGGGTAAGAAACATACAAAATGGTCTGCGGTGTGAGTAAGAGACAAAGGGTCTGGGGAAGAGACATACAAAAGAGGCTGTGGGAGGAGAAAGATACACAGAGGATGTGGGTGAACAGAAATGACACACATAAGGGGCTAGGGAAAAAAGACACATAGGGGCTGGGGAAGGAGGAAAGGAGAAACACAGTGGCTGCGGTGTGTGAGGGAGTAAGAGACACACAAAGGGGCTGAGGGAAGTGAGAGACACACACGTGGCTTGGGGAAAAGTACAAAGGGTTTAAAACACACAAACGGGAGAAATGGCTATAAGATACACTAAAGGGGGATGTAAGACACAAGGAGGGGATACGAAACTCATGAGGGGGTGTTACAAACTGCTATTTGTAACTGGCCCTTTAAATGGCAAATTGCCTTGCTTCCCTGGGTTGTGGAGAAGCCTATTTGCCAGCCTCCTTCCACATGACTATGGCCCCTGGGAGATTGTGAGAACTTATGCACTTTTATTGGGTGTGTACGGCCCTTTAAGACAGTCAGTGGGCATATTGTGGCTTATGGACTCTTTATGGGACTGGTGCTGGCCCTTTAAACACCTTTTTGGGACATCAGGAAGATTGGAACACTGTCCCTTTAAGACAGTGTCCCCAGACCTGTTTGGGACACTGCCCCTTTAAGACGGTGTCCCCTGTGTCCCCAGACCTGGTTCAAACCCTTTTCGCCTGGCTATTTCCCACTTGGTTCAGTAAATGGGGCTTACTGAACCAAGTACCACACAGGCGGACCACCCAGAAGTGGAAGTGTGCAGGCAATTTACCTCCCAGAAGCTGCAGTTAACCGCAGCTTAATTGACAATGCTGGGTGGCCGAACATGTGGCGGCAGCCATCTTTGTTAATGCGAACGAGGTCAGTGGTATGTGTAGCCAAATTCATGGAACTAAAATCGGCTACACATTTCCGCGAACATCGCTGAGCCCTACCTTCTCCCATACTGATTTTACAGCTGCAGAGACTAAGTCCCATTCGGCGATGGGACTTAGTCGTTTTTTCAGCCTGAAATAGACCGGCCGCACAGCCCAAATCTATGGAACTGTTTTGGGCAGGAAAATGTGCTTGCGGTCGGCCATAAAGGGACCTCCAGCTAACTTTTTAACCCCTGGATGGATTTGTTTGGTTTTTGGTTATGTTTATGTTTAAAGTGTGCTGATTAATAATATGTAATTTTTGGATGTGTAGTTTTAAAGTTACAGTGTATGGATAAAAACTGTATTTTTACTGCCTGTGTTAATTATGTTAAACCATTATGCAACATAATTATATCACAGGCAGAGGGGAGGATTTTTGTGTGTAATTGCTGGGAGTGTTTCTGGAATGTATGTTTATTATTGGTTGTTGTGTAAAACCATGTGGGTGGTCCTATCTCAGGGAAACCTGCATAAAAGAAGGTTCTTTGTGTGCCAATAAACAGAATGACTGGACCCTCTAACTTGCAGCCTTGACTCATGTTTGTAGGGGACAGCTATATTCACACTGGGGATTGCTATGCTATGCATACTCCCTTGAGCTTTAATCACTTAGCTCTTGTAAGAGCTTGTTCCGGTTACGCTCTCCTTGGAGGAGAGGTCTTCCCCACACGGTCCTGAATGCTGGAGGTTCATCCAGGGTGGAAGGAAGACGGCGAGACTCCAGTGAAGCCACGGCGGTTGTGGAGTCTGCGGTGGTGGTGGTATCTGCTGCAGTGTTTGGAGTCCTCAGGAAGCGCTAGGAGCATCCATCAACGGAGGGTACTTGGTCGGTGTACAGGGAGCTCCGTTACAGGGGGGTTCAGAGACACACAAGTGAAGATGCAATTTGTTGCTGATGAAGGCATCTTTGCCTGTGTAGTCCAAAATCCTTGCACCAACCCTGGGAATATTTTCAATATCTTCTTCTGAAAAGTAATGCAACGCAGGGCTGGACTGGTCCACTGGGAAAAGTCTTCTCTGTTCATACTTATTCTTTCATATTGAGGACCACTAAGAAACATTCATAATTTGTTAAATAAAGCCTCAGGTACATGGATATTCACTAAACTCTGAGTTGTAGTGTAATGATTTCCAAATGTCAACATTTAGGAATATTTATCTCCAGTTCAGCTATTTTTTTTTTTTTTTTGAAAATTAGTGTTTATTGTGGTATTTCAAGTTTCACGACAAATAGAAAATAAGAGGAGCACGCAGGCTCCGAAAAAGTGGTTCAGCATTACAACTTTGTACACAGATGTTCAGATATTACCTGCTGGTAAGCATAAGTAACTGTGTATTCAGGGCATATATCGTCGACATAACTGTGTCAACCTTAAGACCTTAAAGAGTTAGATTAAGATCGCACCTGGTTGCGTATGTATTGGCTGTGGGCTGCGCTGTTGGAGGAGGGTGTTTCCTCCGGTAGGTCAGCTCCTCTGGGGATTCTTCAGTTCAGCTATAATCACAGCTTACCTAATATAGCTTTTATCTTGCAGTTTGGATTTCATTTGGCAAAAATTCAATTTTTTTCTATAACTCTAATCGATAGATGGATGGATGGAAAGATGGATAGATATAGATTTATATACTACAAAACAGTAATATCTTATTATAAGTTACAATTTTCTGTTACCTTCGTCTCCTTTTTCTCCCTTGTCCCCGTCTTTTCCGTCTTGTCCATCTTTCCCTGGAAATCCCATTCTTCCAATAGTTCCAGTAGATCCTGGATGCCCGGGTATTCCTGGTGGCCCCTGGGGGCCAGGCACACTGCAGAAAAGCTGAGAGGTATCTTTCACAAAATGAGACTCTCCTTTTGTAGAGCTGCTAAAAAGATTATTAGCAGCACAAGGCATGGTCCAAACTAGGAGTATCAGGGAAATCATAGTGGAATTTGTCCTGTAGAAATAAAACGACAAAACTAATTGTATAGTGAAATTAAAATTGAGATAACAAAGCCTAACTACACCATCATTGCTTCTTTGAACAGCAGCCCTACTGAAACTGGGATACCGAAATGGTGCATTTGACACAACATGATTTTTTTAAAATTAGCAACTACATTCTCTATCAAAATCTGGATTTGGAAGCATTATTTATTGGCTGTCAGGGTAACAACCACTAGAGACGTGTCTAGCCCTTCAATGCAAGCATCCGAAACGACAATCACTTCATTGAGATGAAGTGGTCTGGGTCCTTATAATGTCCTGTTAACGATACACACAGCTCACTCACTGCTTGATTTTTATAGGAATTAAGCTACATTATTCCTGCAGCCATGCTGACACCTCACTTGCACAGCCTGTCAATCAACTTCCTGAAAAAACCCCTGTTCATTTAGCCCTATTATGCCAGCACGGCCAGCAGTCTGTCTCCAGTGTGACATAGAAATCAAAGCTTCATTGGAAGAAACAAGCATCATCAAACAAGTACATTTTACGACCTAATCCAGCTCAACGTGAGTATTTAATTTTTTTCAGATACTGTATTGTGTAAAAGAACAAGTATTTCCTTATTTAACCCTTTGAGGACTGAGGCAATTGTATAAGTTCTGAACAAAACAAACCCTAGAATTTGACTATATGTCTGTTTAATCATAATACCTCTGTCATATTACGTGCACTCACACCTATTCTATATTATTTTGTTCAGGAGAAATAGGGCTTTCCTTTCACGCCAAATATTTATATATGAAACATAATTTAGTATGAATAATATCTAAAAAAGTCTGAGAAATTAAGAAAGTTTGTTATTTTCCAAATTCTGCATGGCATTTTAACCTAATGTCATAATACTGTTAGCTTTTACAGCAATAAAATACACATTGCATCCTGTCATGTCACACAATTACAATGATGCCCCCATACAGTGGTGTATTTAGGATTTTTGCTCCAATAGGCAGGAATAATTTTAATTTTTCCCACCCCTTCCTGTCAAGGCCGCACTTTGACTGACAGACGCATACACTCATTGACAGACACACACTCTCATATACACTGACAAACAATGACATAGACACACACTATTACTTGGACACACACTGACAGATGCACACTCAGTGACAGATGTATACACTCACCGACAGACACACACTCTCATATACACTGACAAACAATGACATAGACACACACTATTACTTGGACACACACTGACAGATGCACACTCAGTGACAGATGTATACACTCACCGACAGACACACACTCTCATATACACTGACAAACAATGACATACACACACACTATTACTTGGACATACACTGACAGATGCACACTCTCACTGACAGACGCACGCACTCACTCACTTTAAGACGCACACACACATTCACTCACATAGACACACACACTTACAGACACACACATACATTCACTTACAGACACACACACATACACACTTACAGACACATACACATTTCTCCCAACACTCACAAATTATTATTTTTTTAAATTTTATTTTAAATCCACCCAGCCTCCCTGGGAGAGTTGGAGTGGATTACATACCTGTTAAGTAAGGCTGCTGGTCGGGCAGGCAGAGTAGGCAGCGAGGGAGCTTTAATCTTCCTGCTCAGTTCCCTCGCGCACCACTTAGTGATGCTGGGAGCCGGACTGACGTCATCTTCCGGCTTCATAAAGCTGCGCGGAGGGAGCTGAGCAGGAAGAGCTCAGGTGAGTATGCTCCCTCACTGCCTGCCGCCAGCCTCAGGGGGGGGGGGGCTCAAAAGTGGCCAGCTCTTGAGCCCCCCAGGACATGAGGCAAGCAAGGGATCTGCCTGAGCGTTTGGGGGTGGCTTTCTTTGCCGCCACCTGCAAAGTGCTGCCTTGTTTGCCTCGTGTAAGACACATCCCTGTCCCCATATACAAGTTTTATGGGGTTTTGGAGATTACAGGGTCAAATATAGAGCTTTCCCATTTCAGTTTTTCCACATTGAAATTTGTCAGATTGGTTTGCTCTGCCTATGTTGCCTTTGAGACTGTATGGCAGTCCAGGAATAAAAATTATCCCCATCATGGCATACCATTTGCAAAAGCAGACAATCCAGGGTATGCAAAATGGGGTATGTCCTGTCTTTTTAGTAGCCACTTAGTCACAAACCCTAGCCAAAGTAAGTGTTCATTCAAAGGGAAGCGAAGGGGGGAGGGGATAGGGGGTTTAGGGAGACATAAACTGAACAGTGGATCTAGATAGACAGAAGGAGGACCAGTAATAAACAGGAGCAATCTATGTGTATTATTAATCTGTATTAATTCAGCTAAAGTTTGGTGTCTTGTTTTTTAAGTTTGACCTTTTTATTGAAAAAAATATATACAGTGGGACTTCAGTTTACAAATTTTATGCGTTCTCCAGGACGTTTCTTATTGCGAAAAATTTGTAAATCGAAACACGGTTTCCCATAGGAATGCATTGAAAACCAATTAATCCGTTCTGGAGGTCAGAAAAAAGTCAAAATGAGCTGGCATGGAAACCAACCCACAATGCAGAACACACAGTATTTATTTATTTATTTATTTATAAAATATTTTACCAGGAAAGATACATTGAGATTTCTCTCGTTTTCAAGTATGTCCTGGGTCCACAAATCATTGCATTGTTACATTAGGTACAACAAAATACAAAAACAATATTAATACACAATATATACAAAATTTAACATAGAACAGGCAGGAAATATATAATCAACCATGACACGTGCATTCTGTTTTGAGGTATGTAGAGAGGGATCTCTTAAATGACTTTAGGCTTAGGGAAGATTTTAAATTGTGCGGGAGGTCGTTCCACAATTGCGGCGCTCTGTAGGAGAAGGAGGATCGGGCCGCTTTCTTTTTGTATTGAGGTAGACTAAGTAAAGTGCTTGTACTGGATCGGAGGTTATAGAAAGTGGGAACAGCTGGGGAAAGCATTTTGTTCAGGTAGGGTGTGAGTTTCCCAGAAAAGCTCTTAAAAACAAGGCTGGAAAGATGAAGGGTGCGTCTGGATTCCAGCGATAGCCAGTTTAGTTCCTTTAGCATGTCACAATGATGGGTCCTGTAATTACATTGTAGCACAAATCTGCAGAACGAGTTATACAATGTGTTGAGTTTATTAATGTGGGATTGCGATGCAGACGCATATACTACATCCCCATAATCAATGATTGGCATCAGCATTTGCTGTACAATCTTTTCCTTTACTGTAGGGCTTAGGCAGGCTTTGTTTCTGTACAGGGCACCTAATGTTGGATAATAAAAGGCATGCAAACGACGAAGCTCAGCTCCCTACCTTTCTCAAGCTTGAGAAATGCACCAAAAAGTCCCAAAACACCTGCAAACTATTTCCAGAATGGCTCCAAAACTCGATGCAAAAGCCGCTCCAACACCTCCACACTCAACGCCACGTGCTACCCACAGGCTCCAGCATGCAGGGGGCGGTGCTATTGTCATGTTACATGATATTGTTTTATTATTATGTACTGTTTCTTTAATGTTCATCTTAAGTTTGTCCCTTGGGCCTCTCCATAGTTTGCATGCTGCTCCAGGTACTCCCCTCCCCTTTTTTCTGTTCTAGTGTATTCTATGCTGTACATTCATATGTGACTTGTTTCTCTGCTATCCTGTATGGAAGAATTGTTCTTTTACCTGTCGTAACTGCACATTCTACAGATCATATGACGAATAAACACCGCCAGATCTTCTTACATGTGAGTTGTGACTGAGTAAACTATCTGGGAAGGTGATTTGGTATGGATAATCTCATCAGGGCAATGAGCGCCATGTGCTCCTGAAAAACACATTCATAGCCTCTGCAGCCGGTCCAGAATAGTAAAAGAACATATCCAGCAGCTTGTTCAGAGATTGCTGTGTCACAGGACAGATCATAGTGAAGTGTAACTGTGTGTATTGTATGAGAAGTCTGCATTCAACCCCAGCACAGCTTGTTACAGCCCCACACAGTATACAGACACACTTCACTGCTACAGCCAGGCCTGTGTACCTCAGGCCATCATGAGTGGAAAGGGCTCAGTATGTGAAACACCACAGCATGCACCACATGGAGAAAGCCAGGATGAGGACCCAGAGCATTAGCTAAACGCTCTGTGAAACCCACATGGAAGGTTAAAGAGAGTCCATGAAAACTGAACTAGCAACCAGTTTGAAGCAGATTTGGGATAAAATCCTCACCTACATTGATGTGATTTCATGTCCCAGCCATGAGGTACTGCAACTAGAGAGCGCCATAAAACATCTCTCTGCTTCATATGAACTGTACCAGACTACAAGCAATAAATATATAGCTATTCTGCAAAACATTAACACTGAGGAATCATTAGAGCAACTTAACAATGTCCAGCTTCTTAACATGGAAAGAGAAAGCTTTATCCTGCTAACTAAAGCAAAGGCAGAAGCAAAATTAAAGCAGCCACAGGACACTGTATCTCACAGATTCGTATCCACCAGACATTCTAAAAGTTCCTCTAGATCCCGAAGTTCAAGGCACTCAACACTTAGTGAACAGCTTATAAATGCCCGTGCCGAAGCAGAGGCTAGCAAAGTACAGGCTGCATATGCTAAAAAGAGAGCAGACATGGAGGCTGAGGCTGTAGCAATGCAAGCCAAAGTGGCAGCAATGGAAGCTCAGACAGCACGTCAAAGTGCAGCAATTGAAGCTTTAAAGGAACAGAGCAAGTATGAGGCAGCTGAAGCAAGACTAAAGATTTTGGAACAAGCTATTGGTGCAGATGAAAATGCTAGTGAAAGGGTCAGCGTCAAGGCAGATGTGGAAAATCCATTCGAACGCACTAAGAACTATGTTCTAAACCAGAGCAGGGAGCACTCAATTGCCTCCATTCTGCACGACAACGCAAGGACTTCACCACACCACCAGGCAAAAGCTGTTCCAGCAACTTCCTACATGCAAAACCACCCCAGTGCAGCGCCTGACTGCCATGCTGATTCTGCATATGTCACAGAATTGCACGCCAATCTGCAAGCAAGTCACCAACCTCCTGCTAGTAGTACCGTTCCAGACTTTAACCCAACAACTCAGCTGAACACCCTTGTTGCACCATATCTTCCGAAGTCTTTTCACAACAATGCCATAAACAACGAAATCCGCAACATTCAACCAGTGACCTCCTACGTAAAGTCAGAGGCAACTGATACAGCAGAGTTCGTAAAGTATATACTTCGACGAGAGCTCACCAAGTCAGGCCTAGTAAGCTTCGATGACCATCCCGAAAATTACAGAAGCTGGAAAGCTGCCTTTAAAACTACTATAGGCGATCTTGGTATTACTGCTGCTGAGGAGCTCGATCTGCTGATCAGGTGGCTTGGCCCACAATCTACGGAACTTGTCAAGAGCCTCAGGTCAGTCTACATCGACAATCCAACTGCAGGTCTCACCGCTGCACGGGAGCGTCTGGAACAGAGTTATGGTAGTCCTGAAGCCATAGAGAATGCATTGCTCAAACGATTGGAAAATTTCCCAACGATATCCGGTAAGGACAATAAAGAGTTCCAGAGACTCAGTGACCTTCTTCTTGAAGTCCAGCTTGCCAAAACTGACCCTAAACTACCGGGCCTCCGTTACCTGGACACTGCTCGAGGAGTTAACCCTATCATTTACAAGCTTCTGTATGGCCTACGAGAAAAGTGGATCCAAATTGGGTCAAAATACAAACGGGAAAACAAGGTTTCATTTCCCCCTTTCTCCTACTTCTGCGAATTCATCAGGAACATTGCTGACACCAAGAACGATCCTAGTTTTGCATTTGGTGAGTTCAGTACTCCCCCACTGAAAGGTGACAAGCTACATATCAGCTACAGGAACCATAGAGGTCCCATGTCTGTTAAGAAGACAGACATTATTCCCGCTCCCACCTCAGCTCCCGCCTCAAATAAGAGCGGCAAGATCGAAAACCCAAACCGATTATGTCCTATCCACAAGAAGCCACATCCCCTCAAAAAATGTAACGGCTTTAGGAAGAAGCCCCTACAAGAACGAAAGGAACTCCTAAAGACCTTTGGGGTATGTTATAGGTGCTGTGCTTCCACTGATCACTTTGCCAAGGAATGTAAAATCCCTATCAAGTGCATAGAGTGCGGTTCCGAGGACCACGTGCAAGCTCTCCATCCACTTGAGTCCAATCCTTCACTACTTGCAAACCTTTCTCCCAGGCCAAATCACGACGGGAAAATTACAGATCAGGTGGCTAATCCCACCATGATATTTTCTTCATGCACGGAAGTGTGTGGGGAAGACCACCGTGACAAGTCTTGTGCTAAAATATGCCTAGTGAATGTTCACCACAAGGATCAACCAGAAAAGACTTTAAAGGTGTATGCTATCTTAGATGATCAAAGCAATCGATCACTTGCCCGATCTGAACTGTTTGATCTATTTTGCATAAGAGGAGAGGTTCATCCTTACACCTTAGGCACTTGTAGCAGCACTACAGAGGTCTTTGGAAGAAGGGCACATGGATTTATTGTGTCCTCTCTAGGAGATAACTTACATTTACCCTTACCCACACTTGTAGAGTGCAACCAGATACCAGCCAACAAAGAAGAAATACCTACACCAGAAGTTGCCTTCTTCCACCCTCACCTAAAGTCAATAGCAAGTGAAATCCCACCACTTGACAAAGATGCTAAAATCCTTCTCCTGCTGGGAAGAGATATTCTAAGGGTCCGCAAGGTGCACAGGCAGGTCAGCAGACCCTCAGATGCTCCATTTGCCCAGTATCTGGACTTAGGCTGGGTCATCATAGGTAATGTCTGTATAGGCAAAATGAAAAGGCCTACTAAGATTTCTTCATTCAAGACAAACGTATTGCCGAATGGTCGTAATACTCACTTTGAGCCATGCCCACATCACTACTGGGTAAAGGAGAAGGTAACTAGCTGCAAGTTGCAACATGACAGCACAAACCTTTCCCGCACATACGATGACAGGTTCGGCTCTACAGTTTTCAATACAAGCAGTGAAGACAACATGTTAGCTCCTTCAGTAGAAGACAAAGAATTCCTTAAAGTAATGGACAACGAGTTCTTTCAGGATGATTCCAACAGTTGGGTAGCAACCCTACCCTTTCGCCTCCCGAGAGAGAAGCTACCGAACAATCTACATCAAGCCATTAAAAGATTCTCCTCCTTAAAGCATACTTTAAGCAGGAAACCAGAGAAGGAAAGACATTTTGTAGACTTTATCCAGAATATCTTTGATAAAGGTCATGCTGAACCCGCACCTCCACTGAAAGAAGGAGAAGAATGCTGGTACCTCCCTTCCTTCGGTGTGTATCACCCACGAAAGCCAGACCAAATCAGAGTTGTCTTTGACTCCAGTGCCCAACATGAAGGCATCTCACTTAACAACATGCTCCTCACAGGGCCCAACTTGAACAACAGCCTGATTGGAGTCCTAATTCGTTTTAGACAAGAACCTGTAGCAGTGATGGCGGACATTCAACAAATGTTCCACTGCTTCATCGTCAAGGAAGACAACAGAAACTACCTCAGGTTCCTATGGCACAAGGACAATGACCTCAATAGAGAGGTAATTGATTACCGAATGAGGGTGCATGTCTTTGGGAACAGCCCTTCCCCAGCTGTAGCAATCTATGGACTAAAAAGGACAGCCCAGCTTGGAGAAGCTGAGTATGGATCCGACGCTCGTCAATTTGTCGAAAGAAACTTTTACGTAGACGACGGGCTCAAATCCTTTCCTACTGCTAAAGAAGCAATTGATCTTCTCACCCGAACAAAGGAGATGCTATCCGTAGCAAACTTGAGACTCCACAAGATTATATCCAACAGCCAAGAGCTAATGAATGCATTTCACTCTGAGGACTATGCTGCCAGCGTGAAAGACCTTGACCTTGGGTCAGACACGCCTCCTTTGCAGAGAAGTCTAGGTCTGCTGTGGAACATCAAAGAAGACACATTCACCTTTCAAGTGTCAACCTGTGACAAACCTTTCACCAAGAGAGGAGTCTTGTCCATGGTGAATAGCATCTACGACCCACTGGGATTTATAGCCCCAGTCACCACCCAAGGTAAGATGCTTCTAAGACAGCTTACTACTGATAACATAGATCCGTTACCCATGGAGAAACTACAAAGATGGGAGAAATGGAGAGGTTCTCTGAAGCCACTAGAACAGCTCCAAATTCCATGTTGCTATGCCCCAGTCTCCATTTCAGCCGCTAAACAGAGGGAAATCCATATTTTCTCAGACGCATCAGTTGAAGCTATAGCTGCAGTGGCCTATTTGAAGACCTCAGGGATCAATGGAGACATACATTGCAATTTTGTTCTAGGCAAGGCAAAGCTAACACCAAAACCTGCACATACCATACCCAGACTTGAACTTTGTGCAGCCGTGCTAGCCGTGGAAATAGCCAAAGTCATAAAGAGTGAAATGGACATTAAAATCAATTCCTTCACATTTTACACAGACAGTAAGATAGTGCTTGGATACATTTACAACCAAACCAAACAATTTTACGTGTACGTCAGTAATCGAGTAGAACGTATCAGAAGGTTCTCTCTGCCAAAGCAATGGCATTATATTCCCACGGACCTTAATCCTGCTGATTATGGGACAAGACCTATATCCCCAGCAGCTCTCCATGGCTGCTTGTGGCTGACGCCTCCAAGGTTTCTTCACGAAAACCCCTACTCAATTTCCACTGTTGTTACCTAAGAATTGGTACTTCTTCTCCCAAACGAGTGACTTATGCAAGAGTACCAGACCGTACGGTACTATGGCAGGGAGAACGCCGCTATAACTGTTAACTATGCCACTGTTGAAGCTCCATGGCTATAAACTGCAGACTATAGGACTTTAGCCATCTGTTATTGGACTTCATGTTTATTGTTCATTTACTGCATACCTTCTTTGTTTTGCAGGTATCTCGTATTTATGGTCTACACACCAGTATTATTTCCAATGTTTTCTTCACTTACAGGTTCGAGTTGGACTTTTAGACATTTGGACTTATCTTTATATACATATATATAGGCTTTGAAATCTAAAGATTTCAGGCGGGGAGTGTCATGTTACATGATATTGTTTTATTATTATGTACTGTGTCTTTAATGTTCATCTTAAGTTTGTCCCTTGGGCCTCTCCATAGTTTGCATGCTGCTCCAGGTACTCCCCTCCCCTTTTTTCTGTTCTAGTGTATTCTATGCTGTACATTCATATGTGACTTGTTTCTCTGCTATCCTGTATGGAAGAATTTTTTCTTTTACCTGTCGTAACTGCACATTCTACAGATCATATGACGAATAAACACCGCCAGATCTTCTTACATGTGAGTTGTGACTGAGTAAACTATCTGGGAAGGTGATTTGGTATGGATAATCTCATCAGGGCAATGAGCGCCATGTGCTCCTGAAAAACACATTCATAGCCTCTGCAGCCGGTCCAGAATAGCTATAAGCCTCCCAGGTGCAATGCATCCTGGTGAAATTTGCTTTGTATTGAGAAAAAAATTTGTAAACCGAGGCATTATTTTCTATGAATTTTCATTTGTAAACCGAAAATTATGTTAACCGAGGCGTTTGTAAACCGAGGTCCCACTGTATATAAATCTCTCCTTGACTGGAAAAAAATAGGCAGCTGGTGACGTTTTAAAGCGACACTGTCACCATTTGGCAGAATGTGGAAAGACCTCCAACAGTGACATCGTCGCTGTGGGTCCGATGGAGAGGCAGGCAAAGATGAGTTCTACTTATCTGATCCTGTCCCTTTGCAGGGGCCACCATCTAACTCTATTGTGCTATTGTGCATACTGGGGAGTAGAGCATTGAGGTGAATGGAGGATCCCGCAAGACCACAAAATCCCCCATAAATAAAGCAAACTCCCTGCTAGGGGGATTGGCACTTCTAGACACCGGTAGTTCCGCCCAGTGTCTAGAAGTATCAGGCATAGGAAAAATACTGAGACAAAGTAGTACCTTCTTTGTTCTAGTTACTAGTATATCTCTTGACTGGGTTGGAGATTTAGTAAAATTTCTAATCAGTCAGTATGAGTATTTCATAAAGATTCTATAATTTATAAAATAATCATTTTTTGGATGACAGTGTCACTTTAAGATGGAGGGGTGCTAAACTCCACTCAGTGCCACTTTCTGTTGCAATATATACCTATATTATACCCTTATAATGTACCCCATCCCAGTATGTGACATGCCCATGGTCATATAAATTAATTGCTTACTATAAGAATTCTACACTATTGTCTAGTAATGTCTGTGCGAGTAATTGGTGAAACACAATACCATAACAGAGACAATTGTTTGAGCTTGGTTTGGTTATGATTGGTGAGTCTATGTTACGACTACATGTGTTGGTGCTAATAGCAAAGCATTGTCAGACATTTGGAATTGAATGTGTTAAATATTTCGTAAAAGAGTAAATATTTACAGTGTCAACTGTAAATGATAAACACAGATAGATGGCTTAAATGTTAAAACATCCTGACTTACAGAATTCTTTAGTGACTTATGTTATACCCAGTCATTCTTCCAAAGTCCTACCTATGGCCACTCATTCCGTATTGAGTATTCCTTTTGTATTATTTATTTTTTTTGTTTACTTCTGTTCTCGTCAGAGGTTGCAATGTAATCTTTGTGTATAAGCTGTTGTAAAGACAGCTGCTGATGGTGCCCATTTAAACATGTACCTGTGCTGTGCAAACTTGTCTCTGGTGCTACAGAGCAATGCATATTCCATGTGGAAATTGGGAACTCTACATCAGAACAGTCCCATCCAATCCAGGACTGTTTAAGGAATGTAACTAGTTTCTAAGAAGTTTTGTTTTTTTTAAGTTTTACAGTTTTTTGACATTCTTTCTTTTGGATTTATAGTAGAAAATACACAGATTAGTAATAACATGCAATACATATTCCAGTCAGGAAAACATTGTGAAATGTCAGGAAAAACTGCGATTTGTACAACAATGTAAGGCAAACAGATATACAATTAGCTCCACAACAGGGTAAAAAGGGCTGAATAATCTTAGATTGTGCATTAACATAACTGAAATATTAGTATAACTGATAGCTAACAAATGACTAAATCTTCATTGCTAAAACAAGAGCTAACAGAATTAGTAAAAGGATCAGGGTCAGATTAACATAAGGGCTGATAGAGCTGGAATAGGCCTATTGATTTAAAAAAAAAAAAAAAGTTTTTAGTTTTTTTTTTACTACTCTTCACATGCTCTTGCCTAAGTATGGAAACATAAGAGGAATGTAGGGGAACAAAACTGGTGTGAACTGGCTGACAATTAAATTATTTAAGGTAAAGCTGACTTTGCATGCTGTGCAAATATTCTTGCTGCTTCAGTTTCTCTAATACGGTGACATGTTCCCTTTCTTCGACACTCACTACATTCACTTTTTCTCTATCCCAAACTGTATAACAGGAGCTTCTGCCTGTAAGAAGGTTAGTAGAGGAATGGACAAGCGAGTACTAAGGGACAGGTCTCAGAAAGCATAGAGCTGGCGCATCAATAGACTCATTTATGCCAAGCTCTGGGTGCTGTCTGCAAAGTATAACCTTGGTCATCCATGATTGGCAGGCAGCCTGACTTGTATTCATGCCAGGCTGACCATCTAATTCTTTGTGCCCCCTTTTTGAGCATGTCTGTCCCTTTACGTGATTCACATGAGTGGCCCATCCTTTTACCCCGCACACCGAAATCCTACTTTAACTTCACCGGACACTGCTCTTAGGAGGTATGGATTAACTAGAAAATTGCGTGATTAGCATAGATTATGTGTTTCTGATAGCTATATCCTGTGAGTTTCCATTCACCACCACCTCCACTATATACATGACGCTTGGTGGGTATAACTGTTTTAGTGTTTTCTGTCAATATGATTCTGTAATTACATCATAACTGTCAGCACTAGGCCCAATGGGCTCTTAATCCGGCCCTGTTAAGGATTGTAGTTAAATGAGAGTTAGGAAGATACCACTGCAGCCTACACACAGAGCCTCGACTGTCACAATAATAATAAAAAATAAAAAAAATCGAATTATTCAGCTTTTTAAGTAGACTGATGTGTGTGCAATGGTGCTCTGCATGTAGCCCAGCATACTGTAGACAGTCGACAGCGTGCCATCTCAGGTCAGCCTATGCCCGAATTCAGAACTCTGCCTGATTCAGATATGAGCGCTGGTTGTCATTATAAAATGCGGAATTTGAGAGCTCGGCAAGGAGCTACTGCTAGATACAACCAGCCGCCATGAGGTCCAAGCCCCACCCACCGTCTAAATACAAAATGATGGTGAATTGGAAACAGAATTGCAAAATATAGGCTACAAAAGCCTGTGTGTATCTGCATGTGAGTCCGTGTGTGTATCTATCTGTCAGTGTATGTATCTGTATGTGTGTCAATGTGTGTATCTGTGTGCCTGCATATCTGCATGTGTGTCAGTGTGTGTATTTGTATCACAGTGTGCTTGTGTATATGTATGTGTATATGTGCAGCATTTAAAGTCAACGCTACATACAAATACACCTCTGAATTCAAATGCCAATACTACATACAAGCACACCTCTGTATTAAAGCACCAAAAATATATATAAACACACCCTTGCATTTAAAAAACAACTCTACACATAAATGCATGCTTGCATTCAAATGCAAACACTACATACAAATACAACCCTACATTCACACACTCCACACAAATATGTGCTTACATTCAAATGCACAAACACTGCTCAGTGCTAAATACAACCCTGCAAGGATGGTAAAATGGTAGAGCCCAGCTATACTTTAGTTCTTCAACTGGCTTTGACTAACAGAAACCCATACACAAAACTTGTGTTAGATATATATGCTTAAGTTGTTTTCACAACAGATCATACACAAATATTATATTGCACTCATGTATTGAGGCGGTGTCTTTATATAATTTCCATATACTATGGCTAATACATAGATCATATAGTTGACACATATACTGAGGCGGTGTCGTCACACCAACTTATACATAGAGCATGTAGTGGACACATACTGAGGCTGTGCCTTCACAGTAACTCATACATAGAGCGTATAGTGGATACATATACTGAGGTTTTATCCTTACAGTAACTTGTACATAGGGCATATACTGGTGACATTCTGATGCTGGCTTCATACCAGCTCATATTCAGAGATAATATCAGTCACAAATACTGTGCCTGTGTCTTCACACAAGTTCATACAGAGAGGCTACCTTGGTCTCACATGCTGATTCAGATAAGCAAGAAGATCCAAGCAATATATTACCTTCCACTCTCTAAAAGAAGACTGTTTGTGTGCACGAAAGCACAGGTACAAGTGTCTGCATGGACTTACAGTCAGATTTTAACACATTAGGTACAAGCGTTTATTTCAATAAGTCACCCATGGAAGCTTTCTCTTACTGTGGGTATTGGCCTCTTTTCTGTCTTCAGGGCTGTACTTACCTGAGGTGGGAAAACATACTAAACAACCATAGAGGCAGATGAACTGCTGCAGGCCTGTATTTTATCGGCAAATGGGGATTTGAACAACTTACAGCCTAAACTGTTTAAACTATAGGCTTCCATACACACATCATATGTAGTGATGTCCCAAACGGTTCGCCACGGACTCATCATTGAGTAAAGTTTGACCCTGTACCTCACAGTCAGCAGACACATTCCAGCCAATCAGCAGCAGACCCTCCCTCCCAGACCCTCCCACCTCCTGGACAGCATCCATTTTACATCCATTTTGAAGCTGCATTCTTAGTGAGCTGTCCAGGAGGTGGGAGGGTCTGGGAGGGAGGGTCTGCTGCTGATTGGCTGGAATGTGTCTGCTGACTGTGAGGTACAGGGTCAAAGTTTACTCAATGATGAGTCTACGGCGAACCGTTCGGGACATCACTAATCATATGCTATTCGTCTTTACCGGAAGGAGAAGAATTAAAAAGGCCCCCAACATGGTGGGATACATGAAAGAGGCATACATAGGTAGTCACCTTATGGAAGTGCTGTTTACTGGTCTTCAGCGAAAGAGACTTTGCCCAGGCTTGGCCTCATGCATCTAGTCATCCTCTCAGAGAGAGAGTAGGTCAGACCCCCAGTAACTAACGGGAGGCAACTCTTACATTGTTATTATTTTATTCATATAGCGCTAGCAAATTCCATAGCGCTGTACATCTGTGCTGTTTGCTGGGTCTTCAGGGATTAGAGGTTGAACTCTGGCTGGGCCTACAAAAATATTGCACTGGTATTTAGGGTTGCCATCTGACAACCTCAATCGGTATTTTACCAGCCCAGCCGGTATTTGAGGCTATGTGGCCGGTGCCGGTATTGCAGGAATACCGGCAATGCAGTGGCGGTATTTCTGTCTGATGGAACTCCTCCCCATGCTCCCTGAGACAGGCAGAGTGAGGAGAGATACATAGTTGCAGATCTGGAAGATTTTCTCAGATGGATAACTAGCTCCTCCTGCTTCCTCTCCTCACACTCCGTGCAAAGTAAGCAGTGCTGCTCTGAGTGTGCAGTGGCTGCCTCCTGCCTTCCCAGCACTCAAGTGGTCAACAGGCAGAGCAGACTTTTTTGAGCCCTGTAGTATTCACCCCTGCCCCCCTGTATGTTTGTATCATTGTGCATGTATTTCTTTTTGCATGTATATCTATGTCTGTATGACTGGGGAGGCAAGAGACACCCAAAGGAGCTAAGGGGGAGATAAAGGGACACACAAAGGGGCTGGGGAGAGTAAGACACACACAAAAGGGCTGGTGGGGAAGTAAGAGACATTAACAGGGTCTGGGGGAAGTAAAAGACACAAAAAGGGGCTGGGGTATTGTAGGAAATACACAACGGGAATTGTAAGAGACATGCAAGGGGGTTTGTAAGACACACAAGGGGATTGTAAGAGACAGACAAGGGGGATTGTAAGAGACACACAAGTGGGAGTAAGACACAAAAGGAGGGATAAGATACATAAAAGGGGTTAAGACATTCAAAAGATGGGAGAAGAAATACGAAAGTGGCTAAAGAAGGTAAGAGATTTAAAGAGGGGCTTACAAGACACATAGGTAAAGATGCTTTTTTGGGGGGAGGTGCAACAAAATGCATCTTAGCCTGTGTAGCCAAAAATCCTTACACCCACAATCAGACAAGGTATACACATAATGGCACACTGCCACAAACACACACAGCGTACACAATGTGATATTGTATACACACAATACTACACCCACACTCTAACATAGTATACACGTTTACACTTACTGCTACACATGCACAATGCTACCAACACACTGTAAATAGAACACACTGTAAATAGTATTTTAGCAATTTAGGGAACTTTTGTCTTCTAAATGTTACGTAACATCCCGTGACGTTGTGTCTAGTGACATCAAGCATACATAATTAATTATGCAAATTAGTCCCATTTTTTTTTGTTTTTTTTTAAAGGTGGCAAACCTGGTAAACATAAAATAAAAATCTAGGCCTGCTAAAGCAGACTTCTTACATGCTGCTGTGAAAGACAGGAAAAAAAAGACTACCTCGTTAGAAGGGGGTGGGAGATATATTTATATCAATTTCAGAATTCTATTTCCTGTCCTTTCTGCTGAGGGAAGTAGCTAATCCATAAATAAATACTACCATGTTTGATCAGGAAAATAATATTCTCAATCCCACATTCTTATATTAAAGTATTTTCGAGGTTCAGAAACAAGTAGTATTCTAAAAATCTGTAATAGAAAATAAATTGATGCTTAAAATCGTTATTCCCCTGGAGAATAAGTTAACATCCAAATGAATTGGCTGAACTAATTTTGAAGAGAAGAATTCTTGCATAAGCCACATAAACCATTTATAACTAAAAACATATTTTGATTTTCACTGTGCTCCAAAATGCAAATTGGAAGCAGAGGCACAGACGTGTCTTCTCCATGCTACGTGTAGGCGTAATAAAAAAGACTCTATCAAGAAAATGAAGTTTTGTTTAGGATATGCAGATCTGCACATATGCGCAACACCCCTAGTGATGAATTCATAGCAGGAAATTAGATTTACAGGGATTTAACCAGTTCAGTTCAAAGAAAAGGAAAAATACAGTGAGCTCTGGTGTTAGCTATCTTGACCCTACTCAATCAGTGCAGGGGATTGCTAAGGATTATTATTATTATCATCGCCATTTATATAGCCCCAACAGATTCCGTAGCGCTTTACAATATTATGAGAGGGGGGATTTAACAATAAATAGGACAAACAGGATGATTAGATATTCTATATCTGTAACCACTAGTATTATTTTGGTTCTCACATGGCTTGAATATCAATTACCTAATTTTCTGGGTCCTTAAAAAGGACACTAAACACCAAAACAACCTTAGCTAAATAAAGCCATTTTGGTGTATACCAAGCCGCAGATCATGCCCCTGCAGTCTCGCTGCTCAATTCTCTGCCCTTTAGGAGATAAATCACTTTGTGCATGCAGTCCTAGATACACCTCTACTGTCTGAGTCTCACATAGCCTCTCTACACACTTCCTGAAAAAGAGCCTAATTTATTTTTACCTCACCTTATTGCGCAGTGTGTTTAAATGGAACCCAAAGTTTACTCGCCTTCTTTCCTGCACCAGGGATTTTCTGCTGCACTCTCCAGCTCCTCCTCTAGTGATGTCAGCATCTTAGCTGACTTCACCCGCAATCTCTTCCAATCTATTGCTCATAAAAAGGCAATGAATTTGAACTAGGCATACGCAGCCAAAAGCCAAGCTCCTTCAATCAAATGCTGCCATCTTTTGGTTCTGGAGGAGGAAATGCCTCTAACGGTTGTCAGAAAGATAGCCACCAGGGGTGGCTTTAACCATGCAATGTAAACATTGCAGTTTCTCCAAAATACTAAAGCAAACTCACTGTGCTGTAAATATGAAAGCATTTTTTTTTTTTTGTGTGGAGACTGTGTCACATCCAAGAGAGGTGTGGTTAGGGATGCTTCAACAATGTGATTTAGTCAGACTGCATGGGCATGATCCAGTGGCGGAACAACTGCGGTCGCAGGGGCCACTCTAGGGGGCCCGGCTGCCCTGCGGACCCCTGCAACCAGGGTGCCAGCAGGCCATGTAATGTGGCCCCAGCCGGCCGCATTGAAGGGGCGTATCGGGTGGCACATGCTATTAGGGCTACTCGATGGCAACAAAATTCCAGGGGGCCCAGTCGCGCTTTTAAAGCACCGCAGCGCTGACCAGGCCCCCTGTAAATTCATTGCCATCGGGTGACCCTAACAGCATGATGTGATGAGGTCAAAGGCTGGGAGGAAGTGACTGCCCTGGACCCCAGGCAAAGTCCCCTTTCACCTAAAAGGTAGGAAACAGGAGGGTGACTAAAACATTTTGCATGTGTGTGTGTTAGTGTATGTGTGTGTATGTATGTGTCTCTGTATGTGTGTGTGTATGTATGCATGTGTCTCTGTATGTGTGTGTGTTTGTCTGTTTCTGTGCCTAACTCTCTGTCTGTCAAAAGGGGAAATTGGGGGCACACACAGAAAATGCATTTCTAAGCAGTGGTGCTGCCATAAATTTATACAATAGGTTATCTGCATGCTAAATAGACACACACTCTGTTTCTTGAAACTTCATTGTCACCAATGACAGGCACATTGCTTTATGAATCTGTCATTTATAAACACCTCATAGTCTGGCAGATTGGTCAACATTCGGACAGATACTCCAGTCCATTGGAAATTATTCTAGTAGACTAGTCCAGATCTGGATATCAAAGTAATTGCAGTCCACCAGCCCATGTGAAAATCTGCACAGTCCTTGACTGCGCTGTGCCAGTAAATATCCCAGAGCACTTACTATACTAATCCACACAAGAATAGAGTAAGACTGCAGCCCACATCTCTAATGCCAGACCATCCAAACTAGTGGCCCAGTGGACAATTACCTATGTATTCTCTTTCCAGCCCCCCTGTTCACATGGAATATCACCAATCTCAGACAGGTGGAATGGCTGAGAAATGTATCCTTGAAAAAAAATGAATGACTCAAATAAAAGGATCTTATTACTCCTTCACATTATTGACATAACCCTTCCTAAGAACTATTTCCTATTTGAAGATAAAATCATCAGACAAATGTAGGGTACAATGATGTATGATTGAAAATATATAAACATATAGATGAAACCATTACAGATCCAGCATTTACTTTCTACACTTAAGAATAGGACTTTCCCATGTTTAAAGTGTGGGCCATGTTTGTACTAATTGTACTATCTAGGTGACACATTTAGGCATCCAAAGACTGGCAAAAAATACACAATCAATGGTAACTTGCATGTGACTTGAGTTTTCTACTATAGCTCCTTCGGTGTCTGAGTGGACTAATTTATGTTGGGTAAACCTTAATAATAGTAAAATACCAGCTTTTAATATGGAATTTGAACATGCTTTCTTTTGATTTTGATTGATCACTGTCACAGTAAGTAACCCCAACACTCAGAGTATGAAAACCAGAATAGGTAGATAGACTCAATATCATGTTATCAGTCCTTAGACGGGCCCGGCTCCATGCAGGATAGAATAACAGGGTAAACCGGCTAAGGGATTCTAGAGATCAGACACGCGAGTATACAAAGCCAGGTCAGGGGTACCAAAAATCTGAATAGTCCACGGGAAAGTTGAGTCAATGAAGCTTTGAGTCAAAATACAGTATAAATGTACTATTGGGTACAAAGAACCACAACAGGGCATAGAACATAGGATTGCATGACTATTTATATGCCTCAGGCTAATTTGCTCTGTTTCACTCTATTTTCAGATGAATCTCTACATGCATGTGTTCCACCCATTTCTTTATCATTATAACGCCGTGGTGGTATATTATAAATAATATGAATGTGAAGAATGTGATTGTATATAAAGATATATATTTTTGTATATCTCTAAGTCTGTAAGCTAATAGTACTCCATTTTTTTCATGCATATTTGGAGTTATTCCAACCCTTTTTTGTATTTCCTTTTTTTTTGCCCTATGGAACACTTTTTAATAGGTCCTCCAACCCTTTTAACTTTGTAAAACGCTAAAAACAAAGTTAACACTTACCTGAGTGTGTGGGGGGTGGACAGAGAAAGGGCGGCGATTAGAGGCAGGGAGGGGGGGTCGGGGATGGCCAAATGAACAAATGTAGGGAGGACCACAAAATTATAGAAGTAGGGGATATAGAGGCTTCCCCTTGAAGGTGCTACCTGCAAGTGTAGAAACTCACATCCATCATCTGTTGCCAACATATGTATTTTTTTGCACAGAATTAACATTAGGCAGTTTGGAATAGAGTTCCAGTCATGGGTGCTGGGTACAGCTCGTTCCTGGGACAAAAGTGCAAATATCTCTATATGTGCAGCATTTCAAACCGAAACACTGCATATACAGATTTCTTCCTCCATGAGCACTTCTAAAAGCAGAAGTGGTCATCAGAAAAAGAAGCCCACAGGGCCATAACCAGGTTACCTGTTTGGGACCCCATCTTCTTTCTTCATAGTGAGTGGGGCTAAGCAAAGTCATGGTCCTGGGGACGCTGTCTATCCTATGGACCTTAGGCAGCTGTCTAAGGTCTGTTAAAAGGTAAGCCTTATCTGGTAGTCATGACAATTGGAGTAACCCTTTTTAACTACTAGGTAGCAATTTTGACTTTATAATTTAACAATAAGGTTATGGTATGCTAGTATTTAATGTGATGTCTTTAAATTCTAGATATACATGACTAATACATCCAGGGTAAACTATAACAGGATTTAGTGAACAATCCACAGGGATTGTTTCAAGATGCAACACAAATGTCATCACGTCAGATGTTCAAAATGTTCAATGCAAAACAGCCATCGTGCATGGTCAGGTCATGGATTTTTTTTAATAAAACGCTTATTCCTTAAATTGCTACTCAGATGAACATCAACTTGAATTAAAAGGACACTCCAACATTGTAAACAAATACCTTTATTTATAAAACAAAACGTCTTTAATCCCGTTTTGAGAAGATTCTTCTCCACAGTATTGCAGCATCACCTCCTGGAGGTCATCAGTAGAGTTGACCTCCCTGGCCAACCCAATGCTTCTCAAACAGTTAAATCCAATGCTTCTTTAAGAGAAGTGATTAAGGTGAGTAAGGAATGGCATCCTCTAGTCAGTCTGATTAACAGTCTGGAGGATGCTACCCAAAAACTTTATAAAATTAATAATATATCTTCAAATCTGCACTCTATAAAGTATGAAAGAGAGGACACTCTGTTAATCCCTGCAAGCTTAAGTACTTTAGGGGATTGGAGTGTTCCTTTAAATATTGAAATAAATTAAATATATTTAAATATGTATATTGTAAAGCTAGTGATTTCAATAGCAGTTTGACAACCTGTCTTAGTATTTTCTATTTTAGGCATTCGTAAAAGTAGATATAGTAAACAAATATATATAAAATAATATTTCTTTTCGAATAGAACATATTGAAAAGGTATTTTTTTTTTTTATTCATTCATGTTTTTATTGAGATGATAACATATTACAAGTGAATGTTGTTACCTGCAGAAAACTCTATAACAATAAAAGTTTACATTCATTTAGGTACAAGATAATAGAAATATAGAATATTATGAATACCAGCTGTGATCTAATTTATATTTTACACTACTTAAAGTATATCTGAAATTAAATGTGGCAATACATTATTTAAAAACATAGACTTCTAAGAAGATTGCCCATGGAAGCTTCGAGTGCTACCACCAAGTCATCTTGTTATAGTACATAATCTCTCTTCTCTTTCTTGGTAAGCACACCAGCAGATTAAAGATTGTGTGCTAACATAAGATGTATCTTGTAATGTCTTGAAGATGATGCCTGAGTGCTAAATGGCTGCCCCATCATGAACTTTTAAGTCACTACGTGTAAACTGTCATAAAAAAGCATTGGTTTAAGGATCACAATGTTATTCTGTCTTTACATTTTCTCTGCATCGTTAACTTAGCCCTAGGAATACTCTGTTTTATATATGTGCACTGAGATACAAATTAAGAACACCTGTGGGATTGTAATAAATCTTGTATTTCCTCCCTTAGTAAATGGCCATCATTTTATACCAATAAGCTGTACTTTTTGTTTTTGCTATCCAACCACACAGATATATATACATATCTCAAATACATCACAATCAGATATCAAAGTTTCTATAGATTGCAATAGAAAAGCTGTTAAAAATAAAAATTCACACATAATACAGTTCATACCACAACATAATACTGGAGGAATCATTTATGATGTTGGGACCCAGATCATTTAACATTACTGTGCCTGCTGCACGTTCTGCTGTGAAGATTTGGGCATTCTTTTGCAAAGATTCACACTGTGCATATAAATAAAATATACTGGTCCATTTGAACTAAAAATATGTGTATCAAGCTGCTGTTCTTTCCAATATCTCTTATCAGTGCATTATAAATAAGAATTCTAATGGCAAAGGTTAAAGGATCGTAACATGTATAGCTTGGAGGAAAGACGAGACAGGGGGAATATGATAGAAACATTTAAATACATAAAAGTCAACACAGTAAAGGAGGAGACTATTTAAAAGAAGAAAAACTACCACAACTAGTAGACATAGTCTTAAATTAGAGGGGTAAAGGTTTAAAAATAATATCAGGAAGTATTTACTTTATTGAGAGGGTAGTGGATGCATGGAATATCCTTCCAGTTGAAGTGGTAGAGGTTAACACAGTGAAGGAGTTTAAGCATTTGTGGGATAGGTATAAGGCTATCCTAGATATAAGATAAAGCCAGGGAAAGTATTTAGAAAATTGGCCAGACTAGATGGGCCGAATGGTTCTTATCTGCCGTCACATTCTATGTTTCTAAATCTATTGTAGTGCTGGTATAGTAAAATAAGTGTATTACCTGAACAACCGAAAAAACAAAAGTACTCATTAACTAAACTGAATCGTTGGGTTCTAATTCATTAAATGCTGTTATAAAAAAAAACAAAAAAAACCCCTAAGTTTCTATAGCTACCATCTAAGCACGTATTAAAGAACACCATAACTGGGTATTTACGTTGTATTGTATAAAGTAATAAATAATATCATAGCAGGCACTATTTCTTCTCAATATTACCCATAATCTTTTTTCTACATTAATTTGTGCACTGGAATGCTGCACGCAGTTCTATCATACAGCTTTCTATTTGTAACGCCTTGTCATACTCACGTTTTTTGGTGACCTAAATAAAACCTATAGGTGAACAGCTGGAAAGATTTCTGTCTTCCACTAAGGCTTGATGAAATGCTTCAACTGATTAGTGTATTCTGCATTTTCCAAGTGCTTTTTAACAAGCTCCCTTGCAAGATAACTGAGTCGGACCCTTCTGCTCATATTCCCAGCTTTCCCTTAGCCTGAACTTTTTCATCTGTCTCTGCCAATGCATATTTTTCCAATGCTGTAATTGGCTCTAGGCTCTTTTTACAAGTTACGTCACAAAGGAAACAAAGCTCCCGAACAGATGGTTAAGGAGTATGCTGACCCCTTCAATGCTATAGACTAGAAAGAATTGTTGCAATTTATTTATTTATTTATGTAACTGTTCTTATATAGCACTCTTATCCAGAGCACTATACAGATTATGAAAACAGAATTTAGGTAATTATACAGAACACAGACAGACAATATACACAAATTGATAGAAAAGGAAGAGGACAGTTAGTGATAATGTGGATCAGCTGCAAGTAGTAATTATTTATAAATTTCAAGGATTTTAGGCATTCCATCATATCATGTTTCTTAGTCTACACTTGAGATTACTGAATTTCCATTCTTTTCTTTTAAATTCTTTTTTTTTATGTGCATGCAAAGAACATAATATCGCTCACTATGTCATTGCTGAGTGACAGAGAAGTTTTGCCACATATTGTGCATCATCCACCATTGTTTCTAAGTGGGAAGTGTCATTTCTCAATCACATAAAAACATATTGCCAATATTAATGATGTGTCACAGTCTGCAATTATGTACTACATTACATTACTAATCTGCTTTTTAAAATCACTAAATATGATGGCTGTTGCATTATAGGTATTACATTCACCACCCACACTTGTTGCTGTTAAGAGCTACTGTATGCAGTGCTGTGATGTATGATAGGTATATATATATAATCACTGAAATACGTCTATGGCTGTATCTGATTTAATAGTTCTTTGATGATGTTCCAACACAGATGTTGAAAATGATCATGGGAAAAGTACAATGCAGATGTTAATTTATTTAAATAAACTGTTCGTATCATAGCAGAAGAACAAAAGCATATAGCTCTCTAAAACTCCAATGTGTTCAGAGGCTATGGAAGTAGTGTTAAAAAATGTTCATGCAACAGAACTTCAGTATCATATATGTCTGATCTTACATGTTCTATTTAAAGGGACACTATAGGCACCCAGACCACTTCAGCTCATGAAAGTGGTCTGGGTACAATGACTCTGTCCCTGCAATGTTAATTATAATTAATAATTACATTGCAGGACTAAGACTAATCTAGTGGCTGTCAATCAGAGCCTTACACCTCTAGCTAATTAGGGATCTTGTCTGATAGACACATTTTATGACTCTTTAAATAACACTATAGCGTTAGGAATACAAAATTGTATTTCTAACATTGTAGTGTCCCTCTCTAATTAACTATGCCCCCCCCCCCCCATGGTGCATAGCAGGATAAAAATAATTGTTACACTCTTCTGGCCCCTTAATTCTAGCTTGATCTCCTCCAAAGTCATGGCGATGGGGAAACTTAACGTGCATGCATGTCGAGCGCCGCTCCCGCATTCGGCCTTCCACACATCAAAGCACCGAATCAATGCTTTATTATGCAGATTTTGAAGACACCGGCTGTCCTCATGCAAAGCATGAGGGTGTTCAGTGTCACTTCACACGGTTAAAGGAACACCATAGGGTCACTTAGCCCCCCTAAAAAGGAAATAAACTCACCTTATTTCCAGTGTCGTGCAGGTCTGCTGGAGCCGGCCCCACCCCCTTGGTGACATAATCAGAATTGCAGATTTTTAGCCAATCCAATGCTTTCCCATGTGGAAAGCATTGGATTGGCTTAAATCGTCAATGGGGCAGGGCCAAACAGTTTGCCAATCAGCATCTACTCATAGAGATGCATTGAATCAATCAGCACTGAGCCAGGAGGCATCTCCAGTGGACATCTGAGGAGTGGCCACTTGGAGGTGTCCCTAGGGGCAATGTAAACACTGCCTTTTCCCTGAAAACACAGTGTTTGCATTAAAATACATGGAGGCAATGATTATACTCACCAGAACAACTACATTAAGCTATAGTTGTTCTGGTGACTATAATGTCCCTTTAAACTTCATGAAAAGCCAGAAGGCACCTCTGGTGGCTGTCTGGAGGACAGACATTAGAGGCAGCCTTAACCTTAAACTGTAAACATTGCAGTTTCTCTGAAACTGTCACCCTTTAAGTTAGTTACTTTTATTGTAGCACTTTGCTCGAGAACAGCGTTGACCAATTGGTGTTCAGCCAAACTCCCTGCTGTTCCGGGAAGGTCTCTCTCTCAGCCCAGTATTCATTAACTCTTCTCTCCTCCCAGGATTCTTTTAATCCTCTTTCCTCCCTGTATTCTTTCACTCCTCTCTCCTTCAGTATTCCTTCCATCCTCTTTCCTCCCTGTATTCTTTCACTCCTCTCTCCTTCAGTATTCCTTCCATCCTATTTCCTCCCTGTATTCTTTCACTCCTCTCTCCTTTAGTATTCCTTCCATCCTCTTTCCTCCCTGTATTCTTTAACTCCTCTCTCCTTCAGTATTCTGACATTCCTCTCTCCCATAGTGTTAAGCTAACCCTTTCTTTTCTCCAATATCACTCCATTTCTTTCTTCATTTGTCACACCATCTCTTTTCCCAGAGTCGCTCTATTTATTTCCTCATCTCCCTCCATCTCCCCACTAGCGTATCTCTCTTGCACAGACCTCCATTACTAATGTTTTGAAACTCAATACTGTGCATCATAATGAGAGAACGTATCTCTACTTATCTGGAGAGGCATTGTTACTATACACAAGCCAAGGGGTGTGATTTTGTATTTATATATTTTGTGGGAGTATATTTTTATTGTCAACATGAGCCAACACAGACTTGAGAGTGGACAAAGAAAAATAGCTAGCTCTATAAATAGCACACACAAAAGGGCTGAATGAGATTTGATCTCACCTCCCTCATTATAAAGGAAACATATACCATTAGCATTACAGACTGGTCATCCCACACTACAATTCAACACTGAACGTGCAGATTTTAGCCTAAATTTTCAACTCACTTAAATTCACTGTTAAAGGGATGCTCTGGGCACCCAGAACACTTCTGCCCATTGGAGTGGTCTGGGTGCCAACTCCCACAACCCTTAACCCTGCAAGTGTAATTATTGCAGTTTTCATAGCGCACGAAAATGTATAATGCTTTACTATGGGGAGGTCTAATGCGTGTGGGCGGCCATTGCAGCGCATACTCATTAGGTCTCCCTGCCGGCTGACGTCGGTGGGGGAGGAGAGTAGGCAGAGCCTGACCCAGCGCTGAGGGACATCGGCGCTGGACTCCGGTAAGTCACTGAAGGAGTTTTAACCCATTCAGCAACTCGGGATGGGGGTGGGAGGGAGAGGGGCACTGGAGAATCCCTTTAACCCCTTAAGGACACATGACATGTGTGACATGTCATGATTCCCTTTTATTCCAGAAGTTTGGTCCTTAAGGGGTTAAGTGAATAAACTCCAAAGTATAAGAATAGTTCAATGAGAACATAAAAGTTCCAGATTTTTTTAAATTGTATTTAAAAATAACTTATTAGATATGACTAGTGAATATTTTGGTGATATGTCTTTTCTGCAATCTACCACTTACATTTCTCCTTATTATTATCGCCTCCCCCCATCCTTATCAACTAAACTTTGACAGTGCAAGTGTGTCAGTGCATTTGTGGCTCAAGTAATTGGCTGCCTTACACTGACTTGGCATATTGATCCAAGTGCAATATCCAACTTTTTTTTGATAAATGCTCCACGTAGTTCCCTATTGTTCTCACAAGAGCAGGGGTTTGACTTTTGGTTGAAGTAAGGCTTGCTTGCATAGTGACATATAGTGTTCATGGGAGTAACTACCAAATAATTGCAAGAGTTAAATGAGAGTATCCACATGATTTTGTCAATTTTAGAATTTTTTAAAATGTATTTTTACTTATTTACATATAATTTGAGATATATATATATATATATATATATATCTGCGTACTATCAGTAGAAATCTGTAATATACCAAAACATTTTCTTTCTAAAAGCTGTTAACAAAACAGCGTCCTTTGCAGTCAGGTAGTGAAATCTGTAGTAAAGTGTTCTCTTTACTCCAAGACTGAGCCAAAATCCTGCTTATGTTCATTTCTTTCTAAGAGCTTTATAAAAAAAAAAAAGCATCCTTTGCAGTCAGGTAGTGAGACCTGTTTAGAAGTGTTCTAATCTGTTTTGCTTCAAGACTGATTCAAAATCCTTCTTACATTAAGTTCTTTCTAAGAGCATTATAAAAAACAGTATCAATTGCAGTCAGGTACCTGTATTTTTTCAGGTTAGAGAAGTGTTGTTTTTTTTTTACCAACCAACAACCATGAATTTGGACATCTGGTTAAAACAAGGAACTATCAAGAGAAAAAATGACTACTTTTAACTGTTCGACAATTATAGAAACTGAGAAAGACGATACAACAAGAAAAAAAAAAAAAAAACAAGTCCTAAATAGTTAAATCTGCTGTTCCTTAACCCCTTAAAGGACCACTCTAGGCACCCAGACCACTTCAGCTTAATGAAGTGGTCTGGGTGCCAGGTCCTTCTAGGCTTAACCCATTTTTTCATAATTATAGCAGTTTCAGAGAAACTGCTATAATTATGAATGGGTTAAGCCTTCCCCCTAATCCTCTAGTGGCTGTCTCATTGACAGCCACTAGAGGCGCTTGCGTGCTTCTCACTATGATTTTCACAGTGAGAGCACGCCAGCGTCCATAGGAAAGCATTGTAAATGCTTTCCTATGAGACCGGCTGAATGCGCGCGCAGCTCTTGCCGCGCGTGCGCATTCAGCCGGCGGGGCGTAACGGAGGCGGAGAGGAGGAGGAGAGCTCTCCGCCCAGCGCTGGAAAAAGGTAAGTTTTTACCCCTTTCCCCTTCCAGAGCCGGGCGGGAGGGGGACCCTGAGGGTGGGGGCACCCTCAGGGCACTATAGTGCCAGGAAAACGAGTATGTTTTCCTGGCACTATAGTGGTCCTTTAAGGAAAGAGCTTCAGAAGCTTGTCTTACGCTTAATGACACATGCAGATTTTGCATTTTCTTGCTGTTTGCGTTCAACTGCAATTTGCATCTCTCTCGTTTATTGCACCGACACATATTATATACTGTTTTTTAAAGGACAGAAAGGGCTTTAATTTGATGTAACATATATATATATATATATATAGACATAGCAGAAATGACCGCACTCCAAGGACTATATAGAGATTTTCAAATATAATTTATATTTATTAATCCATGTTTTGTCCTGATGAAAGCTCCATGTGGGAGCTGAAACGTTGACTTTTTAAATGGATTGAATAAAAGCTAAATTTTATTTGAAAATCTCTATAAAGTCCTTGGAGTGCGGTCATTTCTGCTATGTCTACATGATCCTTGCCAGACCAGCACCGGGCACCACAGGATTACACCAGGAGTGCAAGCCCTCACTATTTATATATATATATATATATATATATATATATATATATATATAAATGCTTATTTATTATTTAAAAAAATACAGAAAAATGTTTTTTTTTACAGTTTTTGCAATAATAATGTGTGCACAATTAGTGCAGGTTAAAGAAAGTAATTTAAAAAAATTAATTTAGTTGTTCTGATTTACAGAATATATAATGTGTCTTGGATTTTAAGTTTTTTTTTGGTAGTTACAGGTCACAAAGCACAAGGAGTAAAATAAACTTTTAATATGGAGCGATTTTAGAATTTGGTATGTTTGTCTTGTAAGCTTAATAGCCATAAAAGAAAACAAAATTGCCACACAATAGTATATATTTATATAAAGTAGACATCACAGGCTATTGTCCTATTGTTGTTTTCACACTTTCCATGAAGCCATTTCACCGCCAATCTCTGCTAAATATTGGAGTAAAATTGTGGGTATTTTGGTTTTTGGCACACAAACTTATAACAAAGAACTTCTCATGTGTATTTTGTAAAGTTGATCTGTGCTATTCCTGTACAAAACTTTATTTTGTGTTCGGCTACATCTGCTGAGTACAACGATACCCCCATTGTATGTCTTTGGCACTATTTCGTGAAGCTACAGTGCCATATAGGAGACCTGTCCTTTTCAGTATTTACAGTAGAATTTTGTAAGACGGATTTGATGGGCCTATGCTTCAATTTGGGGTATTATAGCAGTTTGACTGTTCAAAAAAACAAAACACAAAGGCTTACCATTGTAAAAGTAGACACTCCAGGGTATCTCATATGGTGCATATTGTGCCTTAACATGCCCCCATTTTTTCACCAATGTATGCCAAAGTATGTGTTAAAAAATCATTTTGGGCATTTTTTACATACGGATTACATTTATGCTGGGCATTTTGTACATTTCATATGTACCACTAAGTTCAAACCCCCCAAATTATGCTCAGCTAAGTCTTCTGAGTAAAACATTATGCCCAATGTATGACCTAGATACTATTTTGTGAGGTTACAGTGCTGTAAAAGAGACGTGACAAGTTCAGGTTTTTAAGGGTTCTGATGCGTCCGTGTCCCACTTTGGAGCGCTTGAGTAGGCTACATATTACAACTACACCATAAAGGCATACCATTTCTTAAAGAACACATCCCAGGGTATTTCAATAGGCATATTATGAACCTTAGCGTGGGATCATTTTTCCGCTAGCTTGTACCAAGTGTAGTTGTAATAAGCATTTTTCTGCCTTTTTGACACACAAAGTGAGCTTGCCCTTTATATTTTGCAAACCTTATGTGTGCTACGACTGTATAATATTTCATATATTGCTCAGCTATTTTGGCTGAGTACAGCAATACCCCCGTATGTACCTTTGCCATGTATATTGTCAGAGTATTTATATCGGCAGACATTTTGTGCTATGATAGAAACTAAAAGTGTATATTCTGAGTCACTCTGAACAGACCAGACTCCATTTTGTTATTTCAAATTAACAAAGAAGACACTAGATTTCTTTCTGTAAGACTGGCCTCTTTGCCAGAGCTAAGGAATGCATAGTATAAACAAGTGATAAGAAGAATATAATCAAATCTAAACCCAGACGATTGTGACAGAGAAGATTAAATAATTTAATATTTAACTGTCTATATATATAAGGTACCATTGTATGGAAAAGGGTAAACTTAGTTCATGATCTGTCATATCAGAAATTATGGCAGGAATTGCAGACGCTAAGTCTGGACAAACTTTAAGAAACCCTTTGAAATCTGAATTATGACCACTATCTAGATAGGCCAAAATGACGTCAAAATAGCCACCAGGAAAAGTTAACTCTTTCCTGGATAGGTATGTTTAGTGGGACAAGACTGCCCTCTATAGACCAAATAACTAATTTGCGATCTGGAAGATAACCACACCTCTAGTACTTCTATTGGGTTATCAACTGATGACGTACAGAGAGTCTGGCCCTTTAAAAGTTAAGACAAAGGGAAGATAGAGATATACAGGAGAGGAGGCAGATGCAAGATATGCAAAGGAGAGGAGAGAGGAATTGGAAGTTTGGGGACTCCAACTCGGACAACATCTGAGACTAACACTCTACTCCTAAAACTCTAACACTTAGAATTTACTGACTTTCTAACCAACACCTCCATGCAGAGAGACTACCAATCGGATGAAATATCTACTCAACTGGTAATTATACTGGTTTCATTTAATTAAATTAAATTAATTAAAATGTATTAATAGCATTATATATGACTGGATAAAGCACGGTCAGATTTCCATATTAAGAAATCTTAGTTAACTAAAGAATATATAGTTATAAACATTCCATTCTGCAGGTGGAATTAAGAATAATTATATATTGATGTGATATTATCACGTGTTAGCATACCGCTGTTTTTATCCAGGTGTATTGATTTGCTCTAAATTAAGATAGATATCTTTTAGACAAATTAAAAATCTGCTTATATAACATATTAGACTCTCTTATTGGATGGTTTAAGAAAATGACTAGTGAACTGGTTTAAATGTTATTTTATTTAAAAATTACATAAGAATAGATCTTAACTACCTAGGAGATCTAGCCAGCATTGAAAGGGTTATTCTAACTGTCTGCTAAACTTTACGACCTTACGCTGCACTCTGAGGAATTCTGTTCTTCGCTGTGAAAAGTTTCACTTAAGTCTGTGTTAAGGATACCTCATAAATCGTCAGAATTCTTGACAGATAATGCCGTTTAGCCATTGAAACGTAATACCCATTCCTTTGTATTGCATACCATTTTATACTGAATATTCATTGATTATTGTCATGCATGTTACATAATATTATTTGTTAATTATTGGTTATCATAAATAAAATCTATTTTTATACATTGTGATTATTTATATGAAATACTTTCCACTTAACACGATAAACGTTCTTTGGGATCTGAGAATTGAATTAGTGGGCAATTCTCAACTGTTACTATAATTATCCCATAAATATCCCCACATATTGGAGGCACTGCTGAGATCGTTTAAGTTGAAATTGTATTTTATATATAATAATATTGGTGTAATTCATGCAATTTAATCTTAATATAGAAAAGAGTTTTGTATTGAGATTAATCAATAAAATAAAAATAAAAATGGCCAGTGGCAGTGATAAATCTGTAACAGATAATACTGAAATAATTGAAGACCTAAAAAAACATGCTCTAGTTCATATTCATAAACATATGAAAAATGATGCAACCTATGAGGTTTGGTTGAAAAGCATAGAATGGGAAGCTAAACACACCATTCTAACTGATGAACACATCATCATATATCTTAAAGAAATTGCTGAACAAAAGAACATAGAAAGGAAAATGGCGTTACATAATACACTCTTGGCCTTTCTTTATGACAGCACTTCTTAAGGTGTTAGATGAAAACAAGTCACTGAATGCCAAATTGGACGCGTACAGTGACGATCTGGGCATTCAAAATGGGAAATACCAAGATTTACTTGCTGAGCATAAAACTCGTCAGGCTGATCATGAAAAAGAAATGAAAGCTTTGATGGATCAATATGCACAGGAAATAAATCAGCTTAAAATGCAATTGGATGAGTATGAAAAGGAGAGTCAAAAATTAGACAGTGAGGTTGGTAGTCATCATTCTGTGCCAAAAAGTTGCACAAAAATGCAAGAAAAGACTATCTGTAAATCCCCTCCTTATTATGATTTTCCCACACCAAACCAGATTTTCATAAAACAGTCTGTAAGAAAAGATGTGAGTAATTCTAAAAAATCACCTGTGGAACAAGATTCCCCATCTCATGACATTACCAAGCCATCTTGGCAATCTTGGGCAGAACAGTTTGAAAAAGCTGTCTTGGCCAAACTTGAGAGGGAGAGTCCAATTCAAGGTGATAGGAATGAAAACAGACATGGTTCTGTACACTGGCAGGATTCTGATGCTGATCAGAATTGTGACAGTGAACAAGAAGCTCAGAGTGATGGGAGTGAAAGTGATTGCACTATCCACTCTGAAGGCCATGTAACTGATATGCCATCTGCACTGTTGTACGGGTCTAATTCCTCTTCAGCAGACAGATCGCATAGACGTTTACCCAAACACAGAAACAGAGGTCCTAAATCAACGACGCCTGTTTATGAAACACCAAAGGTCATCAAATTCCTTAGAGAGACTGTCCCACAATTTTCTAGAGGTTCAGGAAACATATCTGAACATCTGGAAAATTATGATAGAGCAATGAATTCATTGGGCATGTATGATGACATTCATAAGAAATGGTTCATTACATGGACCTTTGATTCAATGTGTCGTGTTTATCTAGAAAGTCTTCAAGCTATACAGTTAATGTCCTGGTCCAAGATGAAATATGAAATAATCATGGAATATGGTAAGTATAAAACCATTGCCTCTGCAAAGAAGGCGCTTTATAACTTAAAGTGCCGTCCAGATCAAAGCCCCAGAGAATTTTTAATAATTCTTAAAAATGCATACTCCGTGGCCCAAAGAAAACCCAGGTATGAAAGCACAGACTTCAAAGATCTGTATTTTCATGCCATGCCGGTAAACATACAAATGAATCTCGCAAGAGATTACGATTGTAAGTTACCATTAGAATGGCTAGTCAGTCAATGCATGAAGTTGTACACTATACACCATGCACATGATGAAAATCAGCCAAAGGTTAAGAAACCTGGTGATAAAATGGTGTCAGAGACTAAAATTCAGTTAGGTTTAGAAACCCAACAGAAAAAGAGGACCTATTCCGAGGTATTGAAAACACCAAAACCTCAGAAACAGGAAAACGCCAGAAGCAATTCTGCAAATTCCTCTGAAAATAACTCTGAAAAGTCCAATACCAATGGGAATAAACGCCCCTGGGTTAATAAGAACCAAGGCAATTCCCAATGGAGAAGGAATCCTCAGGGAAATAGGAGATATGGAAACAGAAACAATCAATCTGCTTCCAATAACTCCCAACAGTCTCAGCCATCCCAGCCAAATTCTAATGGGCAAAGACAAAACGGCAATGGGGGAAATAATTTGCGTCGTCAGCTTGGTCAATTGACAGACCAGATGGGCAAATTAATGGAGGAAATGACAAAGATTAATCAAGTCTTTGCTCTCAATCCTTTTTTAGGGATAGCTCCAATTGCAGAACTACCTGTGCAACCGCAGCAACAACAACAGGTGCCGCAGCAATAATAGCCACTGTGACTAAACAGGCTAGGTTATCAGTAGATGTAATGCCTAACCCTGTTTCCTTTCCAGGTACTCATAGTCAAACAAACAATAGTTGTGTAAGAAAACCTATTGCCTATACCGTCACTTCACTTCCGGGTGAAGGAGGCGCAACGTGTTCCTCTGTTTTTTCATTTCAGCCAAAGGCTAAAGTAGCCCCAGCAGTCACTAGTTTCCAGGATCCAGACCTGAAAGGGTTAACTGATGAGATGCCGACCACTAGTTCCCGCTTGACAGTTCAAGATATTCCTGAAAAGGATGGGCCTGTGGGTAAGACTGAGCATTCCTCAATACAGGTAGAAACTACGGCTGTGACCGGTAATGTATGGAAAACAAGTAATATGTTGACACATTCTAAATTCTTATGTGAATTAGAAGAACATGAAGGAAGGTATTACATGTCTGTAGAAATACAGGATTCGCTACCCCAGCCTTTTAAAGGGTTAATAGATACTGGTTCACAAGCCACTATCTTATCCAATACCTACTTCCAGCAGGTAATGGACTTAGCAACGGATAAGCCGAAGCTAAGAGATTTCCCCAATGCTCTGTTGAGTGTAGGAGGAAATGCCCTTCATGTTATTGGCAATACCTGGTTAAAGTTTAAAATAGGTAACAAAACCTTTAGACACCCGGTGATAGTGGTAGATCTCCCCTATGACCGACTGATTCTGGGTATAGATATACTCAGAAGACTTAACACAATTATTGACTGTGTAAATGGAATTGTATGGTCACAAGCTAAGGTTCCCATAACCTATGAGAAATCACATGTTCAATCTGATCGTAACTGCCATGTGATAGAAGAAAGACCTGACTCAATTGAGGTACATTTTAGAAATAGTCAGTCACCTGACGTGACTATCCTGCAGGTGAATGATGCAATCGCACCTGTAGATGAGCATTCCATAAGAATTGCTCCAGAGAGGATCCAGAATGTCTCTCTGGAAGGTGATGTTTTAACCATTTCTCTCCACAGGGACTATGTTGAATCTGTAGATCTGGCAGGTCATGCTCAATTCCTTGCCAGAATTGAAAGGGTTAATAACAACTTATTCTTTCCTATGCAAATAAATGACTTAGGAAGAAGTAAGAATGCAAAGCTGGACTTACAGAGTGAGAACAGCTATATTAGCAGAAGTCTGTTAAAGCAGATAGCTAATCCTAAAATGATCAGGTATGCTTCCCCACATGACAGGTGGATCCAGAATCTGGATGGCGAATCAGAGAGTCACAATGTGATAGCAAAATGTTTACTATCTATTTCCATCGGAAATAAGACAGTTAAACATTTATTCCTAGTGATAGACGAACCTCGCTATCAGGTTTACGTAGGCAATGATGTCATACATCGCCTTGCCATACACCTTGACCTGATTAATTCCAACTTGTGGACAAGGTTAAAAGGTGATCCTTGTGGATACCTACACGAGGAAAATGCCCTAAAATCAGGACAAATACTCCCATATGCGGTAAGTATCAAAGTACCTGATGACATAACCATCCCACAGGGGACAAGTAATTTTCTTTTACCCCTACAGGTCAAGGAGGGTCAGAGATTGGAAAACTCTGATGCCCTAATCTGTTTATCCAACAGGATACAACAATTAGGGATGGTGGTAACACATACACCAATGGTAAGTATTGGTAAGAATCCCACCTATATCATGGTCAACAATGTTACACCCAATAGTGTTACTTTACCAAAAGGAACATTATTAGGTCTAGCATTGGATGCTGAGTACTATACATTTGGTTTCCAAAACCAAATTATAGGCCTCATCCCTGAAGAATACTTAACTGAGGACGAAATTGTCGATCAAATATTCCATTCCTCCCCAGAAGGATTATTCACTATCCTATCTGTATATCCCTTCAACGTTGAAGAAGGCTCGTGTAAAATCGAAGAAGCATCAATCACCTTCGATCATCCGCTCAATGAGCAGGAATCACAAGAGTATCACGACCAAAGAGAAAAGGTAAGTCAACACCGAACTGACCTAACTTCTAGGCTTGAAGAAGCTTATGAGATAGGCCAGCCTGAAATCTTTCCAGGATTTCAGGAAAGGCTAGAAGAGCAAATATCTTTAGCTGACGGTTGCTCCAACGATGCTGAGCGGCAACAGCTAAAGGAAATCCTTTTGGAATTCCAAGATATTTTTGCCAAAGATTCCTACGACTGTGGGTTAACTAACCTCCACGTAGCCAGAATACAAACTGATCCAAATTTACCACCTGTATTTATCAAACAATATAGACTCCCATTAGCGTCATATGATGGTCTACAAGACATCATTCAGAATTTAAAGGAAAGGGGCATTATACGTCCAGTGCACAGTTCGTATAATAATCCGATCTTGGGGATTCTGAAACCTAATGGACAATGGCGTTTATGCGCTGACTTACGACAGCTAAATAAACGCGTCTATATGTCTGGTTGGCCAACGCCATACATAGACCAATGTTTGGTACAAATGCAGGGATCCAAAATATTCACTGCCATTGACTGTGCGCAGGGATATTGGACTGTACCAGTCCATAATGAAGACCAATACAAATTGGCCTTCACATTTGGAAAGCAGCAGTATACCTGGACCCGTATGCCTTTCGGTTATATAAACTCTGGTCATGAATTTGCTGTGTTCATGCATAAAGCTATGCCTGACGCACTCGAGAGAGGAACGTTATCATATGTCGACGATGTCTTGCTGAAAAGCACTTCCTTTGATAAGCATATCTTAGAGATTAGACATGTTCTCACTCAGTTAAGAGAGGCAGGGATTAAACTGTCTTTACAAAAGGCGCAATGGTGTCGCACCCATGTCAATTTCCTCGGACATGAGGTAACTTCTGAAGGATTAAATCCCCAGAGGAAGAAGGTTGAAGCCGTACTAAAGGCTAAAACACCTTCAAACATCAGGGAATTAAGATCGTTCCTTGGTATGACTAACTACTCCCGTAAGTTTATAGATAACTATGCAGAAATAACTAAACCACTCTTACACCTGCTTAAAAAGGAAACTACCTGGAACTGGGGGGAGCCTCAGGACCAAGCGGTAAGTGAACTGAGGAGGAAGCTCACTCAGGCACCCTGTTTAGCATACCCAGAGGGGGGTAAACCCTTCTATCTGGAGACAGGATATACCGATTTAAGCATAAGTGCTGTTTTGTATCAGAAGCAGGACAGTTTAAACAAAGTTATTGCATATGCTAGCAAGACTTTGTCACCTGTTGAAGTTAAATTCAACACGTGTGAGAAGGCGTTATTGTCGACTGTCTGGGCACTACAAAATTTTCGTAGCTATATCCAAGGTGAGAAAATAATTGTAGAAACAGCTCACCAACCTCTACAGTATCTGCAGAGTGAAAGAATTAGAGACGGTAATCTCTCTAACAGTCGGATTACTGCATGGACTCTATCCTTACAGGGATGGCCGTTAGAAGTCCGTTATAAACATAATAAGAGAAGCCCAGTTGCCCAAGGTTTAGCAGAATTACATGACTGTACTGCTCCATCTCTGGATGATAATGACACCGGAGATGACTTCCTAGAAGAGCAATTGCTATCTCCTTATAAAGTTTATGACGAGGAATACTGTCGACCACTACCGTGGGTATACATTGATGGTTGTTCATATCACCACGTCGTTGGTGCCGAACGGAAGTTAGTTGCAGGTATCGGAATCGCCTGGATAGGTGATTATCCCAATGTATCTATAGGATACAATATTGGTCTCAAAAGCAGTCAGATAGCCGAACTCTGTGCAGTATATAAAACCATTCAAATGGCAATAGAATATGGTATCAAAGAATTTGTTATTATAACTGATTCCAACTATGTTCGTAACAGTTTCGTCGAATATCTGCCTAGCTGGAAACGTAACCAAATGCTGAAGAGCAATAACAAACCTGTTAAACATGGGAAATTGTTTTGTAAAATTGATGAACTGGTTAAGGAAAATGGTTTAACCATATATTGGAAGAAAACCAAAGGCCATTCTAAAATAGAAGGTATTGACAAGGATGGTAATGACTTAGCTGATTCACTGGCAAAACAAGCTGCCATCGATGGTGAAACCCTAAACATTGATGATCTTATGGGTTCAATTCATGTTGAAGCCATAACAAGACGACAGGCTAGAGATAATGCCGACTTAAATGTCGTGCAATGGAGTCAAGAAGCTCCTAGCGAGGACCTGATTACTAGTCAAAAGAATGATCCCATCATAGGAATATTCTATAGACATATAGAAGACCCTAATGCCAATCCCATCACAGATGTGGATTGCAAAGATAATGAAGATTTACGAATCTTGATGAGATATAAAGTCCAATTTAGTATCATGGATGGGTTACTGGTCAGAACTTCTAAACATGGTATACAACAATGGGTAGTCCCAACTGTATACAGAGGGTTAATGCTCCAACACGCACATGATGCACCTACATCTGGGCATCGTGGTGATAAGATCACATATGAGATATTGCGTGATTATGCATATTGGCCACACATGTTAAGGGATGTTAAGACATACTGTCAGGGATGCTTGATTTGTCCGCAATATCAACCCCATGGTCCAACCCATCGTGCACCACTTCAGAAGAGGGGGGTGTCATTACCCTGGTCTGATATTCAAATTGACTTTATAGGTCCTGTAACAAGATCTTCAAGAGGTAACAAATACATGTTAACTGTTACATGTATGTACACAAAGTGGATAGAATGTTTGCCTTGTAAAGAGAACACGAGTACCGTGTGCGCCACTTTGTTGATTAACCATGTCTTTTCCAGGTTCGGTCTGCCTCAGAGAATTGAGTCAGACAGAGGTAGTCATTTTACCAGCGAAGTAATGGCTAAGATGTGGAACATTCTAGGTGTTAAACGAAAGCTACATATTGCATACCGCGCTGCGTCTAGCGGGGGGGTAGAGCGATATAACCAGTCTATCGTTAATATTCTAAAGAAATATGTTAAGGAGTCTGGTAAAGACTGGGACATTAAATTGCCCCTAGTTTTAATGGCGATTAGAGCTACACCTAGCACTGCTACCAAATTGTCACCTTTTGAATTGATGACAGGAAGAAAGATGGTTTTACCACAGCATTTACTATATCGTACTTCGGATCATAACTTGATCAATGCTGCCACTACGCATCAGTATATCGAAGATTTGCGCAAGCATTTACAGCATGCGTTTGCTTTTGCCCAAAAGAATCTAGAAAAAGCAGCGACAGGGGTTAAGACCTATTACGATCTAAAAACCACGAAAAAGGAATATGAGATAACAGATCAAGTCTATCTGTATAACTTTGCGCGAAATCAAGTAAAGGAAAAGAAATTTTTACCTTCTTGGAAAGGGCCATATGTCATTATTGATAAAATTTCCCCAGTAGCGTACAAGATAAAAATTCCAAAGGATGGTGATTTTATTGAAAAGTGGGTTCACATTAACCAGTTGCGTGCTTGTCATCCTAAATCTCAATTAAGGTTTATAGGTGTGGATTCAGACGCAGAAGGGTGAACGACTAACCTGGATGAATGCTTGATTCACGTGGTATAGTATGATGTGAAATGTTGTGATGTGCCATGATCTCATGTACGTTCATGTCATTAACCATTTCCTTGCCATCCAATAACTACATTTCTAAGCAGGTTACTAGCTTGTTTAACTGCTATAGGCATATTGCTGAGGAGTCAGTAATAAATGTAGTGAGGGATGAAGTTATAAAAATAGAATTATAGCGAATACATATGTTGATGAATCGTAATAATGTGTTGTCCTAGGCCAAGTGATGTCACACTGTTATAAGTTTGTATGCTTAACAAACCTTGAATCATTAGTAGATAAGTCTGAAACGAGTTCCTGATCCGTGACTGTCGAAAGATGTCCAAGAAGGATGTGGCGTGTTTCTGGATCGTACTGCTCCTGTGCCAAGAGCTACGGACCGACCCGATCGCAGAGATGGGACCATCCTCCGGCATCCTGATTCAAGAGACACCAGGGTTCATCTTAACAGAGAAGAGGATCCTGACCCGACGTGTGTTCGTCAGCTTGGACCCCAAGATTTCCATCGAGAAGGCATACAACATTTCATCGATGCAGCTTCCTGAGTTACAGACTTGGTACCAGATGCACCTCCAAAGAGCACAGGACCGTGTGCGAAACATCTTGGAGCAAGCCCGGAAACCATTTGTATCCAGTTCTATTCCGATGAGCAACCGACCCAAAAGGTTCCTCACCGCTATAATTGTTGCATTAGTTTGTGCCACTGTCGGTGCAGTTGTCGCAACTGGAATGTCTGCAGCCAACTCTATTACTGTCCAAAAGCTGGATATTGAAATCTATGCGCTAAAGCAACACATTAACGATATTCATCAGGTGATAAACCAGCAAAGAACACTTCTCCAAGACGTGTTAACTATTGTGGAAGACACAGTTGTTACAACAAATTTGCATTCGGAGTTAATTGCCAAATCCACTGAGTTGCACCAAAGTCATGACTTATTTAAGCGTGAACTTCTATTTCTGCATGATCCAATATTGTTCCACACACTTGCTTTTCTCGACGAAGTGCAAACTGGAATGATCGAATTGACAGGGGGACGCATACCTCTGTATTTTGTATCCAAGGATATTGTTCATGCGATGCTTGCCAATGTGGATGGAGAGACAATTGAGCCTATGCAATTAAATCTGGCCTTTGAGATGGGGAGCGCTATACCTCTCTTAATTGATCCGGAACGTATGGAGATTTGCTTTTTATTGACCATACCATATGTAACTCCCAAAGACATTTTTCAAATGAAAACAATATGCTATGATAATAATGATATTATGGTTGATTGTACTAAGTGTAAAGTTCAAAACTTTTACAGGTACAAATATATACAAAAATGTTCATTCCACGCACGGGCCTATGTTAGAAATGATGTGATTGCACAATATGTCTGGTAACTTCTATAGTGCTTATTCATAAGCTAAATTAATTTTGGCTATGAAATGCACTAAAGGGGGGTTATGTCAGAGTATTTATATCGGCAGACATTTTGTGCTATGATAGAAACTAAAAGTGTATATTCTGAGTCACTCTGAACAGACCAGACTCCATTTTGTTATTTCAAATTAACAAAGAAGACACTAGATTTCTTTCTGTAAGACTGGCCTCTTTGCCAGAGCTAAGGAATGCATAGTATAAACAAGTGATAAGAAGAATATAATCAAATCTAAACCCAGACGATTGTGACAGAGAAGATTAAATAATTTAATATTTAACTGTCTATATATATAAGGTACCATTGTATGGAAAAGGGTAAACTTAGTTCATGATCTGTCATATCAGAAATTATGGCAGGAATTGCAGACGCTAAGTCTGGATAAACTTTAAGAAACCCTTTGAAATCTGAATTATGACCACTATCTAGATAGGCCAAAATGACGTCAAAATAGCCACCAGGAAAAGTTAACTCTTTCCTGGATAGGTATGTTTAGTGGGACAAGACTGCCCTCTATAGACCAAATAACTAATTTGCGATCTGGAAGATAACCACACCTCTAGTACTTCTATTGGGTTATCAACTGATGACGTACAGAGAGTCTGGCCCTTTAAAAGTTAAGACAAAGGGAAGATAGAGATATACAGGAGAGGAGGCAGATGCAAGATATGCAAAGGAGAGGAGAGAGGAATTGGAAGTTTGGGGACTCCAACTCGGACAACATCTGAGACTAACACTCTACTCCTAAAACTCTAACACTTAGAATTTACTGACTTTCTAACCAACACCTCCATGCAGAGAGACTACCAATCGGATGAAATATCTACTCAACTGGTAATTATACTGGTTTCATTTAATTAAATTAAATTAATTAAAATGTATTAATAGCATTATATATGACTGGATAAAGCACGGTCAGATTTCCATATTAAGAAATCTTAGTTAACTAAAGAATATATAGTTATAAACATTCCATTCTGCAGGTGGAATTAAGAATAATTATATATTGATGTGATATTATCACGTGTTAGCATACCGCTGTTTTTATCCAGGTGTATTGATTTGCTCTAAATTAAGATAGATATCTTTTAGACAAATTAAAAATCTGCTTATATAACATATTAGACTCTCTTATTGGATGGTTTAAGAAAATGACTAGTGAACTGGTTTAAATGTTATTTTATTTAAAAATTACATAAGAATAGATCTTAACTACCTAGGAGATCTAGCCAGCATTGAAAGGGTTATTCTAACTGTCTGCTAAACTTTACGACCTTACGCTGCACTCTGAGGAATTCTGTTCTTTGCTGTGAAAAGTTTCACTTAAGTCTGTGTTAAGGATACCTCATAAATCGTCAGAATTCTTGACAGATAATGCCGTTTAGCCATTGAAACGTAATACCCATTCCTTTGTATTGCATACCATTTTATACTGAATATTCATTGATTATTGTCATGCATGTTACATAATATTATTTGTTAATTATTGGTTATCATAAATAAAATCTATTTTTATACATTGTGATTATTTATATGAAATACTTTCCACTTAACACGATAAACGTTCTTTGGGATCTGAGAATTGAATTAGTGGGCAATTCTCAACTGTTACTATAATTATCCCATAAATATCCCCACAATATGTGGATGTTGAAGGGTCACATTTGAGCACAGCCATTCAGTTTTTTTCTAACTTTGAAGTTTTACGCTGTGTCCATGTTCCATTTTGGAGTAGATTAGCTGGCTGGTTATTCAAACTTCCCCACAAACACATACACTAGTATGTTCCAAGTGTAGTGGTAATGAGCATTTTTTAATGTATTTTTTAACTTTGTAAAACTTTTTTTACTTTGTAAAACTCGTTATTAAACTTCTTTTTTTTATTTAATAAATGTTTTACACTTTCTTAACTTTTTTTATACTTTTCATTTTTTTTCTAAACTTTTCTTTTACCGTTAACCCCTAACTAGCAGTAAGCAGCACTAACAGTAAATTCCCCACTTTCCCATAACTCCCACCCACCCCAGCTAGCAAAATATATAATTATAAAATATTTGAATTAATTAAATAAATTGAACCCCTTAGGGATAAAAAATAAATAAAAGTTAATCCTCAGGGGTTAAAAGAAATTAGATCACAGTATTATACTGTGATCTGTATTTTGATCAATATAGGCAGTGATCAACTGGCAGGGAAGGGGTTAATTTTTATTTAGACTGGGTAAAGGGGGGTGGTATTTTTTTATTTTATTTTTACTTAAACGTTACTAAAACATTTTTTAAAAACTTTTTTTACTTTTTAAACTTTTTTTAACGTTAACCCCTAGTTAGCCTAAAACCAAATCCCCCAATTCCCCACTAGCTTCCACCCATCCCAGCCAGCTAAATATAGAATTTTTTAATATCTAAATTAATTAATAAAATAAATGTAACCCCTGAGGGTTAAAAAAAATAAAATTAACCCTCAGGGGTTTAACCTCAGGGGTTAAAAAAAATCAGATGACAGTAAAATGTAATCCCTGCCAATTGATCACTGTAGTCAGTTATCAATTGGTAGGGAAGGGGTTAATTTTATTAAAAGGGGGGGTGGGATTTAACGTTAATATTTATTTATTTTTTTACAGGGAGAAGAGGATCAGCACTGATCCGTCTCCCTGCACTTCACAGTGAACCCGGAAGCGCAGGGAGGCAGATCGTGAGTCCCTGCAGCACAGGGATCACTGCTGCAGGGGCAGCGCGATCCAGTGATCCCGGTCTGCCTCGGATACCGGGTGAGTTTTAACTCCGCAATTGCTGCGATATGGGGTTAACTTAGTAAATGATCGCACAAGGTTGACGGAAAATTTTCGTCTCCGGTCGGGAAGGGGTTAACCCCTTAAGGACTGAGCCAAATGTACACACTGTGATCAAAACAAAACGTAAACAAAAACTTGAATTTGCGCTATATGTCTGTTCAGGCGTAATATGCCTCTTTCATATTATGTGCACCCACACTTATTATATATCATTTTCCTAAGGGGAAACAGGGTTTTCATTTAACATCAAATATTTAGGTATGAAACTTAATTTAATATGAATAAAATATTAAAAAGTGGGAGAAAATAAGAATTTAAAAAAGATTTTTTAATTCTATGTGACATTCTAACTGTGAATGTCATAATACTGTTTGCTTTTACTGCAATAAAATACACATATTTGTATTCAGCAATGTCTCACGTGTAAAACAGTACCCTCTATGTACAGGTTTTATGGTGTTGTGGGAAATTACATGGTCAAATATAGCACGTTACATTTTTCATTTTTTTCACATTGAAATTCGCCAGATTGGTTACGTTGCCTTTGAGACCGTATGGCAGCCCAGGAATGAGAATTACCCCCAAGATGGCATACCATTTGCAAAAGTAGACAACACATTATTGCAAATGGGGTATGTCCAGTCTTTGTTTAGTAGCCACTTGGTCACAAACACTGGCCAAAGTTAGTGTTCATATTTGTTTGTGTGTGAAAAACGCAATAAAATAAATTGAACGCCAATTTTGGCCAGTGTTTGTACAGCTGGACTGATAGGAAGTGCTCACCTGTACTGCGGACCGGACGGAGTTTGGCCACACTACACTAGAGGTAGGGGAGGCGGGGCTAGACAAGAGGAGGGGGGGAGAAAAGACAAGAGAGGGATGGGGTGAGAGAGAGACAAGAGAGGGAGGGGAGGAAGAGAGGGACAAGAGAGGGAGGGGAGGAAGAGAGGGACAAGAGAGGGAGGGGGAAGAGAGAGACAAGAGGGAGGGAAGGATACACAAGAGAGGGAGGGGGGAAGAGAGAGACCAGGGAGGGGAGGGAGAGACCATGGAGGGAGGGGTGGAGAGACCATGGAGGGAGGGGTGGAGAGAGAGAAACAATGGAGGGAGGGAGGGGGGAGAGAGAGACAGACCATGGAGGGAGGAAGGGGGGAGAGAGAGACCATGGAGGGAGGGGGAGAGAGAGACCATGGAGGGAGGGGGGGAGAGAGAGACCATGGAGGGAGGGAGAGAGAGACCAGGAGGGAGGGGGAAGAGAGAGAGAGAGAGACCATTAAGGGAAGGAGGGGGGATAGAAAGACAAGGGGAGGAGCATGGGCGCCCCAGAGGGGGGGCACTTGCCCCCCCCTGGTTTTTTCAGCTTGTTCTGCTATTTTTTTGTGTGATTGAAAATGAACTGCAATATCGGCGCCACTGTGTATGGAGAGAGACAGGGATAGGAAGCTGCATCTTATCCCTGCTTCTCTCTGCTGATTGAAACCGCAGGGGAACAACACATGCAGCCAGAGACAGCCTACAGATCAGGGGAGTGAGGTATGGGGGGTGGGGGGGGAACAGCCTGTAGATTAGGAGAGTGAGGGGCATCCTCATCCCATAGATTAGGGGAGGCGGGGGGCAGCAGCTCAGATTAGGAGAGTGAGGGGCATCCTAGATTAGGGGAGTGAGGGGGGGGCAGCCTATAGATTAGGGGAGTGAGGCTGGGGGGGCAGCAGCGTATAGATTAGGGAGTGAGGGAGGGCATCCTATAGATGAGGGGAGTGAGGGGGGGCAGGCCTATAGATTAGGAGAGTGAGGGGGGCATCCTATAGATTAGGGGAGTGAGGGGGGGCAGCAGCCTATAGATTAGGGGAGTGAGAGGGGGCAGCAGCCTATAGATTAGGGAGTGAGGCATGGGGGGGGGCAGCCTATAGATTAGGGAAGTGAGCATAGGCGTGCGCAGCCTATTGCATTAGGGTGTGCACCCTAAAGCACAAACACACGCCATGTGTATGTGTGTGTGTGTATATATATATACATTGCTGTGTGTGATGATGCTGTTTGTGTGCTGTGTGTGAGGAACTGGTAGTGTGCTGTGTGTGTGTGTGTGTGAGAGGGTGTTTGTGTGTGCGTGTTTGTTCTGGTCCTGTTAGTGTGCTGTGTGTGGGTGTTGTATGTTTGCCAGGGTGCTGTTTGTGTGTGGGTGCTGTGCGGGTGTTGTGTGTGGGTTTTGTGTGTTTGTGAGGATGCTGTTAGTGTGCTGGGTGTGTGTGGGTGTTGTATGTGTGTGGGTGCTGTGTGTGCGAGGGTGATGTCTGTGTGTGGTTGCTGTTTGTGGGCTGTGTGTAGGTGCTGTGTGTGTGTGTGTGTGTGTGCTGTATGTTTGGGTGGAGGTGGGGGCAGATTAGTTAATATCCCAGTCCTGCTGCCTTCCCTGGTGGTTCAGTGGAGAGTGAACTCTAGCCTGGGTTCTCTGCTGCCTCCCTCCATGCTGCTGTGGACTGGTGAGGTAGAACTTTGATCTCCCCACCGGCCCATGGAGGCTTAGACCAGAGCCGCCGCTCGGATAGCGTCGGCTCTGCATGAGCCGACCGGGGAGATCCAGAGATCTCCCCTGCCGGTCTCAATCCATTGGCGTGCCGCGGGGATTAGGCTGTGCCCAGGCACACCCGACACACCCTGTGCGCACGCCTATGGAAGTGAGGGATGGGGGAGACAGCCTACATGAAGAGTCAGCAAGGAGCAGGAATGTAAAGTAAGAAAAGGAGAAGGAATAGAAATGAGCAGGAAGGGACATCAAGGAGCAGAAAGGGGCAGCAATGAGCTGGAAGGGACAGCAAGGAGCATTAAAGGTAAAGTAGGAGAAGGAGAACAAAGGATCAGAAATGAACAGGAAGGGTCAGCAAGGAGCTGGAAGGTAAAGCAGCACAAAGGTAAAGTAGAAGGAGCAGAAAGGGTCAGAAATGAGCTGGAAGGGGCAGAAGGAGCACAAAGGTAAAATAGGAGAATGAGCAGGAAGGGCCTGCAAGGAGCAGAAATGAGCACAAAGGTAAAGAAGCAGAAAGAATCAGAAGGAGCACAAAGGTAATAGAAAAGGATCAGAATGAGAAAGGAGCAGAAGGGCGCTAAATAAGCAGAAAGTAGCAGAAAGGTAAAAGAGAAGAAGGGGCCAAGCACAGAAAACAGTGTCAGAAGACAAAGAAAGACTGTCAAATGAAGGAGAGGAAAAGGAGATTGGAGCAGGAAGGACAAATGAAGTGAACCCTCCACTTTATTCTGGACACCACATCATAAGGCTTTGGTACCTGGGCCAGGCAGGGAAACGCTGGACCTTCTCATCTCCAAAGGTAAAAAAATATCAGTATTAATGTGTTCACTTTTATTTACTGAGTGTCAGGAAGCACAGAGTGCCATTGGGTAGGGGTGTTGCTGATTGGCTAGAGCGGTCAGCTGGCACTCTAAGCCAATCAGTAGCTCCCCATTCATAAAAAAGTAAAAATATTTTATGAACCGGGAACTAGCGATTGGCTTAGAGCGTCAACTGTCCACTCTAGCCAATCAGCGGCACCCATGCCTGACGTCAATCTGCACTTCCTGACACTCTGTTTCACACTGTGTTTCAGACACTCTGTTTCAGAAATACCACTGAGCGACCTGGAGCTGGAGGAAGCCTTTGGGGTTAAACCATTTGAGAGCGATTTAACCCCTTAAAGGAAAGCGAGCACCCAGGGGCTTTCTGGCATCATAGCATTTTCATTTAGGTGAAGTTGTTATGGTGACCAGAATGGTTCTTTAATTTGCTTAAAGGAACACTATAGTGTCAGGAATACAAACATATATTCCTGACACCATAGTTGTGAAAACGCTATTCACCCTGGCTTTATGTGATAATGGCTATGTCCCTTCCCTTTCATGACACTGTCAAAAAGGTACCAAGCATGGATGTCATTACAATTATGCCCCCCCCTGGAAAAATTCCTGCGGACGCCCATGATGAGGAGAGACCATTATGGAAAGGGGGTGAGAAGAGGAGAGACCACTAAGGGACAGGGGAGGAGAGACACTAAGGGGCAGGGGAGAGCTCTAAGGGATGGAAGGTAGAGCTCTAAGGGACGGGGGGTGGGGGGTAGGAGAGAGCACTAAGGGATGGGGAGGTAGGAGAGAGCTATAAGGGACAGGAGGGGAGTACTCTAAATGATAGGAGGTGAGAGCACTACAGGAAAGGGGGCAAGGAGATCACTTTGGGGGGGAGGGGGCATGAGAGAGGAGAGACCAATAAGGGATGGGGTAGAAGAGACCAATAATGGTCAGGGGAGAGCTCTAAGGCATGGGAGAGCTCTAAGGGATTGGGGGCAAGGAATAGCAATAAGGGACATTGGGGCAGGATACAGCAGTAAGGACAGGATGGGAGAGCACTAAGGGAAAGGGGGCAGGGAGATCACTAAGGGACAGGGATGATCACTAAGGGACAGTGGGGCAGGAGAGAGCTCTAAGGGACAGAAGGGGAGAGCTCTAAGGGACAAGAGGGGAGAGAGGCTGAGGAAGGAGGGAAAGAGAAGCAAAAAGGGGTTGGTAGGACTCAGCCCCTATTCTACCCCACAAACTCTCTATTTCACACTACACACACACAATGCATCCCTATACATACACAGAAACACACAATGCATCCCTACACACAGAGAAACACACCATGCTTCCCTTACACACAGAGAAACACACAATGCATCCATTACACACACACAATGCAACCCTTGCACACATACACAGAACCACACAATGCATCCCTTACACACACTGCATTTCTTACACACAGAAACACACAATGCATCCCTTACACACACAGAAACACAATGCATCTCTTACACAAAACAATGCACCCCTTACACACCTTGCATCCCTTACACATACAAACACAGATTCACACAATGCATCCTTTACACACACCCAGAAACACACAATACATCCCTTATACACAAAACACACTGATTTCTATCCCTTACACAAAAACACACTGCATCCACTACACATACACACTGCATCACCTACACAAACTGGTTTTGACTACATTCCATAAGCACACACTTTAGATCCTCTACAATACCACATAACACATCCCCTACACACTCCACCCCCTGTAACTCATAGACGGAACATGTAGGTGGACTTATGGGTGGGCCTTATGGGCATACTCACTGTCAGGCCCTGGGGGCCCAGAGCTTGAGCTGTGCAAGGGGCCCAAAAAAATGGAGATGCTTCACGTTCCTCCAGAACATTGACTTTTTTGACCACATTTATAAATAGCTGCCAGAGAGCCTGTTCTACACCAGACCAGTGGAGCCAGAGCCCATCATCATCCTCATCTGGTTGTAAGTAGGCAATCTAGTATATTATAAATTGCACTAATTTCTAATTTACCTCACATTAAAGGGACACTATAGTCCCCAGAACCACTGCAGCTTAATGTAGTGGCTCTGGTGTCTATAGCCTGTCTCTGCCGGCATTTTAATGTAAACACACACTGTGTGCAGCACTGGCATTAGTTCATATGGCAGATCATATGGGTGGGACAATGTGATGTCACATGTGGGGGGAGCGGCACATTTTTCTTTTGCCTAGGGCGGCAAAAATCCTTGCACCAGCCCTGACCAGGGCCAGTTCATTAGCTGAGAATGTCAACCAATTACAGGTGGGGACAGGGCAGTCTTTAATACTGAATGGACCCTGTACAAGCATTAGCTTGGGCCCTCTAGGCCCTTCCCCCACCCAACTAACTGGCATCCAATCACACCCTACACCCCAATGCAGTGGCGGTACTAAAGTAGAGAGCCCTGGTGCAAGAATATTTTGTGCCAAAAGGTAGATCCCCATCTGTCGTGCAGCTCCAACAATGCTTTGACAGCTGGGTCTTTACATTTTTCCATGCTTGCAGGGTTGTATTATGCACTGAGCAGTGTCTGTGTGTTTGAATATAATGTGTGGGTTTTTTTTTGTAGTATGTTTGTGTAAATGTAAGAGTATGCTTATATGTTGTGTTGGTGTTTGAATGCAAGCATACATTTATAAGTCGTGTTGATTTTTGAATGCAAGGGTGTGTTTGTATTTTGGTGTTTAACACAGAGGTTTTTTTATGTAGTGTTGACGTTTCAAGGAAGGAGTGTGATTTTATGTAGTGTTGAGCTTGAATGCAGGGGTGTATTTTTGTGTACTATTAGTGCAGATATACATACACATATACACACACTGATATAGACGCACATAGACTGACACAGATACACACACACAATTACACAGATACAAACACTGATACATGCAGATACTCAGACACACACATACACACAGATACATAAACTGACAACATAGAGACACACAGATACACATACTGACAACATACAGATACACACACGCACAGATACTCAGACACATATGCTGACAGACATACTGACACAAACACACACTGACACATAAACCGACACACATATACTGACTCACAGAGATACACATTGACAGACATACTGACACACACCAACAGACAAAGATACTAACACACTGTCAGGATTACAGTATCATCCAACACGTAGAATTGTGTAACACAGAGAACTGATAGGTAACATATACCGGACCTTAGAATGGCCGGACTAAAATACCAAAGAATAGTCAGGAATAGCCGAAGTCAAGGGACACAGAAAGAGACACAACGATAAGGAAAAGCCAGGGGTCAGGGATGGCAGAAAACAGGGAAGTCAAAATCAATGCCAAAGTCAAATAACCAGAATCAATAACGCGCTCTCGGAAAACCACAAAGGAAACCACAACAGGGCCCTGAGCAAGAGGAGAACTGGGCCTAAATACCCCGCCTGTGGATCTGATTGGTTGTAACCGGCCTTTGACCCCAAAGGCAGTTAGCAGGTTCCTATTTGCATGATTGCTGCTCAGCACAAACCCTCCTGTGGATTGATTGCTGCTCGGCACAACTTTTCCTGTCAGGACAGCAATGTTGCCCAGCACAACTTTTCCTGTCAGAACAGTAAATGCCATTAATCACATTTCCATGTGCGGATGAATACGTGACAAACACACACACACACTGACAGACATACGGACACACACACACAGACATACTGACACAAACAGATGCAGACATACTGACACACATGCACACACATTGACATGCATGCTGACACACACATACACACACCCTGACAGACATACTGACACACACACACACTGACAGGCATACTGACACTCAGATACACACACTAACAGACATACTAAGACACTGACATACATACTTACACACACACGCACACACACAGAGACATACTGATACACACAGAAATACTGACACACACACACATGCAATATTTCCAATTAATCACCCTCCAGGTTCTTACCTTTAACTGGTGATTGGTTTCCCTGGGGTCCAGTGGCAGGCTGAGGCAGTTGCTAGTTAGGCTCTTTCACCCCTTGCCCCCTCCTCACTGCCTTCCTCCTCCCGCGTGGCTCTGATCTTAGTGGAAGTGACTTGCGGTAACCAGGTGCCGAACAGAAAGAGGCCCAATCGCAATGTAGAAGCGCCAGACCGAGCCCCTGCTGACACATGCCCACCGGGTGGCCATTAGTGGGCCTCCTTAATATGCGGACCGGCGCGGGGCCATGGGGGCTGCTCAAATAAATCTCGTGCAGGGGGGCCCACGGGGCAGCTGCTCTGGAGCCCCCCAGGAGTAACTGGGCCCGGGGCAGCTGCCCTGTTTGCCCTGCATTAAAGACGTCCCAACTATATTTTAGCAATTTTTTTAAAATGTGCCTGTTTTTCTGGTTTTATTTGTTTCATTCTACTGTATCCTATTTTATTAAACAGTAAAATATGAATACAAAGTACAAGCCAACTAAATGAAATAAATAAAACTGTAATAAATATCACCACAAACAGAAAACACCTATTTGTCTGAAGAGGCAGCAAACAAAGAGAAAGATTAAACGTGAGTGTCACTATTTATGGGTTATATATGGGACTATAATCAGGTGTTTGACAAGTTGTTATTTTATAGCTGTATTTCTGCAAAAGAAAAGAGAGGTGTGAAGGAATACCCTTTCACAGTTCGGCTAATTGCCATCACCGTTCGGCTATTTGCACTCCCTGCTATTAACTTCCCTCAGTTATTCGTTTCTTTTTCATGGCCATTTGTTAACTTGTTCGTTTTACTGAACGGAGACCAGCCTGGGACTAATTAGAACATGGGACACTGTGTAGCAATAGAAAACGGCAGACTAATTGAATGCTCCTAGGTGGCCGCCATTTCGTGTATACGAATACACGTGGTGAGAACAATGGGTGGCGGCCATCTTGTCTCCCGAACGCGGCCAGCGGGACTTAGTCGTCGAGTGCATGGAACTGTTTTCGGCAACGCACTCGCACCAACCCCGGTCTAGGTGGAACTTCCCTACGTTCTATTTCCCAGCACTTTAGGCGAACAGCGTTTGGGAGTTTGAAACAGAGGAGCATTCTGCACGAACCATCTCTATTTTACCTATTACGGTTTTCGTATGAATCTCCACGAATGGAGACCGTCTCTTGCTACCAAACTACTGGAACTGTTTCTCTGATTCATCCTCGTGGCAGACTGGTAAACTTTCTCCACGGTGCCGTTCGGAAACTACCAAATGGATTTGGCTGAAGTTTTGATATGTTTCTCCCACAGAGATAGCTACCAGGGATATGACTTTTGTGGGATTTTTATGCAGTTTTGGGGTATTTCTGAAAATCATGAAAATTTTAAATTTTTCTGACCAGCAGATAATTGAGTTTAGTATGTTCTCAAAACTCAATTATCTCGCTGGCTCAGAGGAGGAGTTGTGTACTGTATAAATTGAATGCCTGTTTTCCCATTAAACCAGCCTTGTCCCAGCATTAAGCTTTGGCTCATGTGTGGGTTATTATGCGACACCAGCGATATTGGAACCTTTGGATTATTGACGTTATTATTTTATGAAATAAGGGAATGCAAGACGCTACTCAGACCGCCACAAGCGGCAAAATAACATCCATGTCTTGGGATAAAATCTCACTATCAAAATTTGCCACTATACTTCTTAAGGAATACCCATGCTAAATATTTAGGTGATATGCCATGCACTTTTGTTTTCATGGCGCTTTTTTCTCCACTAAAATTTGTGGGCATACCAACCTATCATTTTTTTAGGGTCAACCCATTATAGAAGACAGGACAGTGTGGCCTGATTAGTTTACATAGAAAATAAGAAGTGGGCAATAGCAACCCACATCAGTTATTAGTCTCTGCAGCTTGGGACAGGCTTTGGTGATGAATTGGAGTCTTAAAGTGTAACTGTCACTTGTGAGATTTATGCACATAGTTCAGTTTTTTAAGACATGGGTCCAGATTTTAATAATCCAGTCCCAAATGTTTAACATCCAGTTCTAGATTTCAGCCATCACATCCAGCCAGGCTGAAATTCAGTGGGCATTTATGTCGATTCGAATGCTACTTTGCGAAATCTGACCACAGCTTTTTGGTAAAGCGTACCGGGTTATTTGGACTTTAGTGAATAAACCCCTCTGTGTACATCAAGCATGTCAAACATGCGGCCCACAATGAGTATCTCTGCGGCCCAGGGCAAGAGCACAAAACATTCTTTCACACTAGCTGTCGGATTTGCGCATCCAGTGTATGGAGTCAAATCCGGCGGCTGCGCAGCGGCACTACAGTGTGCAGAGCAGACCAGCCACTGCCTCTTCCCTGCTGCTCACAGTGCCAGAGTAGATCTTGCAGGGCTGGACTGGAAGACTGCTTAAGGTAGAGGAAGAGGGGCTTGGGGAAACCTTCCTGTGGTGTAGTGTATTAAATGGGGGGGGGGCAGTGTCTTAAATTGGGGGAGGGAGATGGGGCAGTGCATTAAATTGGGGGGAGGTAGGTGGGGCTGTGTATACATTTTGTGGAGGGAGATGGGGCAATGTATTGGAGTGAGGGGGGCAGTGTATTAAATTGGGGGGGAAGGAGGGCAGTGTATTAAATTCGGGGAGGGAGGTGGGGCAGTGCATTAGAGTGAGGTGATCAGTGTATTTTATTGGGGAAGGAGTGGGGCAGTGTATTAGAGTGGTGGGAGGGGGGCAGTGTGTTAAATTGAGGGAAGGGAGGGGGGAGGGCAGTGTATTAAATTAAGGGAGGGAGTAGTGTATTAGAGTGGTGGGAGGGAGGGGGCAGTGCATAAGAGTGGTGGGAGGGGGCAGTGTATTAAATTAGAGTGGAGGGAGAGGGGAGATGAGGCAGTGTATTATATTGGGGGAGGAAGGGGAGGCAGCGTTTTAATTTAGAGTGAAGGGAGGGGGGCAGTATATTAAATTGGAGTGGAGGGGGGGAGTGTATTAAATTGGGGGAGTGGGGACAGTGTATTAGATTGGGGGAGGGAGGGAAGGCAGTGTATCAGATTGGGGGACTTAGGGGAGGCAGTGTATTAAATTAGAGTGGAGGGGGGGGGGCCGCGGGCGACTGTGTATTAGATTGAGGGGGCATAGTAAGTAACCTGAAGTGAAGCTTTTGAGTATATTATATATACAGGTGGTTCTCGTTTTGCAACCTACCTGTTTTACAATGGTCAGCAGTTATGACCAGCTCTCTCGTGGGGTGGTAAGTGCGCGCCGTCATGGGAATTAGAGGGATTACCTGCTCTGCTGCGTTCTTCAATGTTCGGGGACATTGTTGTGGAAATAAGGTCTGCACATATTTCCTAGTTAGTGAAAATGTCTATTTACTCATTCCATGATATATTATATATAAAGCTAAGCACACATGTTTTACTCAAAATGGCTGCTAGAAGCTTCTAACCCCTCCTCCCCCCCCCTTCCCTTCTTAACACCAACTAACTACCTCGTGCAGCAAGATGGCGCCGGGAAACCGTGGGAGACCCTCATGGCCCCGGTGACATCACCTACAGTAGGCAGAGCATTAGAGCGACCACTTAACACCTAACCAATTATTGATGTATTATTCCATGTTATCTCTGACAATGCTTATGATGTAATTTTGCTTTTAAAGGGACCTGCCGTCCCCTCTGAATAAACATTCCTCAAGTTATTCAACAACCTGGAACCTGTGTCTGGTGTGAATTACTTCAGGGAGCGTGCACGCATCGTTTCATTGATTTGGCCAGGGGCAGATACACAAAGAAATAATCAATACTTTGATTGATTTTTCCATTTCAATTGGCTCCCCACGTGGGGCCACCGGAGGGCCGGTTCGGAGGGCCGGAACCAACGGACCGGAGCGGACCTCCGGAAAGTGGGACAAGCGGAGCCTGATCACCTCCATAATACAGCCGTTGCCTGTGTTATTCTCCTGTTTTGTGTCGGTCTGTCTCCGAGTCCACTTCCGGCTTCCAGAAGGCTACTAGAGACAGGTAATTAACTCATCCGGTGTGCCTTTTTTAAAGTGAACCTGTCGATTGTCTATCTGCCTCCTGTATTCATTTGTGTGTGTGTGTGTGTGTTTCTCCTTCTTTTAAGATATGTTAGCTTGACTGCCTAGCGGGCAGGGAACGCATTACAGCCGGTGGGGCTGGGATTATATGTTAGCTTGACTGCCTAGCGGGCAGGGAACGCATTACAGCCGGTGGGGCTGGGATTATATGTTAGCTTGACTGCCTAGCGGGCAGGGAACGCATTTTATATGTTTGCTTGACTGCCTAGCGGGCAGGGAACGCATTACAGCCGGTGGGGCTGGGATTATATGTTTGCTTGACTGCCTAGCGGGCAGGGAACGCATTACAGCCGGTGGGGCTGGGATTATATGTTTGCTTGACTGCCTAGCGGGCAGGGAATGCATTACAGCCGGTGGGGCTGGGATTATATGTTAGCTTGACTGCCTAGCGGGCAGGGAACGCATTACAGCCGGTGGGGCTGGGATTTTATGTTAGCTTGACTGCCTGGCGGGCAGGGAACGCATTACAGCCGGTGGGGCTGGGATTTTATGTTAGCTTGACTGCCTAGCGGGCAGGGAACGCATTACAGCCGGTGGGGCTGGGATTTTGTTTGATTATTGCAGTGTTTTCATTGGTACCTGTGTTATACCGGGACCAGCCTGGTGGGTGACGGCTGGGGATTGCTATACTTTGAATATTTGACACCAGTGGTGTTAACATGTACATGGCCATTTTATTCTCTATCATTCTGTGGTTTTTGTTTAATTGTTGTTACAGTGTGGGTACCCTTAGTGTGTCTGTGTGTATTGTGTGGTTAGTTCTGGATTCCGGAGTTTACGCTCATTTATATGTTTGTGATTTTTGCAAATGTCTTCTCATTAGCGCAGCCACGTTCATTTTCTCCTTTGTTCTTTATCTCTCCTGTGCCTGTTGCCCAGAGCTGTGTTAGTCACCCACGCTCATTCGCTCCCGTCCGTGACCACCACCCCGGGTGGGCGGATCTCCGTGACTGGTCTACGTTTGGGGAAGACGCACGGGGCTCAAGTTCTCGTGGCAGTCGAGCACTGTAGACATTCTTTTTCCTTTTCCTTTGTACCTCCTCTATTTATCTGTCTTTAGCACGTGGCACGCTTCGATTACTCAAGATGGGACAGGAACATGCTAGACCTGCCTAGGGCTTGCTGGCTTGTGACACTGTGAAAGAAAGGGCAGGGGAAGATGCAATGTTGAAACTTAGAAAGATTGCTAAGGTGTGTGGCTTTCAGATGTCGCCCAGTGGGAGATTGCAGCCTGAGTTTTGGAGGAAGTTACTCATAGACAAGGAAGGGTTGTTGTTGGATAATGGACTCACAAAGGTTGCAGAGGCTTGGTATCGGGTAGCTAGAGGTCTGAAACGGGAAGGATGGGTCGAGGAAGAGTTGGAGTTTGAGGGGCAAATCGTGTATGTTTACCATAGGAGTGTTAACAATGATGATGTTGTTTCCATTGTCCCGTGACCACCGCCCTATGAAGGCGCCCAGAGCACAACAGTAAATTCCCGCCCTGCTTCCCACGTCACAGCACAGACCCCACCCCCCGGGGGTGTGCCTTCAGCTCCCACCCCCCTGTGCCCCGTACTCGGTGCGGATGGTGCTTACTATTACCCAGTGCCACTTCACTCGTTCCCACCCACTCCCATGCACCAACCCTCCTATGACCCAGCCCCCTCCATCAACCATTCTCCCGTCATGTCTGTTGAAGTCCCCCCACCTCCATGTCCTCCGCTACCTCTCCCAGTGCCTGTTCCCACTCCGAATCCTCGTCAAGATCCCGTCCTAACTACTCCCGCCTCACCCACCCTCCTCTTCCTCCTCTCATTCCCTCCCCACCTCGAGTACCCCATCCCTAGCAACACCCGCTCCCTCACCCTCCTCGTCTGTTACACACCCAACTCCCCCGACCCTTGCCCATTCCACCGACCCCGTTCCTCCGGACCCCTGTCCCCCCACGGACCCTCCTTCTCCCATACCCTCGGACCCAGACCTTTCCTCTTTTCTCGCTAGCCTTTCGAAAGTGACCTGTCCCGTGACCCCTACCCCTTCACCCTCTCTGCCCTTCCCTCCTTCTCATTCCCCTTTGCCCTTCTCCTCCAAGGATCCCTCATCCCTACTCTCCACTCTCATGAATCTTGTCCAGCCTGTTAATCCCGGTCCCCTTGCCTCTGCTCCCTTATGCACAGACACCCCTCCCATCCTCCAGGACCCTCCCGCTATCCACACAGTGTTACCTCCTCCCGAAGTCCCGGCCCCCTCTACCTCGTTGCCTCCTCCTCCCTCGGCCGATTTGCCGTCCCTAATCTCTGCCCTCACCGCCCTGACCCAACCCCCTGTTACCACCCCTCCAACCCCTTCTCCAGTGTTACCTCCTCCCGAAGTCCCGGCCCCCTCCACCTCGTTGTCTCCTCCTCCCTCGGCCGATTTGCCGTCCCTAATCTCTGCCCTCACCGCCCTGACCCAACCCCCTGTTACCACCCCTCCAACCCCTTCTACAGTGTTACCTCCTCCCGAAGTCCCGGCCCCCTCTACCTCGTTGCCTCCTCCTCCATCGGCCGATTTGCCGTCCCTAATCTCTGCCCTCACCGCCCTGACCCAACCCCCTGTTACCACCCCTCCAACCCCTTCTCCAGTGTTACCTCCTCCCGAAGTCCCGGCCCCCTCTACCTCGTTGTCTCCTCCTCCCTCGGCCGATTTGCCGTCCCTAATCTCTGCCCTCACCGCCCTGACCCAACCCCCTGTTACCACCTCTCCAACCCCTTCTCCAGTGTTACCTCCTCCCGAAGTCCCGGCCCCCTCCACCTCGTTGTCTCCTCCTCCCTCGGCCGATTTGCCGTCCCTAATCTCTGCCCTCACCGCCCTGACCCAACCCCCTGTTACCACCCCTCCAACCCCTTCTCCAGTGTTACCTACTCCCGAAGCCCCGGCCCCCTCTACCTCGTTGCCTCCTCCTCCCCCGACTGGTTTGCCGTCCCAACCCTCCACCCACGTTGTTACGACACAGCCCCCTGTTCCCATCCCCCCGACCCCTCCCCCGGCGACCCCTGACCCATCCATGGCCAATGACCTGTCTAGCTCGATATCCGCCCTCTTCTCTGCTGTTACCTCCCTGGTTAATTCCGCGATCCCTGTGCCGCCTCCCACTGATTTACCACCTCCTCCTCCTCCACCTCCTCCCCCCGAACCTCCGACCCCTTCCTTGTCTCCCGCTAACATCCCCGAGCCTTCCGATCCAATCTCTGCTCTTGCTCATGTCCTAGACACTCACCTCTCACGCCCATCTCAACCGGCCCCCATAGCAGCCCCTTCCATGGCATTGATTCCTCATGTCCCTTCCGCCAGTCCTAGTTATCCAATCATGGTGGTTGGGTCCGAGGTGTCTGTGACATCGGACCAACCCTATGCAATGGGTGCTTCCCCCCAGGCCTCGGGTTTCCACCCAACTACCTCTCCCATCACCGGCCTCCCTGCCGCCCCCGCCACAGCTACCCCTGAGACTACTCTTCACCGCGGCCCGGTGGCACCCGAGGAGGTCGTTGTGGTGGACCAGGGCTCACCTCGCCTAGGGGGGAACAGGCTCCCCCAACGGCACTCTATCCCCCAGGGTTATACCCAGATTAACCATGGAGCGGATGGTGCACCACCCATGTATGTTACCTTCAACCCTTCCCAAGCTGCTACCCTGGTAACCTCACTCCCTGATCCTGAAAAACACCCCATGCCCTTTTTCCGCAGGATGGCCCAGATCCGTAAAACATACTCCGCTGCTTGGCGGGATCTTATTAGTTTGTGTGAAATAAAGGCTGGAGATGCATACTGGCCAGTCATGGAACGGAGCTTTAACGACGCTCCACTTACTTCTGATACTGATTTTCGTTCTGGTGAAATTTTCTGTGAACAGCTTCGAGCCTGGGCACAGGATAAACTAGCTGATCAGGCTACTTGCATAAATGACATAATTCAGGATAAACTTGAGACAGTTGAAAAGTATCACCGGAGCTGATGGAGGGCGGGCGGTATGTGACGTAGGTGCGTACGTCAGCGGCAGGACCGCGCGCTTTTTCGGACCAGGAAGTGGGGCAAAGGAGCGGCGAGGCATCAAGGCTGTGAGGACGCTCTGCGGTGCGGTGCTGAAGTGGAGGTGGAGGAAACGATTCGAGGCTGCCGATCCTGCTAGGCGGCTGAGTAACGGAAAACTTTTCTTTCTCTATTACTGCCTAATGCTTTAATGTTTTAATGCTGCAGTAAATACTTTTTGATGGCATAAAAAAAAAAAAAGGAGACTGGGCTGTTAATGAGCCGACAGGTTGACTGTCAGTTTACAGGTATCCTTTATTAACCTGGCTTCTGGCATTGTGGTGTAACGGACAAGAGTACAGTTTTTGAGTAAATTGTCCCATTTATTTGCTACTGACCTCCATTGACCTCTATCTCTATCTCATATTTTAAAGTGATAATTTAAGGATTGCTATTTAAAGGGATAGCTATCTGAAATTTAAAGTCACAATAAAGTCATAACAAAAGATAGAAAAAGAGAGGAAAAAGGAGGAAGGGAAGGAGAAGAAAGGAAGAAATAAGGTGAAGGAAACCTACTAAGATATATGTGCCAAAGAAATACATAATATCTCTAAGCGACAAAGGAAAAAAAAGAGAAAGAAAAACTTTTTTTTTTTTTTTTTCTCTTCCCTGAGTGACGAAGAAAATTTTGAGAGATTTATTATTATTACACATGGCTCCTAAGAAAGAGAAAGCCCAAACTATTGAGAGAAAGAAGGCAACAATTGGCGCATTTTATTCTCCTAAAATGCCATCCGTAGAATCAGAGAGGCAACGAAAATCTTTGCCTTTAGAAAATGCTGAGCTTACGACACATCAAATATCAGATATATCAGAGGATGACTATCCACATCTGCCAAATACACAGGGAATAACGCAACAATTATTAACCCAAATGTTGGACAATCTGTATAAAAAAATTAAAACGGATATTGAACATAATACAAATGATCTCAGATTGGAAATTGCCACTCTCTCTGAGAAAATCTTAAGTCAGGCAATTATACTACAAAAAGAACAAGATGAATATGAACAGATCAAACTATTTAATATACAGTTAGAGAAAAGATTGAACGATGTCGAGATTAAATTGACAAACTTAGAAGATCGCTCCAGGAGAAATAATATAAGAGTTAGAGGTATACCAGAATCAATAACACAAGAAGACTTATATTCTTATCTGGACAGTTTTTTTTCAAGAATCCTGTCTCGACAGACGCTGGGCCCTGAAACCTTTGAAAGATTTCATAGAATGTCCAGACCAAATGGAATTGATAAATCTTATCCAAGGGACGTTATGATCTGTTTCTCCAGTTTTCGGATAAAAAATCTAATATTGCAGAAAATAAGGAATGAGATTTTAGATACTGAAGAATGGAGACATTTAAAAGTTTTTCAGGACTTATCCCAAAAAACAAGACAAGCAAGAAGATCCTTCTCAGAAGAAACGGCAATCCTTAGGGATAAGGACATAAGATACAAGTGGTTGTTTCCGATGGCAATTATGGTCTTTTTTAAAGATCAATCATACATCTTCAAAGACAATATGGCACTTAAGCAGAAATTGATAACTCTTAAAATTACCCCTTGAAAAAGGGAAGGAGGAAAAAAGAAAAAGAAAAAATGAATTAATTTATTTATTTATTTATTTATTTTTTTTTTTTTGTGTGTGTGGAAATGGAAATGTTCTAGAGGGATATTGAGTGACACTGACAATTTAATAATAAGGATACATTTACATTTAAATTACCGAGTATGGAGGAGAACAGTTTAAAGTTAAAACTTATATATATAGACACACAATTAGGTTTAGTTGTATAGAATCAATGAAACTGAGTTTTGTTTGTATTCACTAAAAGGGTCTTTATAAATAATACTTATTAACTTAACAGTAACTGTATTAGTAGATATTTTGTGAATATTTATATATAAAATTAAAAGTAAAGAATTTGAAGAATAAGGAGATAGACTCACATTTAAAGTAATAAAAATTGGATGAATAGATTAAAGATAGTGATTATTAGACACATAATTAAAATTAGATGCACGAAATGCACGAAAAGGAGGTTTATAATACTCACAAGATTATATAAATTTAATAGATTACTATTGGATTTTTTTTTTTTCCTCTCTCCTTCTGGGGTAGTGCGAGGCAAATGGCCCACTAGCCTGGTTCAAGGTCCTGCGACGGCAGCAGGGTTAGATATGAAGACTATATTTAGTTCTTCATATTTTGGGATAAATGTCTTGAGAGATTGTTGTCTGAACTTCTCCAGGAGGTAAAATTTTATATTTCTAACTGGGGAAGGTATGAGTGGATGGGTGAATGGGGAAGGTTTGGGGAGTGGATTTGTGTGTCGGATACTACCTGAGGGGAGGCTAGGGGGGAGGAGGAAGTGGGGTGAAGTGCGGCAGGATGACACTTAATATACTATCTATTAACGCAAGGGGCTTGAACTCAGGACAGAAAAGAGGTTATTTGTATAAGCTACTGATAGACAGCAAAACGGATATTGGTTTCGTACAAGAAACACATTGGGTTAACTCTTTACCTAATGTATGGAACTATAAAAAATTTCCAGTGGTACATAGATCCAAATTGGTAGGAAAGAATAAGAAAAGAGGAGTGGCAATCTTCTTCTCAAGTAGTTTGAAATATGAATTGGTTTATGAAGAGGCTGACTCTGGTGGTAGATTTCTTATAGTGATAGTTAGAATTAATTATATTTTATATACACTGGTAAATGTCTATGCTCCAACTCAACTCCCATATAGATTTCTGGGCAGCCTGATGCAAAAGGTGGACCGTGTGTCGTCTGGAAGCCTAATTATCGGCAGGGATTTTAACTGCATTATAGATAACAAAGTGGATAGGAATAGAACTAAGCTCATGGATAAGGAGGACAACCAAAAAATAGTTCCATCAATGATGCAGACTTTCTTAGCAAAAAATTGTTTATATGATTCCTGGAGAATACTTAACCCAGAAGAGCGAGATTATACGTTCTATTCAAATGTTCATCAGACATATACTAGAATTGACTACTTTTTGGTTAAAGCTGAAACACTAGAGCAAATTAACAAAGTGACAATTGGGCCCATAACATGGTCTGACCATGCACCAGTAAGTTTAGTTATAAATAACAACGTGGAATACAAACGTAGAGATAGATGGCGACTAAATGAAACTCTATTAAAATCAGAAAGTAACGTAGAAGAACTGCGTATTCAGGCTAGAGAATTTTTTGAAATTAATGATACAGGGGACGTTTCTAAAGCTATGTTGTGGTGCACTTTTAAATCATATATGAGAGGGTGTCTTATAAAATTGGGTGCCAATATAAAGAAAAAGAAGGGAAAAGAGTTGAATGAGCTTTATATTGATTTAGCAAAACAAGAATGTCTACATAAGATTACTTTAGACCATAGAATTCTAGAGGACATTAAGGAGATTAGGAAGAAAATATTAATAAGAACTCAAGAAAAAATTGATAAAGCAATGTTAGTATTAAAGCAGGGATGGTATTATGGAAATAATAAAACAGGGAAAAATCTTTCAAATAAACTAAAACATAAAAATAAATCTCAATCTATAAACTATATAATAGCTAGAAATAAAAAACTTTCTTCACCAACCCAAATAGCTAATGCATTTGAAGAATATTATAAAAGTTTATATAATTTAAAATTTAACGAGCCATCTGTAGGGGAAATAAAGAATTTCCTGGATAAATTAGGCTTGCCAAAGATTTCTATTGAGAAATTAAATCAGCTTAATGCTCCATTTTCCATTCAGGAGATTAGCGATACTATTAAAGTATTAATACCGGGCAAAGCACCAGGCCCAGATGGGTTTACATCGATTTTTTATAAAAAATTAAATGATATAATTTCCCCATATTTATTGAAGACATTTAAAGAATTTGTCAGCCATAAAACTATTCCATCTGAACTACTTCAGGCCTCTATAATTCCAATCCCCAAGGTAGAAAAGGATCCAAGGTATACTTCGAACTATAGACCAATCTCTCTTATTAATCTAGATATTAAAGTATACTCTAGAATTTTGGCCGATAGACTTAAACAAAATATACCTGATATTGTATATAAAGATCAGAGTGGATTTGTGGAAGGCAGAGGTACATCAGATAACATTAGGAAATTATTGAATGTTTTATATCATGCGGACAAAAGTGTGTCCCCTTTCGCCATGGTAACCCTTGATGCCGAGAAGGCCTTCGACCGTGTTAACTGGAAATATTTGGAAGAGGTTTTGAAGGCCTTCGGCATTGAGGGTCTCTTTAAAGAGTGCACAATGGCGTTATATAAAGATCCTCAAGCCAGAGTTTTAGGATTTATGTTTCAATCAAATTGGTTCCCAATTAGAAACGGGACGCGTCAGGGTTGCCCTCTGGCTCCTTTGTTATACATCCTCTCTATAGAACCGTTGGCAGCCGCGATTAGGCAGAATGAAAATATCAGCGGGCTAAAAGTAAATAGTTCGGAGAACAAAATTGCACTTTATGCAGATGACGTTCTACTGACTCTTACAGATCCCATTAGATCTATCCCAGCTGTATTTTGTCTTATTAATGAGTACAGTAAATTTTCAGGTTATAAAACAAATTTAAATAAATCACAAATCTTGACAAGAGGCCTAAATGGGCCTGGGGTAAAAAAACTTAAAAAGGAATTTAAATGTGATTGGGAAGCAAGGAACATAAAATACTATCTTTGGACTATAGGGAAATTGGTGAACTTAATTATATAGAAATAGTTACCCAATTTAGGAATACCCTAAAAAATTGGAAGGGATTGGAATTGTCCTGGCTGGGAAGAATAGAAGCGATAAATTCTTATTTACTCCCTAAACTGACATTTTTGTTTTGTAACCTCCCGCTGAGGGTTCCATTCCAGACGATACACGGTCTTCAAAAACTTGTTTCGGAATATATATGGCAAGATAAGAGACCTAGAGTATCAATGGAAATTTTACAGAGACATTGGAAGGAAGGGGGAATTTCTTTCCCAGATATACAGAAACTATATATGAACAACATGGTAGCACACTTAATTAAATGTGATAACTTTACAAAGACAAGACCAGTTTGGTTAGATATCGAAAAATCGGATCTGTGTAATATTGAACCTTTATTTCTCTGGTGGTGTGATAGTGAATTTGTAAAAAATTTAAGATCTAATAACCCGATGAATAACACAATGATCTATATTGTAAAATATCTGAAGAAAAAATACGGAACTAAATATATATCAAGAAATGCCCCATTTATGTGTCTTAAATATTATATAAAGAATATAAATCTTCAAGAATGGGAAAAATGTGGAATTGTAAAAATTGCGGAACTTTTAAATGATAACAAAATATTGCCATTTGCAATGCTACAGCTTAATTATAATCTCCCTTCGAAGGAAATATTTAATTACTTAAGAATAAAATCCTTCGTTATGGGAAATGTTTTTTCGGACACTTCTCCATTCGATCAGTTTGTAGCATTCCACTATAAAAAAAAAAATTGCATCTAGATTTAATCAATTTACAAGTTGCCAAAGGCAAATAGTTAAAGCATTGGCAATGATTAATTGGGAGCAGGAACTCCATTTCTCATCTTCGGTTGAAAATTGGAATTCGGCCCTACAATTAGTAAAAAGACACATACATGGGGTGAATATACAGGAAGTGTACTTTAAATTAGTATACCGTTGGTACTTGGTGCCCACTCGTCTTCATAGATTTCAACCCACACTTCTACCAGATTGTTGGAGATGTGGTAGGGAGTTAGGTTCATTCTCCCACATCTGGTGGGACTGTGAGGAGTTGAAATCTATGAAAATAATTTTATCGGACTTGGTGGATTTCATTCTGAAGGTTAAAACTATTATTACGGCACAAATGTTCCTGTTCCATTTAGATCTGCCAAAAGTTAATATAAAACAAAAAATTCTTATGATTCATTCTTTTATGGCAATAAAAATAGTTATGGCCAGAAATTGGAGAAATATGGGTTCGTTAAATTGGCATGATATAGGTATACAAATAGATTATCAACGTAGGATGGAAGCTGGCTTAGCCTCAAATAAGTTATCCAGAGAGAAATATGATGAAATTTGGGCCCCTTGGGTTGGATATCTTAGTAGTAAAAACTCAACCCCTCCCACAGTTAACCAGTCTTAGGTAGTACCTGTGAAATTGTAAGATTGTAAGAAAGAGGAATTGTGTGTTATTTTCTTTGGTTCGAATGTAGTTTATGTAGACAATGTTTAAGTGAAATATGGCTACACTAGTTATATGTATAATTACATAATTTATTGTAAAGGAAAATATTGTACCATATTGTAAAATCTTTTTTATGAAAATGTATATGGATGAATTTTTTCAAAATGAAAAATAAAAATTTATATAAGTAAAAAAAAGAAAAGTATCACTCTAGATTGACTCAGACTTTCTCAGACTTAGGGTTCAGCACCTATAACAAAGCACACACCCAGATGCTATCTGCAGCTTTTGTGGCAGGCCTTAGGGAACACATTCGTAAGGGGTTAATTTTAGCTCGCCCAGAGTACAGAATTATTCCACTGGACACTCTTTTGTTGGTAGCCAAAGGCTTAGAATCTGTTTTGCAACCCACACAGCGAAGAACTAGTCCTCTGATGTACACTACCTCCACACCAATTGCAGGTTCTAACCAAGTTCCTCAGTTACTCCCCCAGCAGTACACTCAGTCACCCCAGACACTGCCTGCACCAATTCCCTTCTCCCGGGACCGGACTATCACAACAATCCGGACCTGTTTTAATTGTAATCAGCCAGGTCACTTTAGAAGAGATTGCCCACACCCTAGAGTGATCCGCCAACAGACTCCCCGGTACCCAAGTCCCCATGTCACCGGCTATAATTTCCCCTCCACTGGTTACCTCCCTGCCCTGCCCCATCCACAGTTGCCTCAACTTCCTCCACCTCCTCCTCCTGAATACACCCAAGCCCGGCTCCCTGCATCAGAAGCTCGTGCATACACTTCGCCCTCCGCTGAAGGGTATGACAACGATGATTTCCAAGACAGTCAGCCACAACCCCGCCACGCCATCCGCCCATCCCGTCCTCCCATGCATTCTACTAACCCTCCTTCCACTTCCCGCCGGTACCAGGGACCAGACCAGGCCCATCTAGATTTATTACAATAGGTAACTGGCAAGCCTGTGTCAGCAACCCCTGCCATGGCAGTGTCTGCGGGGGATGGGGGAGGGCCTTTAGCTACTGTAGTTCTCCCCGTGGAAGGTCACCCAACCACCTTTCTAGTTGACACAGGTGCAGCCCGTAGTGTCCTTAGGGAACAAGACCTGCCAGACCCTTCCTTCTTATCTGACACCGATGTCTCCTGTGTTGGGGTGGATGGTACACCACGCAGTAACCCCCTTACTAAGCTCCTACACGTAGGATCACACATCCTCTCCCGGTTTGTTGTTTCCTCTACTTGCCCCATTAACCTCCTAGGTGCTGATGTTCTCTCTCGGCTCCAGGCTTCTATTACCTTTACTGCAGATGGTCAAGTTGAGTTGACAACCCCCTTATCACAAAAAGATACCTCTGTCCTCTGCTCACTCCCCATCTTGTTGAACCTAACTGAAAGTACAGGGAATGCACGGGTCTCACACACCCCCAGTGTTCTGGATCGTATCCCCCAAGAACTTTGGTCCACCGGCCCGGATGATATTGGGCGCTTACATGTACCCCCAGTCTTGGTCCAGCTCCTGCCTGGAGCACTACCTCCTCGTAGACCACAGTATCCTCTGAAGCTAGCACAAGCTGAAGCCATCACCAAACAAGTTGAAAGCCTACTTGCCAAAGGTGCCCTCATCAAGTGCACATCTCCATGTAACACACCACTTTTCCCTGTTAAAAAGCGAACTGTTAAGGGTCAACCCGACCAGTACCGCATGGTGCAGGACCTCCGTGCTGTTAATGAAGTAACCATAAAAGACACTGCTATTGTTCCAAACCCTCACACCCTCTTGTCCCAAGTCCCACCAACTTCCACAATATTCACTGTAGTGGATCTAGCTAATGCCTTTTTCAGTGTCCCCCTTGACCCTTCCTGCCGCTTTCTCTTCGCCTTCACTCATGAAGGACAACAATATACCTGGACTGTTATGCCTCAGGGGGCTCAGAATTCCCCCACACAGTTTGCTCATGCCATGTCCCTGGTTCTGGATCCCTGGCAGAAATCTCATTTGGATGTTGTCCTGCTTCAATATGTTGATGATCTCCTTCTCTGTGCTCCTGATTTGCCCACTGCAGAGCGTGACTCAGAAGATCTCCTATGTTTCCTCGCTGCAGCTGGTTGCAAAGCTTCAAAATCAAAGCTACAATGGTGCCGGCCCTCTGTGGTCTTCTTGGGACATTGCCTTTCCCATGGCACCAAGCATCTAACTTCTCAACGTGTGCAAGCTATTCTGCAACTCCCTTTACCTGCGACACATCAGACTCTTCATGCCTTTTTGGGTCTTATCACATATTGCAGGTCCTGGATACCCGAAGCATCAAAGCTCATGCAGCCACTCTATGATGCCCTCAGGAGTGAGCCCTTTCACCTCACTGAAGAAACTATCACCTGTTTCCACAATCTGAAAAGAGCTATTGCTTCTGCACCTGCTTTGGGCCTACCCAACTACCAACTTCCTTTCAATTTGTTTGTCTCTGAAAAGTCAGGACATGCTTCTGGAGTCCTTACCCAGAAACATGGGTCACGGCAACGACCTATTGGCTATTTTTCCTGCATGCTTGACCCTGTTGCGAGGGGTAGCCCCTCTTGCCTCAGAGCGGTGTTTGCCGCCAGCGCCCTCCTAGACAAGACCAATGATTTTGTTCTTGGCCATCACCTCACAGTGTTGGCCCCTCATGATATTACTGCAATCCTGCAACAAGTTCAACCTAAACACCTTTCCTCCCAACGTCACCTCCGTCTGCAAACCTCCTTACTTCTACCTGACAATGTGAAACTCCAGAGATGTCTTTCCCTGAACCCAGCCACTCTTCTGCCACTTCCCAAGGGGGGAGTTGTGCATTACTGGTATAGCCTGGATATCAACCCAGAGGTTTGAACAGATTTGCAGCTGCCTGCACTTGCACCTCCACATGATGAACAATCAGAGGCCCTACTTCACTGTACCTTGTGGTTTAAGGACGTACCAGGCCCTGATATGAACTATGAGGAAGAACTATTCCAGCTCAAAGAAATTCAAATTACCCTGACTGACTTATTCTGGGACCCCACAGGTACCATGCTCATCTTAGTCCATCTTACAGAGAATGTAACACATCTCTACCATCATTGGGAAACAGCTATCCCACACATATCTCTCACCAGATCCCCCGACACCTCATGGAAAGACCTAGGCCCGATGGCCAAAACCTGGAGCCAAATGACCCAAGAACAACTGACTTCTACGGGGATCAACAAAAAGACTATTAACTACTGTACAGCAGGGTACCCAAGGTACCACACAGAAGCCTGTGAAGATCCACTCACCACAGACTGTGACCTAGATATTCCTCATGATTGTTTTGAACAAATGAAAATGGAAACTACACACCTACCAACTGTCTATGAAGCTGCATTACTCAACCCGGACCAAACACTATTTGTGGATGGGTCAAGATTTGCTGATGAACAGGGACAATATCACACTGGGTATGCAGTCACCACAGGATGTCAAGTATTACAAGCAGCTGCCCTACAACCAGCTAAGTCTGCTCAAGAAGCCGAGCTAACAGCCCTGACTGTGGCCTGCAAATTGTCTGAAGGTCTACGTGTCAATATTTACACGGATTCAAGATATGCCCTGGGAGTAGCACATGACTTTGGCTTAATTTGGAAGACCAGAGGATTTCTTACGGCTACCGGTACCCCAGTAAAACATGGGGCAGCCATTGCAGAACTGATGGATGCATTGGAACTTCCAGCAGAGGTGGCAGTACTGAAAGTAAAAGCCCACGGAAGACTAGACACAGAAGAAGCACGGGGCAACCACTTAGCTGATCAGGCAGCTAAGGAAGCAGCACGGCAAGGATGGGAAGTGGACAGAAGAGTGGCCACAGATACATTACCCATCTACACTATGCAAACATTGCCTACAGATCTTAGGCTTCTGAAGGAACAACAAGCTGCTGCTACTCCCCAGGAGAAACAAAGTTGGAAGAATAAAGGAGCTGTACTCCGTGATGATGTTTACACCATCAATCTCAAGTTCTGCTTACCCAGAAGTATGTACTCAGCGGTGGTCCAATGGGCCCATGGGCCAGCCCACCTGTCGAAACTCCTGATGAACTCACTGATTGACAAGTATTTTGAAGCACCAGGCATCACTACCTTAACACGGAATTACTGTAAATCTTGTACTATATGTGCTAAATGCAATCCTGGAAAGATCATAAAGACCACACCTAATCACCTAGCTAAACCACAATACCCCTTCCAGAGGATCCAGATTGATCACATTCAGATGCCAAAGAGTGGACGTTATGAATATGCATTGGTCATAGTGGACATGTTCTCAGGATGGCCAGAGGCCTTCCCAGTGACTAATCTCACCGCGAGGACTACAGCCAAGTATCTTTTGACAGAAATTGTTTGCCGCTATGGAGTTCCAGAAGTAATTGAAAGTGACCAAGGGACCTCCTTCACTGCCTCGCTAACACGGGAAGTCTGGTCAGCACTGGGGGTGACCCTTGCATTCCACACACAATACCACCCACAAAGTAGCGGTAAGGTAGAACGCATGAATGGCACTTTGAAAGCCAGAATGCTTAAGATGTCACAAGAAACTAAAATGCCCTGGCCCGAGAGTCTCCCACTAGCGTTATTTAGTGTAAGGTACACTCCCAGAGGAAAATATAGCTTGTGAGATTTTGTTTGGTACAGCACCCAGGTTAGGTTGCTACTTTCCCCAACAGCTTCAGATTCAGTCAGATGCTATGGTAGACTATGTGACTGCCCTCTCACATGCCTTGACCAAGATACATGCCCAAGTGTTTTCTTCTATTCCAGATCCTGAGTCGAATACAGGTTCTTCCGGGTGATTGGATTATGGTCAAGAAGTTTCTCAGAAAACACACCCTAGAACCGAGATTTGATGGTCCTTATCAAGTGCTCCTGATTACACCAACGTCAGTTAAACTAGCTGGAAAGAGTTCTTGGATACACGCTTCACATTGCAAAAAAGTGCCTGCTCCAGAAGAGGCTGATCCTGTTGAAATATGAATTTATTATGTGTCTTGTGTTTTCTTATGTTGCTACACTTTGCCTGGGCCCAACAAGTGGCCATAACCAAAGATAATCACGTTTACACTTTCTGGTACAATTCTTCTAATACTGATGTAGCCACATACACCTTTGATTACTGTGACATAGTTACTTGTACATTTCCACAAACACAATATGCAGCCATATACAAAGACATACCTAACAAAAAGGATCCATACATTTGTGTGACTGGAGGAGTTTGGGGACACCATTGTAGTTCATGGAAAGCTGCCGGGTGGAATACAGGTAGACCATGGGGCTACAGACCTCAAGTTGCACTGGACAGACTTGACAAAGACGGGAAACCCCTACTTTCTAGAATGACTCTGAGTAAACCCATAGGGTCAACTCCCATTAAACTTACCCTGAATATAGAACACCCCAGCCCAAGGGATGCAGGGGAATATGTGATGGGAATGTATTGGAAGGGAGGTGGCTCACATAATGCATTGGGGACATTTTACCTACAGGACATGCTCACCTGCCCAGACTGGGTAGGGACCACTCACATGATCATTAACCCATTAAAGCCACATATTAAGACCCTACATGACATGGTAGCTATAGCCAACCCCACCTTTGAAGATACCATGGCAGTAGAGACTGGGTTTTCAGACACTAATTTGTGGCTAGAATGGATGAGGTATAATGCCAACTCACATAATAAGACTAACTGTTATGTATGTGGAGGAGCCAGGCCCCATCTGGGTACAGTACCTCTGAGCTTACCCCCTGAAGTAGAATTATGTGTTCTGAGTCTTTATGCACAATCCACCACCAACTCCTTAACATGTGAATCATGGAAGAGAATTTACCCAATCACTCATGGACATGTAAAACCACCTGATGGAGTCACCGTCTACCCAGGTAATTACACATGTTATACAATACCTAAGAACGCTGGTTTGTATCTGGGCAAATTCCCATCAGGATATTGCTCAACTTACCATAATCCACCTGTATCACTGCTAATGAACCACACAAAGACAATCGGTGATATCTATTGGTTATGTGGTGACAAACAATTGAGGTCCCAATTAGCTGGGCAATGGTGGGGGGAGTGAGCCCTAACCAAAGTCATAATGCCTATCCACATTATTCCAGATGGTAGTCATAACAAGTTAAACCTTACACATGTACACTTTAGAACCAAACGAGAGGCTCCTATCCGAGGGAGCTTCGACCCCCATGTGTATATTGATGCCATAGGTGTGCCAAGGGGGGTGCCTAACGAATTTAAAGCAAGAGATGAAGTGGCTGCAGGATTTGAATCCCTAATTCCAATGATAACTGCTAACAAAAATGTTAATTGGATCAACTACATCTATTATAATCAGCAGCGCTTCGTTAACTACACAAGGGATGCCCTACAGGGCCTAGCAGAACAGTTACAAGCCACTACTCAAATGACATTTCAGAACAGAATGGCCCTAGATATGATTCTAGCTGAGAAAGGGGGAGTATGTAAGATCCTCCCTGAGACTATGACGTGTTGCACATACATTCCAGACAACACTGGGCCAAATGGTAAGGTGACTACGGCCATAGAAAAGCTAGATAGTCTTTCTGATGAACTAAAGAAAAATTCAGGAGTCACTGATACTTGGGACAGATGGTTTGGGTGGATGAATGGTTGGCAAAGGACTCTCTTCCAGGTAGGGACAGCTGTTCTTATAATGATTATCATCTTCTTATTTTTAACCTGTTGCGTGCTCCCTTGCATACAGAAGTACTTACAGAAAGCGGTAGATAAGACTATAGATGACGTGACCCCTACTTTCCTACATCAAGACATCACAGACCTCAAAGATGACACTCCACATACACCCCTTCAATCACATCAGTTCAAACAGACAACTGCTCTCCTGTAGGGACAGTGTAGGGAAAGCGTCTGTCTTAGCAGGCGAGTCTCACGTGTGGAGATGTGGTGGACTAGCCGCTGCGGGTTACCCACGGAGTGAAGTGTTCGATGCTTGTTAAGACAGATGAGCTGCAGGCAGCTAGGGACATATTAGGGACAGTAGCAGTTGTTATGGTAAATAGCCATTTTAGGGGGGACTGTTGTGGAAATAAGGTCTGCACATATTTCCTAGTTAGTGAAAATGTCTATTTACTCATTCCACGATATATTATATATAAAGCTAAGCACACATGTTTTAGTCAAAATGGCTGCTAGAAGCTTCTAACCTCTCCTCCCCCCCCCTTCCCTTCTTAAAACCAACTAACTACCTCGTGCAGCAAGATGGCGCCGGGAAACCGTGGGAGACCCTCATGGCCCCGGTGACATCACCTACAGTAGGCAGAGCATTAGAGCGACCACTTAACACCTAACCAATTATTGATGTATTATTCCATGTTATCTCTGACAATGCTTATGATGTAATTATGCTTTAAAAGGGACCTGCCGTCCCCTCTGAATAAACATTCCTCAAGTTATTCAACAACCTGGAACCTGTGTCTGGTGTGAATTACTTCAGGGAGCGTGCACGCATCGTTTCATTGATTTGGCCAGGGGCAGATACACAAAGAAATAATCAATACTTTGATTGATTTTTCCATTTCAGACATTTTCCCAAACATAGACGAACGCAACAGAGCAGGGAATCCGTCTAATTTATGTTCAGGGAAATTTCCCCGAGCATAGATTAGAGGGATTCCCTGCTCTTGTGTGTTTGTCTATGTTTGGGAAAATGTCCATGAACACAGACATGCGCACCAGAGCAGGGAATCCCTTAAATCGATGTTCAGGGAAATTTCCCTGCTCTGTTGCATTCGTCTATGTTCAGGGATTCTTTGTATGAGAATGATACAAGTAATTTTAGTTTGTGTTGGTCTAGGTTGAACTCTTTTTTTTGCAGCCCACATAAACTTAAACTTTTTTTATTTGGCCATGTTAGCCTTTGAGTTTGACATCCTTGGTGTACATGCTGGCATATGTGAATATGGATCTGTATCATGTGTGTGCATGTGGGTGCACTCTGAGTACAGACGTGTGGCTTCCATGGGAGAAAAAGACTTGGCCTCCAGGTAAATTGAGTTTGAGACCTTTAGAAATAATTTCCCCTAACAGTTAGAGGACCACTCTAAGCACCATAATGATTTCATCTCAATTAAGTTGCTATGGTGTTTTGGGATCCTGGGTTCCTTCTTACCTTATAAGATTTCACTGTTATCAACCAGTTTAATCCAAACATGCTGTTCACAGCGCCCACCCACTAAGCTGCCTCTTCCTCCATTGGCTTCAAAGTGAAAGACTTTCCTGTTGAGGACAGTGCTGGGCACTCTCAGCTTATCACTGGTCACCTATTTAGAGAAATACTTTAGAAAGGTTGTTTACATACATGGTCAGGTGAGTTCCCTTATATTGTAAATAAATATATATATGTAAATTCTTATCTTGTAATACCTTTTTTATTGGACTAACAGAATTTTTTAATGACAAGCTTTCAGGAGAAATACGGCTACAATCTCTACTTAAATATATATATATATATATATGACTAGTTTCAAGACTTAACTGTACATACGTGACATAAAACCACATAACACCTCAATCAATTAAATGCCAAAAAAGAAAAAAATTGCTTTATTTGTCCATTAAATCAGAAATATGGTTTGAGTGTTAGCATAGGGGTGATAAAATGAAAAGTTGTAATGGGTAACAAAGCAGGTCTTAAAATACAAAAATATTAGCAAAAAAAGCACTAAACATAGTAATAATTGGCTGATATCCGTATTTTTACCAATCTTTACGGTGAAATGCTGACAGACTGGGGTTTGCAATAAACATAACAATGTGGTTAGAGGAGCTCCCCAGGTAAGAGAATGACCACTACACACTGTCCCAGAGTGCCCCATTATTGCCCCAGGGCCCCACTGGGCGTTATTCAATGTTATTCACCGCAGACCCGCTCCCTGCAGGCTGACTGACAGGGGATTACAATGAGCAGCAACTCAGCGCCGCAACAGTTAAAGCATGGTGTTAAGTAACGACTGGCCCCGCCCCCTCACCGAGTGACGTCGTATGTTATGGTAGTCACCACGAGAGCACCGTTTCCGGTGTAAAGGTTCACTTCCTGTTCGGGCTCGGTGTCGGTCTGGCAGGATTGGGCCCTGGAGAGACAGGTTGGTGCCGATAATGGAGCGCGGTTTCTCGTAGATTAGGTTTCGCGCCTTGATATCGGAGGGAACCGAAACAAGTGCCAGTGTGGGACCAGGTGCCGGCAGAAGGATCCCCGGGCACCGTATGTCGGTCTGGGTCCGCTGTTGTGGTTGGTTTGTGCCAGCAGGGGGCTGGCTGTTGTGGTTAGTGTGTGCCGGCAGGGGGTGGGCTGTTGTGGTTAGTGTGTGCCGGCAGGGGGCGGGCTGTTGTGGTTAGTGTGTGCCGGCAGGGGGTGGGCTGTTGTGGTTAGTGTGTGCCGGCAGGGGGTGGGCTGTTGTGGTTAGTGTGTGCCGGCAGGGGGGCGGCTGTTGTGGTTAGTGTGTGCCGGCAGGCGGGCTGTTGTGGTTAGTGTGTGCCGGCGGGCGGGTTGTGGTTAGTGTGTGCGGCAGGGGGGCGGGTTGTTGTGGTTAGTGTGTGAGGCGGCAGGGGGCTGGCTGTTGTGGTTGGTGTGTGTGCACGAGTGCCGCAGGGGCTGGCTGTTGTGGTTGGTGTGTGCCGGCAGGGGGGGGGCTGTTGTGGTTGTGTGTGCCGCAGGGGGCGGGCTGTTGTGGTTGGTGTGTGTGGCGGGGGCTGTGTGTGGTTGGTGTGTGCCGCAGGGGCTGGCTGTTGTGGTTGGTGTGGGCTGGCTGTTGTGGCAGCAGGGGCGGTTGTTGTGGTTGGTGTGTGCCGGCAGGGGGCGGGCTGTTGTGGTTGGTGTGTGTGGGCAGGCGGGCTGTTGTGGGTTGGTTGTGGTTGCGGCAGGGGGCGGCTGTTGTGGTTGGTGTGCCGGCAGGGGGCTGGCTGTTGTGGTTGGTGTGTGCCGCAGGGGGGCTGTTGGTGTGTGTGCAGGAGGCGGGCTGTTGTGGTTGGTGTGTGCCGCAGGGGGCTGGCTGTTGTGGTTGGTGTGGGGCTGTTGTGGTTGGTGTGCGCCGGCAGGGGCGGCTGTTGTGGTTGGTGGGCAGGGGCGGCTGTTGTGGTTGGTGTGGTGTGTGGTGTGCGGCAGGGGGCTGGCTGTTGTGGTTGGTGTGTGCCGGGCTGTTGTGGTGGTGTGTGCCGGCAGGGGGGCGGGCTGTTGTGGTTGGTGTGTGGGCAGGGGGCGGCTGTTTGGTTGGTGTGCAGTGTGGTGTGTGCCAGCGGGAGCCAGCGGGGGTGGGTGGGCTGGTGTGTGCCAGCGGGGGGGGGGTGCCAGCTGGTCTCGTGTCATTTCCGGTGATGCAGGTATAGAAATCTGATAGATATAGATTTGTGTTAGAACATTGGCCTGTATGACAGGGCTAAGCTCAATTAAGGTAATGGAAGCTTGTTGCAAGAGCTTCTGGCTGCAATGATGGGTGCCTGGTGGGCCCCAGATAAATGGTCAAACAGCTTTTCTACTTACCCTGGGAAGGTGCCCAGCAGACTGTAGTGTTTATGCTGCTAGGAGTGCTATGGTTCCTTCCCACGGTAAGATGTCACATGGTGTAGTCAAAGCCGGATGTGAAGCATGGCTAATGCAGGATTGTGCTCAAAGTCTGTGAGGGCTTAACTGACAATCTTAACCAATGAGCGTAATCTTACATGTCCTTGCTTTGCTCTATAGAGCATTTTCCTGCTGGAAAAGACTGGATGTACTGTGGGTAAGTTGTCAAACTCTGCTAAAACTGTTTGACATCTTACTGTGGGATTGTGCCAGGGCACTTCTGGCACCATCACCGCTACAACGTGCTGTTGTGGTTATGGTGCTTGGAGTGTTTTTATAACTGTAGAATGGTTAGGAGAAATCTCTCATGACTGGCAGCCAACTGGCAAGTAGTGTGTTGGATCAGAGCTCTAGACATACTTCATACCTCTCTTTTCCAGAGGGGTAGGTAGCTGAGTATTAGTATTCTATGCCAGTTATAATTAAACTTGCTTTGTTTTGCAGCATAACTCTCAGAAATGTCAGGGGGTACAGAAATCATGGCTGTTCCTCTTGGAGGAAATGCTGATCCAGCGGGGCTGGAGGAACCAAAGAAAATGACAAGAGAGGATTGGAGAAAGAAAAAGGAGTTGGAAGAACAGCGAAAGTTAGGTAATGCCCCTGCTGAAGTGGATGAAGAAGGAAAGTAAGTTTTTTTTTATTTTTTTTTTTTTTTTTATTTTTTTTTTTTAAGAGAATGTATTCTATTTGTATTTACAATGCATATATATTTATAAACCTTTTTATGTATACATTTTCTTGGTCTGTATATGCAAACACACTCTTTGGTGTAATGATTGTATTAAAAATGACAAAATGTTAAGGGATCCCACACAAATGTGGACAAGAATCCAAAGTTGGACATTGTGTGCTTCTTTGAACATCAATAAACATCATTTTTGGATAGTTGTTGACATTTGACATTACACAAATATATCAACTAAGTGGTAATTATGCTTTAAAAAACGGCCCAGTTTTGAGAATAATCAGTCCCTGTCCCATGCTAGGTTGTCCTGATTATGCAATGTTTGCTTTTTTAAAAAACATTTTTCTTTAAATCGGGTAAAGTGGTACAAGTGAAAATTACCTTTACCCTTAGTGGAGCACTGAATATTCAGCGCTACACTAAGGGTGTAGGCCATTTTCACTTGTACCACTTTTTTTAACGGTTTAGCGTGGTGTGTGGGGAGGAGGGTATTCCTACACAAATGCCTAAAGCTGCTGGTTCACACGTTTGCACCTCAAGCCCTTTGAATTCAACACACTCTCCTTTTGGAGTTTTTTTTTTTTTTTTTTCTTCTATAAATCTATCTAGATCTATCATTTTCAGGGGTCTTTGCTTGTTTTAGTCCTAGGGGGCAGTCAAAGTAGGTTTACTTACCTGAAGCTGTCCTTCACCGCCATCAGTATGCTGGGGATCCTCTCAAGGTCTTGATGCTTCATCTTTCAGGAACCTTGCCAGTGCTATAGTCTCGCGCATGCGTAGGAGTAAAACACAGATAGAGGAGACCGCGGGAGCCTCCATAGATCATGTTAAGCTATGAGTAATATGATGCTTAAATTCCCCCTATGGTTACTTGTGACGGCTGCTGGGATTGGCCAAAAGTTGACTCTGGAGCTAGCCTTTTGTCAACCTCAGAATTGCCTATAACACACCATAGGGTCCTTCGTCCTTATGGAATCGTAGCTGCTTCTAATCTCATAAAGGTATACCCTTCATGAGCAATTACTTAAGAACTGTCACAAGAAAAATACATTGACTATTCTCCTTCTATGTGTATCCTGATTGATGGCTATAGACACACATAGTGAAGGCTGACAAAAAGGGAAATGGCCAATTAAGGGGAAAGAAAGAGGGCTTAAGTAATTAACACTCTCATGTTGCTACCAGGAAGAGAAGCATATAAGGTAAATAATCTTTGCAATATAGTTGAATGTTATGAGGTGGTAAAACCCATTTGGTCTCTCCCTAATTTTGTACTGATTTTTATTTTTTTAGGGACATTAATCCACACATCCCACAGTATATTTCATCAGTTCCATGGTATGTAGATCCTTCAAAAAGACCTACTCTAAAACATCAAAGGCCACAAGACGAAAAGCAAAAAGAATTTTCCCAGTTGGGTGAATGGTACAAGAGAGGCATTAAAGAGGTAATGATTTGTATTTATATTTGTACTTACTCTGGTCTGTTCCATTTCCGTGAAATTATTTTTTTCTGCAGCACTTTTCATCCTATGCAACAATGCTTTGGCATTATAGCTGCTTGTGGCTTAAAAGAACACTATAACGTTAGGAACACATGTTTGTATTCAAACTTAGTGTTTTTTTCTGTATAGAGATTAAGAGCCTCCTTCTTTACAAGTAAAAGGAAAAAGGCACTTTTACTTCATTTTAGTACCCTGGTGCGCTTGTCTAGTGATAGCTGCTGCTCTAGGTAAGATGATAGTTAGATTATCTCGGCCAGTCCAATGTTTCCATATAGGGAGGCATTAGGGAGCTGGTGCACACTCGTGCAGTGTGTGAAGACTCACAATGTTGATCCTGGAAAGATTGCAGGACAGCAACAAGAGCTAGTAGTTGTCATGAGTAATTGTCACTCGAGGTGGCTTTAGGTACAAATGTAAACACTACCTTTTCTCAGAAAAAGGTAGTGCTTACAATTATCATCTTGCTGGAGTGCTTTAAGTTGTAGTGGTTCTGGTGCTTGGACGGTCCATTTAATTGATTTTTAAAATCTAAGCTAAAATTAAGTGAAATCTTATGAAGTTGCTATGACAACAAATCTTCTAAAACCCATTATTAGGTTTGTACTCCATGTGGTGTATATCAAATGAATATTGGTTATTTAGATAGAATTGATGTATTCTTCACAATCTTTAGTCTCAGATTTTTTTTTTAATTGGCTATTGGTTGGAGCTTTAGCATTGAACAGATTATTTTTTTTTCTTTAAATGGCGTAATACAGGGATTTTTTTATTTTTTTTGAGTACAGCAATATTTAGGGAATTATAAGGGTTTTTGACATGTTGCTATTTTATCTTTTCAGGGTTCGATTGCAATAAAATATCGGCCAGGAGCATGTGAAAATTGTGGTTCTGTATCGCATAAGAAAAAAGACTGCTTTGAGGTAATGTATTTATTTTTTGTTGTTTTAATAGACCAAAGTTTCTTGTGAAATCTGAATGTTTTGAACTCCCACATCAAAAAAATCTGAAACACATTCGCTTATAGAGAGGCCATTCTTAAACACCTTTTTTATGAACTGGGCAGATAGGAAATCTACCTTTCCCCCAGGTCTTGCATTTCTTTTACACTTCCCCACTCATAAAAAGAGAGCGACCGATGACTGCATTAAGCCAATCAACGGTGCCCCTGTCTAATGCTGCCCGGGCCTTCTGTTATGTAGGAATTTAGAAAATGGAAGGATGGGGGGCAGAGTGAACTGCTGCTGGCACACAGACTTTGGGGTAAAACTATTCATGAACAGTTTAAGCCTTAAAGGTGAACCAGTGCCAGGGAACCCCAGCTTTTTTCGGCCCAATGGGTCGGCAATGTCTGGAGGAAGAAAAATGAAGCATATGCTGAAAAGCATACTCTGTCTACGGTTAAGCATGGTGAAGCTCGGGGCTGCTTTGCATCATCTGCCACTGGAAAACAGCAGTGTGTGAAATGCAAATTGGATTCATTGAAGTATCAGAAAATGCCATCCCGTCTGTGAGGTAGCTAAAGCTTGGCAGTCATTGGACCTTCCAACAAAATAATGATCACAAGCATACCTCAGATTCCACATTGGTGCTTATAGTGGAACTGACAGTTTGTTTTTTTGGTTTTTTTTTTGAGAATTTTGCAAAGACCCCTGAAATGGAGTTGTACTTGACTCAGGCTCGCAGCCGCCACCATGTTAATGCTGCAGGTTCTCTTTGGCTCCTGGCGCTTTAATTGCCCGGAGCCACATCGGTGTTGTACTCTTGCACATGCGGGATTCTCCATAGCATGAATCCCACAGCTATCATTTGTGATGGCTGCTGGGATTGACAAAGGTTGACGGCTGATCTCCTTTTGTCAACCTCAGGCTTGTGTATAAGACAAAGTAGATCCTACTTTGTCTCATGGTATCTTTGGATTGCATGTGAATTTCAGTTGAATTCCAATGCAGTCTTAATCCGTATTTCAGAAATAGTTATATCTTTAGGAAATACTAAAAAGTAAGACATCCAATTTAATATGTAAAACTAAATTATATATACCTTTTATTTAAATTTCCAATTTTTGTCCTATCTGTTAAAAAAAGGAGGAACTGTGATGTCAGTGCTAGCTGCACAAATATCCTTTAAATGTCTTAGTCTGCAAAGCTATGTGCCTTTTTTTTTTTTTTTTTTTTAAATCCTTGTGCAAAATGTAAGGCCATATTTTCATGTTTTGATTTTAGCATACCCCTTTGTCTTCAAATGGATGCTTTTTTAAAAATAATTTCTGATCACTTTTCCAGAGACCCAGAAGAGTTGGAGCAAGGTTCACTGGGGCAAACATTGCCCCTGATGAACATGATCAGCCCCAGTTATTGTTGGACTATGATGGGAAGAGAGACAGATGGAATGGCTACAATCCTGAAGAACACATGAGGATTGTTGAAGAGCACGCCAAGGTTGATCTGGTATGTTGTTTCTTCTGCTTTTGTCCTTTATTCTCATTCAAATGTTGACAATGTTGTCATTCTTACTCTGTTGGTAAAGTAGAAAATACTTAAAATGTCTGTGCACTAGTAACTTGTAAAAGCACCCATGTAATGCAGAGAATGGTAAAATGTTTTTAACTGAGTCGTTAATCTAAGGCACAGATATCAGAATGCATTCTATTCCAGTGTTGTATTAGGTACACATGCAGGCATTTGATGCTCTAAAAATGTCTTGCAGGCAATCCCAAAGTACACCATGTGCACTTTGTAGGGTAAAGTCATTATCAACTGATCTCTAAGTACTCAGAAATGTTATACGCTATAGGGTCAGGAACACAAACCTGTATTCCTGACCCTATAGTGTTAAAACAACCATCTAGCGCCCCTGACCTCCTGTTGCCTCCCTAAATATAGTAAACTCTTACTTGTATTCAAGTCTGAAGCTGCTGGCTCTGGCCCTGAACTGCCTTTACTGTGTTTCCAGCAAAAAGCCCAAAGGGATTGATTCTACTCATTAGAACAAATACAATAAGCTGTAGTTGTTCTAGTGACTATAGTGTCCCTATAATGTGTGTTTGCTGTAATGATGAACGCAGAACTGAGTTTCTTTTTGACTCTTATTTCATGTTCTCTTCCTTAGAGCTGGTAGATCTCATGCAGCTGACCTTTAACTTTTTTTTTAGGCTAGCTGAGAATGATGATGTAGTTTAACAATTGGAGAGTCAGATAGTTCTTCAGTATCTGCCTGTTTAACACTGCTAGTGTATCTGAATACATGAATAATATAATTAAGGAGTAAAGGTAGAATTCTCAGAATCCCTGTCCTATGATCCTCACAATAAATCTCTGGCCTCTCATAGAAATCAGTGGGAGAAGCAATGCAAATGTGCAGTGCTTCATCCATAAATAAATAATGGGAACCATCTCCGTTTTGTGCAAAACAGACTCAAGTTCTTTAATTCACTTTAATGGAAACTCTTGCAGCAGTATAAATAAGCAAGCAAGTTTTGTCCAGTCTTAATAGTAAATGCCTCACCTGCACAAAATGAGTCAAATAGTCATAGGGAGGTGTATAGGTAGGATAAAAAAAAACTCCTATCATCTCTCTTAGCATGCAGAAAAACATTGGCACTACATCTTGAATGTAGTTCTTGTAATGTTCCTAGCATCATAATCACTATGTATCTCTGTAATATTTATGTGCCAGTAGTGTCCTGTTTCTCAGATTTGCATAACTCTCAGTTGGCTGTATGGACTGCTATATATGATAATGGAAGTTTCATAATGCTTGAATTATTAACTCTTTTTCTTTGCAGGCAAAACGTACATTGAAAGCGCAAAAACTGCAGGAGGAATTGGCCTCTGGAAAGCTTTCAGAGCATGTGGTGAGTAGTAGTTTGTCACATTTTCTGTTATAAGGTTCTTCAATGGGGCAAAGCCCACTTCAGTCCATAGCACTTCCTCGCAGTCATTAATTTTCTGTTATAAGGCTCTTTAATGGGGCAAAGCCCACTTCAGTCCATAGCACTTCCTCGCAGTCATTAATTTTCTGTTATAAGGCTCTTTAATGGGGCACAGCCCACTTCAGCCCATAGCAATTGGGCATAAACTCCCTGAGCAACCCCCTTCTCCCCCACCCATCACTCAATCCTTTTTTGATTTGTTTTCAATAACCGTGCTCTCCTTTCACCTATGGCTTGGCCCCTCTACGGCTGCTTCGGTAATTTAGAGGTGGTCTTACTCATTAACCTATCTGACTTTGGGTTAAAATTGCTGAAAGAAATTAACAGTTTGCTGTAAATAAATGTACCCACATACTGTTTGCACTATAACCACTCGACTGGAATTTCGTAGTTCTGGTCCTTAGTTGTAAATTTGGAAAATGTTGGAACAGAGTTGAAAATGTCCATTGGTTTTGATAAATAAAGATATAGCCTGCTCTTTGCTGCAAAACTACCCAAATAAAACAAGTGGATCTTTATCAGAAGGCAAGTATATAACATAACAAAGAACTTGTATTTGTTATTTGTGATTAATTCATAAAGTCATCCCCCTCCTCCTGTGTAATATCTTGTTTCTTTATACCAGAACTCCCCAAGACACCAGTGGGGAGACGATGAACAGAACACACAGACAGTAAGCAGACCACCAAAAACTAAATGAATGTGAATTGCATTATTTCTTTGTGACCAAACTTCCTGATTCCTGGGATGTTTTTTTGTCCTGCAAATTGCTCTCTTACAAATGACCAAGCATGCTGCAATTTCAGTGCTGGGTTCTGAGACTGTGTCCATGCATCTAATATGTATAATATCCTACACAGCAGCTCAAAAGCTTGCATTCATACACTTATTTAAACTAACTGATCACTAAATGCTAGCACAGTGGATGGTAAAACCAGTTCCAGGTTGATGTAAAGGGACTGCACAGCATAGCCGATAGTGTGGGACAACCTGGGAAATGGACATGTTGTTTTCATTTAAATGTTTGTGTGTGCATAACTCTGTATTACTGTATAGTAACACTTGAGATGCATTTTTACTGAGTGGGAGTCCTTTTCCTCAATTTTCTGAAGCTTTGTGGCAGTACTATATTGCACTATTCTAATACATGTTAATGTACCTTGCAGGAGAGAGATCATAATAGTGAAGATGAGGATGAAGATAAATATGCGGACGACATAGACATGCCGGGACAGAACTTTGACTCCAAGAGGCGCATTACAGTCAGGAATCTGCGTATCCGCGAAGACACTGCCAAAGTAAGATTTTGATTTTAATACTGTGGGGCTTTTTTGGGGTGGGGTTGTAAGGTAATTTGATTTATTGGTAGTTAGAAGGATAATGCAAAATTAGAATCTTCAATACCCGCTTATCTTTAGTCATTTTAGTCAAAAATTTGAGTCTAACAAGTACAGTGGAAATCAGTTGATTGTTCCTGCTTATTACTCACTAGAACGTTGTCCCAAATAACTCTCTTAAAAAAAAAATAATGCTTTTGTTTATCTTCTATGGTGTAAAACAATTTTACGTGTGTGTGTATATAATTTTATTCAGACCTTAATGCTTTCACCTTTTTATGTTCCAGCGTAATGCTACAATTATTTATATTTTATTCTTCGCAAACAATCTACACTAAAAGACCTGTAATGACAAGGCAAAAACAGATGTTTGTAAACTTTGCAAATTTATTAAATACATTTGGAAATATCAAAATGACACAAGTATTTAGACCATTTGCTATGATAATTGAAATTTAGCTCTGATGCATCTAATTTCTGGATCATCTACACTCTGCTTTGAGTTCTGGGGAAAATTCAGTTGCTTGGACATGATATGGGAAGGCACACGTTATATAAGGTCTCACAGCTGTAAATACACATCTTATGTATTTGGGATATTTCTGGTTTGTTTTAATATATTTTCAGTGATATAAAAATTTCTATTTTCCTTCGTCATTATGGTGTTTTGAGTATAGATTGAAGTAAATAATTATAGCATAAGGCTGCAACATAAAAAAAAAAAAAAAAATTTGAAAAAATGAAGGTGTCCAAATACATTATGAATGCACTCCGTGACTGACTGTTTATCAATCAATCTGTCTCACTCTCTGTAGTAATCTGAATATAGTGTGTGTGTGTGTGTGTGTGTGTATTTAGAAAAAAATAAAAAAAAATAAAATAAATAAATATATATATATATATATATATTTTTATTTATTTATTTTGTGGCGAAAGTAACCCCGTCACTAGTTTTTGGAGGGGCCTGTTTGCCAGCCTCCTACCCTGTGACCCTGGCCCCAGCAATAGACCTGGCTAAAATACTTTAAACAGGCTCTGTTCATGTAAGTTATGTACTTTTGTACTCCAGACAGAGAGACCGACCGTTAGCCCTGATTCCCTGGAACTATTTTGGGCATAGGACCATGTGCACGGTCGGTCGGTCAAAAATAAGACTTCCAGGAAATTCCTGAACTGATCTGGATGATTTTTGGATATGTTGGTCACCCAGATCAGGGCTAATGGGGTTTTATGTATTTTTAGTGTACTTTTGGGGTGTTTTTTTCCTGTGCTTGGAGATAATTGGATTAGAATTTGTACAGTTACTGACGCAATTATCTCACAGGCAGAGGGGAGGGATTGTATGTTTGTTATGGGAGTGTCGTACATTTAATTACTGTTTTGATTGGTTTATAAGCTTTGTGTCCCTGTCCCCAATAAGGTCCATGTAGGCGTACACCTTGCATAAAAGGCTAGTGTGGCACCATTAAAATTGAGTTCAACATAGTCTCATCTCATGTGTGGGGGAAATGGCTGTATCTACCTTGGGAATTGCTATATCACTATACTCCCATGGGATTATAATCACTAGCTCTTTTAAGAGCTGTTCCTGCAATGCTCTCTGGAGTAGGAGAGGTTCATCCACTGGAAGCTGTATCCTGGTCTTGGATCCAGGGTGGATGGAGGATGGCGAGTTCCCAGCCAAGCTATAACGCTGGATGTGGGGACTACAGTGATGATGGTGTCGGGTGGACTGCTTGGAGCCCTCGGTAAGCACTAGGAGCATCGACTGATGGAGGCACCCAGTGGGGGTGCCAGGCGGTCCGTCACAAAGGGCTTAGAATTTTAAGACCTATGCTACTAGTAATGCTCTTAAAGTTACTTGCCAATGAAAGCCATAGTAGTATGCTAACCAGATGTGAAATTCTAATAGCCAGGGCAAAATTTTCACTTACCTGTGGTGAGTGGCAATTTTTAGCTGTGTATGTACATATACGTGTTGTATCAAAATGCTCTTTTTATGTAAGCTGAATGCAACATGAAACATTACCGTCTCTACATAATATATTGAAAATGAAAGTGCATTGTGTAGAATCTGCATTTAGGTGTTAATGCCCTAAAGGAAAATTGTGTATATTTTAGTATGAATAATCCTATGATTTGCACCTCTGACTCGTATAAAATATTTTTAATTTGTAGTACTTGAGGAACCTAAATCCAAACTCAGCATATTATGATCCCAAAACAAGAGCCATGAGGGAAAATCCATATTCTGACGCAGGAAAAAATCCAGAAGAGTAAGTATAATTAAAAAAAAAAAAAAAGCCTACATAATTTCTTCTATGGCCTAAAGGTAATTCTAGGGACTAAGAATCAGAACCAGGTAGTTTATAGCCATCATATACACTAGCCCTGCCCCAAAATTAATATTTTTATATTTATTTTTTAGGGCTTGTATTCTTTATTTTAAAGGGACACTAAGCATCAGAACCACTATATTTTATTGTAGCCCCTATCTTTGTATTTTGACAAATGTAGACCTTGCAGTTTACATTTGTCAAAATAACTGTGCTTAGGTTTGTTCATCAGTATGCCTTAAGAATTTTCTCGCAAAGAGTTTAAATTATTTTAAAGTCTTTACTGTTGGCGTCATGGCACACAGTTTGACGTCTTTGAACACTTTTATTTTGCAGGGGGTGGTGAAGGTCACATAATGTTTATATATACTTGTATTTAATGTTAATATTCCTTTGATATATGGTTGGGTACTGATGGTGCAGCCATAAGGAAATTATATTAACGATCTTGGAGATTAGGGGGAAAATAAACAGCAGCAGATATATACAAAATTATTATTCTTGTGCTATGCATGGAAAATGTGACTTGAGACCAGCTAGTGACACTATAACTAAGATTTAAAGCTTGGTGCATATAGAGGAGGATTATGGAGGTGTAACCAAGGTATAAATTTCTGCATTTTGAGTTTTAGGCAACACTCCAAGATGAAATAAGCCTGCATTGACATGCAGTCAACCGCTAAAGCACTTCAGCAAGCTGGAGTATTCCTATACGTAAATCTTAACGCAGTCCAGACTTTATTTGTTTATTTTAGAGATGATTTGATTTAGACATTTACCAAGATATTGTGCAACCCTAGCCAATGAACCAAAATCTAGGAATTGGTTTGTCTAATTCTGACTAGTAACTTTACAATGAATCTTTGCACATGTCTATTGTGCAGCTCATGCCCATGCAGTGCCATTGGTCAATTCTCTGCAATTTAAGAATTAAACCACTTTTATTTCTGGTAATGCCTCCCTAGACACACCTCCCCTGGGTGTGACTCAGGCAGAGGTAAATTTTTAATCCAGTCTTACAGCTCAGTGTGTTTTAGTTCATATTTCCTTCTCTGTTAATTGAGCTTTAATCCCACACAGGAGGCTGTTGCAGGCTGTAACAGGCTATTGATAGGACAGAAGATAAATTCTAAATTAAACACACTACGTAATAGTGTCACTTGGAGTAAGTGTGGCTAGGGCTGCATGAACAATGTGATTTAACTCCTAAATGGCAGAGGGCATGATCTATAAACCACTTAAGTAAGCTAATATTTTGGTGCTCGGTTTGTACCTTTTAAGTGTTCACTTGTTCTATTGGCCAACTTAATCTGTGTAAAAAGATTTGCACAGTTAATTAAAATATTAATAAAACGTTTTGTTTTTTTGTTTTGTTTTTTTCTTGTATGCTTATGAAATTAGTCTGTTTCTCAGTAAAGATGTCAGTCGTTTAATTTACATGCAATATATGGGCAAAAGTATTGACGCTTCTCTTTATTATTGAATTCAGGTGTTTCAATCAGACCCATTGACACATGTACAATGCAGTCTGCAATTATAAACATTTGTGAAAAATAGGTCTTTCTGAAGAGCCCAGTGAATTCAAGTGTAGTACTGTGATAGGATGCCACCTTTGCAATAGTCAGTTTGTGAAATTTTATCCCTGCTAGATATTTCATGGTCACCTATAAGTGGTACTGTTGGATAGTGGAATCGTTTAGGAACAGCAGCAACTTGGCCATGAAGCCGAAGACAACGTTAAGTCACAGAGCAGGGTCACCGAGTCTGAGGTGCATGGTGCGTAAAAGTTGTCAATGCTATGCAGATTACATAGCTGAAAAGACCAAAACTTCCACTGGCTTTAATATCGGCACAAAAACTGTGTGGCGAAAACTTTGTGGGATGGATTTCCATGGCTCACATCACCAAGTACAACGCAGAGTGTCAGATTGAGTGGTGTAAAGCATGCCTCCATTGGACTCTGGAGCAATGGAAACGTGTTCTCTAGAGTGACTAATCTCGCTTCTCTGTTTGGTAGTCTGATGGTTGACCTTGGGTTTGGTGGATGCCAGGAGAACATTACCTGCCTGACTGCATTGTGTCAACTGTAAGGTTTGGAGGAGGAGAGCTCTGACATCAACCCAATCCATCAAACACCTTAGCTGTGTCTAACCTCACAAATGCTCTGTTGGTGAATAGGCAAACATTCCCACAGAAACACTCCAAAATCTTGGTGAAAGCTCCCAGAAAAGTGAAAGCTGTTATAGCTGCAAAGGGGTGATGAACTACATATTAATGTCAGTGTTTAGAATACAGTGTTATAAAAGTACCTGTTGGTGTTGGTCAGGTGTCCCAATACTTCTGTGCATGTAGTATAGTTTATAATCTGCTATTCCTGGAATTGGGCAACGTTTATAAAGGAATTACAAGATGTAAACCAAAATCGCTAAATTGGGAAAATCTCTAATTTTAGTTTGCAAATTTTAAGCCAAAACAGTCAAACTTTGTCAATTTTCCACAATTCCAGTTTAAAGAATAGTACCCACTGGGTTTTTAAGTAAAGTTAGAATTCAAAGTAAATTTCAAAATTTAGACTAAAGTAGCAGAACAGAAAATATAGTTGATTTGGATTTTTTTTTTTCCAATTTGGCAATCTTGACTGTAAGTTTTAAATTGTTGCCTAATTTTCTTATTTTCTATGCAGAGTGAGTTATGCTGGAGATAATTTTGTCCGTTATACTGGAGACACTATTTCTATGGCACAAACACAATGTAAGTATTTTTAGTTAATATTTTGTGAAATTATATATTTTGGAGAATTCTTGGTCTCGGCAAAACTGCTCTCTCTTGGATCCACTCTTAACAACGGGTCCTTTTCTGTGTTATTTGGTAACTTCCCCTCCATACCTCTAACAGATCGAGTACCTAAAGGCTCTGTCCTAGGTCATTGGTAGGCAACTTTTTAGTAGTACTGTGCCAAAACAAGATCTTGAAGCAGTGTTGATTTAGACAGCCGTTTAATTTTAGTCATCTGAATTGTTTTAGTCCACTAAATATCATAAAATTTTAGTCGACTAAATCTGTAGTAAATTTAGTTGATTAAAATCTGTGGGTCTAGCTATAGTGTAATGCATTATTTAAGCAATTCTCTAGAATTTCCAAATTTATTATATACCTCCAGAGTAAAAGTTGCTTAACTAAAATTGTTGTCAAAATTAGCACCGTCTTGAAGTCCCTTGTCATGCCAGTCCTATTTATTAAATTGAGGGGTGTGTGTGTGTATGTTGCCGTATTCTCCTTGTGTTATTTATGGGTGCTGCAGTTGCTTTATAGCGGTGTATTTGAGCCTCTCCCTTCTTCAGTTCATACTAAATGCCTCTGCCATGCTAACTGACCTTACTTGTCATTCTGTATCTGCTGCTTCTCTTTGTGAGTCCCTTCATTGGCTCCCCATTCACAGCAGAATTATATTTAAGATTCCCACTGTGACTTACTAATGCTGATCCCCACTATCTGTCCTAACTAATCAACAAATAGACTCCAGCCTGCTCCAAAGTCAAACCATGACTTGCCCAATACATGTTCCATAATCATCTCTTCCCATGCTAGACTTCAGGACTTTGTTGTGCAGCACCAATCCTCTGGAACACACTTCCACACGCTGTCAGACTTTCCCTTAGTCTGCCTTCCTTTAAATGTCCGCTAAAGACATTTGTTCATGGAAGCTTACCACTTAACTCTGTAATTAATGCATTCCACTTACCTCATTTCACTCTGTATTAATTCATTGCGTACTCCTGTTTCTCCCCTCTCCATCAATATAAGGGTAAGCAACTTTTGGCACTCCATATGTTATGGACTTCATCTCCCCTGGTGCTTTGCCAGCATTATAGCTGTAAGATCATTATAGGAGGTGTCGTCCACAAGATCTTGAGTGCCTAAGGTTGTCTACCCCGATATAGATTGTAAGTTCCCACAGGAATGGCGCCCTCATTTCCACCTGTATTTGTTTATCAAAAAGTATCTTAGATTAATTGTACCTTTTTATCTTTTATTACATAATACTTTTAATTTAGAATGAGAAACATTGCACACAAAGATCACCCTGTATAAAGCAATTAACATTAGAAAGCCATGTGGCTTTCATTCAGGGATCCAAACATCCTGGTGGGTTCATGCTGTCGATAGTTTGCTACCGCACAGATTGCTGGGGGGCCAGGGCTGGACTGGCCCACCGGGATACCGGGAAATTTCCCGGTGGGCCGTCGGCACCTGGGGCCGGGCAGATAGCTGGGTGTAATGGCCGCAGGAAGGGAGAGTGGTAATGGCGGCCGCAGGGGGAGCTGTAATGACGGCCGCAGGCGAGAGCTGTCTGTGCTCTCCTGCCCTCGCGCACTACTTAATGAGACCGGGGCCGGAATATGACGTCATATTCCGGCCCCGGTCTCATTAAGCTGTGTGCTGGGGAGCAGAGACAGCACAGACAGCTCTCCCCTGCGGCCGTCATTACAGCTCCCCCTGCGGCCGCCATTACCACTCTCCCTTCCTACGGCCATTACACCCAGCAAAACATGGGTTTTGACAAACTTAGGCAGCATGTGCCCCAAGCCCAAGGTCCCAACAAGAAGATGAGCAAGGTGGAGACCCTGAGATCAGCTGTTCCTAACACTACACTGCTGGGGATAGCTAAGAGGTTAGTGCACCTGACTTTATTTTCCTTCATTGTATATTGGGACTCTTCAGAGATTAAACCGGTCAGTGTCTTCTAGTGACTCCTTAAACATAATTGCCAAGGACCGTTTGTGGCAAGTACACACACACACATGGACACACAAGCACCCTGACATACACAGAAACACTCAAAGAGATATACACATGCTAATACACACACAAACTCCCTGACAGACACGTGCGCACACACACACACACACACACACAAACAGCAAGACTCAAAGAGATACACACATGCTAATACACACACAAGCACCCTGACACACACACACTGAAAGAATCTCACACAGACATACACATATTCCTCTCCATTTTCCCGTGGGTCCGACTCCTGAAGCAGCTACATTGGCTGTAGTTCCCCCCCCTGATTTGTGGGACAGAATGTTTAGTTTTCCTGGGACTGCCCCAGCAAATTCAGGACTGTTGTCAACTATCCTTATGGCTGGGATAATGCACAATAGAGTGCGTTTGATTGTCTAGAGCTGTACTACAGTACTATTAACATCTTATCAATGATATTACAATATTATTATTTTTTATTATTCAATGTAGTCATTTGTCAGGTTTCAGACTTTATCACAAAGTTTATATTCATTTGCTATCAAATAGCAGATGTGAATGTCGATTTTCTGCAGCACATTTTACTAATCCAGTCTGGTTTTAGTTTTATTACTTTCAAAATATGTAAATGGACTTTGGTAATGTAGTCATGCTGGGTACTTCTTTATATTCATTAATTTCATATTAACATCTAAATGGAAAGAACTCTGCAACATATACTACTTTATTTTAATAGCGGGACTTTGCGTATACATAGGCATACATTTTCTTTTAACTATATAAGCTACCCCAAAATAACACGAAATGAGCACTACAGAACTAATGGGAGGGGAAGTGAGGGCTGTTTGGACATCCGTTAGTGCAATGGGTATTCAATCTTCAGCACTCTAAATGTTAAGGACTACATCTCCCATAATGCTTTTACAGCCATAATGCTGACAAAGCACCAGGTGACACAGGAAGCACCTCTAGTGATAGTCTGAGTGACTGTCAGTAGAGGTTATCACTAGTAAGCAATGTAAACACTGCCTTTTCTCTGAAAAGTCAGTGTTTACATTGAAAAGCCTGCAGGGACAGGCTATAGATACCAGAACCACTACATTAAGCGTGTGTGTGTGCCTGCTAGTGAGTGAGTTTATGTATATCAATGAGCTTGTGTGTGTCAGTGAGATTGTCTGTCTGTGTCTGCATGTAAGTATGCTTATTTTTTAATTAAACGTTTTACTCTGAAAGGACCATTATTTTTTATTAGAAATAGCAGTGTGTGTGTGTATATATAATATCTCAATCATCATGGGGTGGCAAGACATAGCCTTACATATTACATGCGACAATATATGGTGCAATGACCTATGGGGCTGGCATAGATTTTTTTTTTTCAGGGCTGCTTTGTATCCCCAGTCCGGCCCTGGCTGGGGCATTGAGGGGCAATATCTAAACAGATTTGTAAATGAAACAATTTTGGCACTTGGCTGCTTTCCATTTGTAATCTAAGACAGAAGATTTAACATTTAAATTAGAACATAATAATAAATATTTGTTAATACAATACTTCTGAATCTCTGTATGGCAACTTCTCTCTTACAATCCAGTAGGACAATCACCAGGAGTATCTTTGTCTTTTTACTTTGACCAATTATAGCCATGGATAGAGCTGTGAAATGTGATGACACTTTATAAATAGTTTAATATTCATACTTCATAGACCTTTTTAGGAAAATGGATAGTTATTTTGTCACTGATCAGGTTAACAGCTACAGGATGCAAGAAGCAGTTTTCTGATTTTCTACATTGCAAGAGTTTGATTTTGCTTTGCTTACCTTTATTTTGTTTATAGTTTTCTTGCTCTAAAATATTTCATCCGCAAATACTTGGAATATTAATTTTGAATGTGTACACAGTTGTGTCTAAGAATATCACAGCTTGTTGGCCTTTGGATAATGCTATTTTACAGTAGACCTATAATCATTGTATCTATGCTCTTGCAGTGTTTGCTTGGGAAGCCTATGAAAAGGGTTCAGAGGTCCATCTACAGGCTGACCCCACCAAGCTAGAAGTCTTGTGCAAATCCTTCAAAGTCAAGAAAGAGGACTTTAAAGATGAGCAGAAAAAGACCATCTTGGAAAAAGTATATTTTTGTTTGTTTTTTCACTGATCTAAAGGGAAAAGGGTATGGTAAGGGATACATTATTTTTATTCCACGTGTAAGCCATTTGATTCATAATATGTACTATTTTATTCTGCAGTATGGAGGGGAGGAACACTTGGATGCTCCACCTGTGGAACTACTACTGGCTCAAACTGAGGACTATGTGGAGTACTCTCGCCATGGGACAGTCATTAAGGGGCAAGAGAAGGCAGCTGCACGTTCAAAGTATGAAGAAGATGTTCTTATTAACAATCACACAGTAAGTGACTTCTTACATTTTCTTAGCTGTGCTAGATTTTTTTTTCTTTTCTTTTTTTTTTTTTCTTTTTTTTTTAATGAAGCTGGAGACTATTGTCTTGGTCTGCAATGGATAAAATGTACGTCATCATTTAATAGGCTAACAGACTGCCTTGTATACAACTAGACTTGATATTAACCTATACTCCTATTCTACATTTTAGCAATAGTTTTAGAATTCTTCGATATAGCTTTAATAAGGTTGTGGGTTTTTTTTATTTTTTTTATTCTCATACTGAATATACTGTATTCAAATGTCATATGAAGGAATCTGTTATAAATACATTGTTAGATGCTATATCAAATAAAAGGAGTTCATAATTAAAATCTGTTTTAGTTTTTAGGAAGTGTAATTTCAAATGGAGGGGAAAAAATAACTTTTTTTTTTTTTAATATATGATTAATATGAATATGCTTATGTCATTTTATTTTTCTGTTGTAGTGCATATGGGGCTCGTATTGGAAAGATGGCCGATGGGGCTATAAGTGCTGTCACTCTTTTGTCAAAATGTCTTACTGCACTGGTGAAGCTGGCAAAAGTATTACTGTAAGTGTGTATTGTACCTTCCACGTCTGTATGTAATAATTATTTTACCACAGACCTGCACGTGACTCTTAGCTCCCCTTATCTGTACCACCACCATAAGCACAAGTAGCCATTATCATATTAAAATATAATTATGCAACAAGCATGAGCTAATGGGGAGAAACTACAGATTACTAATAAAGTATGTGTTGCTTCATGTCACAAGTTAATTTGTTGTTGATCAACATCGGTATAGATATCTTAGCAAATCTTATACCTCCCATAGTCTGCCATGGTATAATTACATATTATGTGCAGTCTTTTTTTTTTTTTTTTGGCTGTTTTGTGTATCAGTGTGCTTTTGATTTATTTGAATGTGGGGGCACACTGCATAGATTTGACGTTCTAAACTGCTAGTGATTTTACTACTTAATAAATACAATCTTAAATTTGTTGGGAAAGAAAATAGGTTGTATCTCATAAACTAAACCCTTTTAATTGCAAACCTGAAAACTAAACCGTGGAAACGTTTGTTAATAATAAGACTTTTCAAAACGTTTTTGTATTCCAGAATACTGATCTGTGTGAAGAGGACTTCATGCCAGTAGAAGAAGAATTCACAAAACCAAAGACTTTAGTTGAGGTAAGTTGGCATGGCCAGTAAAAGAAAACACACAAGAGGGTGAAAAAGAATAAGGTAGACAGTGAGTTTTATTAAGTCAGGAATTGCGGAGAACATTCTGTGGAAGTGCAAAATATTTGATAAAATAGCTGAATTGTGAAAAATTGCTAAATTCAGACATTTTTCCAAATTGTCTCTTTTGAGAGGTGAATTGACCCTAACTCCCTCACCCCTCACTTCCCTCCCTCTCCCCAACAACAGATTTCATATGTGCTCTGTTCAGAACCCAATTTTCCACTTTTTTTTTTTTTTTTTTTTTAAAATACTGCTATCCTCTACTTTGAATGTTCTCTTCATGAGCCTGCACTTTCCCTGTTGATACTCTGAAATATATAACTTATTTTTGCTCTAATTATAAATTTGTTGCCACCTGTATTTCTCATTGCTGGTCTGTGAAACACTATTTTTGGTTTAACCTCTTCCTACTCCAGATTCACAAAGTGTTTTTTATTTGAATGTATCATGCAAGTATATTTGTTTGTTACTAAGCTCATTGTTTTTTTTTGTTTTTTTGTTTTTTTATGAAATAGTCTGTTATTAAAGTTTTGATAAGTTTTTTTTTTTTTTATATATATACTAAGTCACAAATAAAATTGAATTGCTTACCTGTTGAGTTGACTAAATTTGCGGTAACTTCATATGTAATTTTTTTTTTTTAGATTCATCAAGACAAATTAAAAGAAAAGAAGAAAAAGAAGAAGAAAAAGCACAGTAAAAGTGTTGATTCTGATAGTGACAGCGACGAGAAGAAAAAGGAAAAATTAAAGAAGGTGGGAGCTCTGATGTAACTCTCACAGACACACACACACACACACACACACACACGCGTATATAGTCACACGCGCGCGCGCACACACGGTGTGTATCTGTGTATGAATGTGCCAGTGTGTATTAATCTGACACACAGGCACATAGTGGCACACAGATACACACACCTTTACACACAGTGTGTATCTGACCCACAGATGCGCGCACGCACTCACATAGTGGCACACAGATACACATCTTGACACACTCTGATTCAAACAGTGACATATACACACACTTGCACCCACAGATACATACTCTGGCACATACATACACACACACACTCAGATACACAGTGTCCTACAAACACAGTGGGGCTGCTGGGGTCCAGTGGGGCTGCTGAGCGACTGGTGTGCGGGCAGCGAGGGAGCAGTGATCTCCCTGCTCAGCTTCCTTGTGCGCCTCTTAGTGGAGCCGGAGTGACGTCCTATTCCGGCTCCGGCATAACTGCTGTGCGCGTGAGGGAGCTGAGCAGGGAGATCAGTGCTCCCTCGCCGCACTCGGCCATTTTATTTGTAAAAATTTTGGCGCAACCCCAATTGTGAAACGCTGCAATATATAGTCTAGATTTCAGCTTAGAGCATTCATTTTTATATTCGATAATAGTTATATGGTGACCTAGCTGGTTTGTTTGGTATTTGGTAATCATCTAATCTTGGTTACTTTTTCAAAAGTGTGTTTGAAGTGAGGTTCAAAGACATTTTGAAACCTTAATTGCTCAGATTTGAGAGTTTCTGCCACATTAGTGACAATGTCATACTTGTGTTAAACTCTTGTTTATACATTTTTGTAAACTTCTCTCCTTTCATTCCAGGCATTAAATGCAGAAGAAGCGCGTCTGAAGCATGTAAATGAACTACTGCAGATAGACGAAAGAAAGAGGGCATACAACAGTCTGTATGAGATACGGGAGCCAACAGAGGAAGAAATGGAGGCTTTCAGAATGAAAAGACAGAGGCCAGATGACCCAATGGCCTCCTTCCTTGGACAGTAGTTTGTTCTTTCACTAAATTGTGGGAGTGCTTTGTTGGTTTTTAAGATTTTGGAAGGGAGACTATTTGTACAACAGTACAAAAATAAAAAAAATGCGTTCTATGTAGCTATGTAAACTAATGTTAAAATAATGAAATACTTTGTAATACTTTTTTTTTTTTTGAATTCTTTATTTTACTCGTGCAAATAATTAACAGACAAGTTTGCTCTGCCACAATAGCTGAAGCAAACCAGATGATACACAGAAAGAAACACTGGCATTGAAAGCATTGCACATTCTTTGGGTTAAGTGAACAAGATAAACATAATATAGCTTGACATTGTAATCTGCATGGTTATTGCTTGGATCAGTTGGTGATTAATCATGCATGGCAGACATCATTAAATAACACAGCAATGCTATTGACTGTCTCTTAACCTAAGTGAAGGCACTGTATGTGATATTATGCAACTATAGAGATAATAGCATTCTTAAAAGTTAACACTATACGTGTGCTATAAGTGTAGCTGACAACATGGCAACTCTTATGTTTGAATGTCGCTAAACAAGCCACCTATGTATAAAAGGTGAGATGAGATGTCCCAGTGATAAGGTCATAATCTGCGAGCTGGGACACAGGGCAGTTATGATGGTATGTCATTGTAACAAGATGGTGTCCATTGTGAACATTGGGGACTCAAAGGTTAGATGCTCAGCCCTCTGTTTTCAGGGTGTCTCTGGCTCAGCCAATCCCCTGGTTCAGGAAGCTCCCAGGACTCCCGGTGGGGTAAGCAGTACCTCTCTTTTCTTCTCTGGTGGGTTTTGATGCTTGGTGAGTATCACGTTTGTTGGAGTGGTCGTTTGGGTCGCTCCTTGCAACCTTTGCTTATTCCGGAGGGCCATAGGCAGGTCTGTAATGGGAGCTCTTGTATTGGCAGTGTCCAGCTGCCCTCCGCCGCTTCTCCATTGTCTTCAGCTTTGAGTAACGTCGCTTTGTGGGTGGCCATGTGGCCGTGCCTTGCCCAGCGTGTACCTGGGTTTTGGAGCCCTGGGGCTTGCGGGGAGCTCTCCGGGTGTTTGGGTGATTATGGATCCTGTGCTCGGAGTGGATCTGACGTGCAGTCTCTGGTGCGTGCCTGTTTTTCATGCAGGGTTTGGGAGGAAGGTTTGTGCTGTAGTCGTGTCCAGAAGGCCCTGCAGAGTTGGTCAAACCGGGCTTCGAAGCACTGCTTCCATTGCTGGAGCCCTGGGTCTTCTGTAGCGTGTTCAGGACATGGCTTGGCGGCCATCTTAGATGCTTCATGCGATTTGCTGCCGGACTGCAGTTCCCCCTGTGGTAGGTAAATCTGAGTCTCCAGCGGGGACCGGGATATCCCCTGCTGGTCCATTGGGGGGGGGGGGTTGCAGGGGAACAGAAGAGCTGCAATGTGGTACCAACCCAGCGTCGGGAGATCGGGCGGCAATCAGGCTGCTGTTCATGCTAGGCCTCAGATGCGTATCCTGGCAAACCGGCTTGGATTGCTTCGTGTGAGGTATTAAACTATTCAGTTTAACTTTGTTTACCCATCTGTAGCTCATTTGATCGCATTTCTGGTCTTATTTGTGTTTCGTCGAGTGAAAGATTGTGCAGAGCAGGAGCTGTGCTTGTGTGCCTCTGCTCAGCTCTGCGTTCACGGCCCGCCCCTGTAATTTTTTTTAATACAAAGTTTCTCTACATTCTGACCCTAACCAAAACTGAGGGCGCAGCTGACAGTTCTAAGTTAGATATTTTTAATTTGCTAAGAGCAAGGTCTCGTGAAGCAACCAGATCTACCAGTCCAGTGCAGCTCCTAATAGAAAGCTGTATTACGAAATGAGTTTATGGTATGTGTGCAGTGGAAGACCAGAACTGTCTGTGACATCTGGTCACTGTAGCAGGAATATAGCATGACCATTTTCTTCTTAGAGGCATTCAGATATAGATATATTTTCTTTTTGTCTTTTCCCCTTTTTTATTTTTGCAAATCCAAAAAGCTTTCACACTACCTTGAAGTCACTAAAAAAAATTACAAAAATGTCAAGTCTCAAACATGAATAAACTTAGTCAATTAATGGGGCCACACTTATGTTACTGGCTCTTGGCACCACATTTGAGTCTAAATCCTATTCTTGTGACATCTGGTTCCTGTAAACATTTTTTCACTGTATGCATGTAAAAAGCACAGGGTGCTTTGATTTTGTAAAATATTTCCAATCTACCTAACTTTTGCCCAGTAATTACAATAAGTTGACTTTTAAAAATTTTTTTTATTTTTTTTTTAACCTATGTTCTGTTGTCATTTATGACCAGTCTTGAACTGCTATCAAAAAGAACAACTTTGAATTATAGCATATTTTGATAAATAATGTTGTATACAATGCCTGTGGTGAAAAAGTAATACTTTTACGGTAATACATAATATTATGTACTGGCAGAGTCCTTTTAAAATATCTCTGAGAAGGAACAGAAGTTTGGTCTTTGTTCACATCATGTATGTTTATTGCACTTTTATATCCCTGATATATTCCCTGCAGAACTCACATTTCTTAAACTCGCTGGATAATCCTTTATTTTTGTATAGCATATTAACTTTCAGTGCAACTGAAAATAAACATGTGAAAATGTATTCATATTTACTGTAACAGACAGTACTGCTCCCTCAAATTGTGATTAGTCAAATGTTAACTCAAACACTCCCTCTTCCCTCCAAGGTGTAAAAGTTGGCACAACTCTAAATGTCCATATATCTTCCCTTTCCTTCTGGGGACAGGTTCTACTTGGCATTTATTCTGCTTTTATTTTGTATCTGTAGCATGAAAGTTTGCTTGTAACAATGATCCTTGGTTGCTTGCCCCATTGTGCGGGTTGCCATGTATGCTGGATACTTTCATTCCATTTTGGCCAGGTGTGGTAAAGTGTGATCCTTTGTCTCTCTACTGTATACTTTTTCATATATGGATATGGTGGTTGTGTGTTTCCTGCCTGCCTTTGTCCAACCTCCTGTTAAACCTATAAATGCTTTCACAAGGAAAGGCAAGCTGCTAAGCGATCTAGTTGGATCACAGAAACTATTCAGGTGGCATATCTATTGGATTGAAAATCTCCTCCGGATATATATAAAAAAAACTCACTCCACTGGAGCATTGCCTACCCCCTGGGCTGCTAAGGAATTGGTAGCTCCTGAACATTTAAGCATCTTCACCAAAACACATTTATGAAGCAGTATCAGACATCTTTGGCAAAAAAAATAAAAAATAATAATTTTGACTAAATGTGTTTGAATTAGTTTTCTGAAGACCGGTTCCATTGTTGTAGGTACAGCCTCTGTATGCCATTAAAGCACTTATTTTAAGTGGAATTTTTTCCCCCTTGACTTAATGTATTTTATTTTTTATTGTTCGTTTGTTCAATAAGTTATTTTATTAAGCTATACATGTTACATACACTTTCATAGTAGCAATGACCTAACTAGACAAAAAAAGTGTACTATAATAACATTGTGGTATAGTATGTACAATAACTGATAACATGACTATAAGATAGATTGGCATGTGCAGTCACAGATACAGTATTCATTTCTCTTTTAAATTAAAGATAAAAACATAAGTGTATTGAAAATTTAACAGTAGTAAAACCATCTTGTAATGTCCTTTATGATCTAATATACGTAAAACATGGAAAATAGTAATGTAAGTGCTATGTCATAAAGAAAAATAAAAAAAAAGGTATTCAGGCTCAATGGTCATAGGATTAAATTCTTATTTGTTAGCCAGGTGGAGGTCACGCAGCATGGCTTGTATCATCTGAAAAATATCATGAAAATACCCTCAATGTAGTGGCATAAGATTGTATACGATTCCATAAGACACATGAAAATTAAAGCCAATTGAAAACAAAAAAGTAGGCTGGAGTATGAGCCTGTGAGTTTCTTTATATTATGCAGTTGCCCTATTCTCACATAGGGTAAGATTGAGAGCAGTGCAAAAGTGCCACAGATGGATGCAAGGCAAAGATACTGGTGTCGCAGGCCTGATAGGGAGCCTTCACAAATGCTACACTGCTTATAAATAATGTCCAATTCATTTCCCCTGGAAAGTGGAACAATGCTCTTTAGTCTATTGCTTGGACATCTCCTCCAAATGACTCTCTACAGGCGTGGGTGATGAAATGGGACAGTCCCCCAATGGCTCTCAGCCCAGGAGGACCCAACTTCTGAATGGTGTAAGCGATGGTTAATATGCTCGGCTCTGGGACCCGCTGACTCCAGCTCTGCCGTTGTCAAGACCCAGACTGATCTGAGTATTGGGTTACTTCTGGAATGCTTGGTTGTATATTAGTGCCCAGAACTTCTCACAGTCCTATCTGGTCAGGATATCCCAGTGTTATTGCGTTTCGCTCCAGATGGCTATGTGGCCATTTTGTTAGAAGCGAGTACATGTCTTATGGACAGAAACAGTCCTCAATGAGATTGTTGAGGTTAGTGGGAGCCTCCGCAGTGGAGCCCGGGATATCCTACACCGGTCCAAATGGGCAAGAGGAAAATTACCTATTAAAAGGTGGTGGTAATTATCCATCTGTGACAATTGTTGCTCAAACTAACATAAAATTGTAGTTTTCATGTTCAATTTGCGTGTGTTTTTAAATTTTATTTACAAAAAAAAAGGTTTGCAGCATTCTGCATCTTCATCCACCCTGCATCCTCTCTCCCACCTCCCCTATTGTATCTGTGCTCAATTCTAAGTGTATGTGACGTAACCGCTTCCTTTGTGTCCTTCCCTTTCAAATGGCTGTTTATCCAGTAACACAGCTTAAACCTTGTTTGCTTCCTGATGACATGAACCACTCACAGCATATGTAAGGGAGGAAAAAAACAAAACAAATAAATTAATTAACTATAGCTTCCAAAAAAAGCCTATTCTGCTCATAAATCTTTACTGTTCATGGAATTAATGGGATAAAATCAGCACTAAAATGAGCAAAGTGCCATAGTGGAGGGGGTGGAGCATGACCTTACAACAGAACAGACGCATGGTGCCTAAACTCCTGAATCATAAGCCAATTTAGGGGATATACCCCCAACAAACAATCGATTTTACCCTCTGACAGGTGCTATGGCAATCGGGAGATCCCTGACGACCATGCAGAGACCCTAATCGGGTTAATTGACCTCTAGAAGCCTGAGCAGCCTCGTACAAGCCTAGCACTAAATCTCAGTGCTATTTAAGCCATTATGTTTTTCTTTTCCATCTTGTTTAATAAGCTACAGGTCTAATGATTCTCTGAAACTGCTATGTTTATAAAAAAAAATGGGTTAACCCTAGCTGGACCAGGCACCCAGACCACTTCATTAAGCTGAAGTGGTCTGGGTGCCTAGAGTGGTCCTTTAATGTTAACGTTAAAAAAAGTGCAAACACTCATGCCAAGGTTAAGTCTGTATGAATCCATATTGACGCTGTTGTGGCGATTGACAACATTATGTACCTACCTGCACAAAACAAAAATCAAATAGTGCCATAGTGCCGCTGGAACATCTTCACTGACTGATCACTTTCTTCTCTGGGAAGTTCAAATAGCAGGTAATACAGAAAATTGTGGCCAGAATAATGTGTTCTTGGATTGCCCTACAGATTTAGTCTTTAGAAACTCTTGCTGCTTGTGCCCTCATAAACTGGAACATTTCTGCTATTACAAAGCTGAAATTTGCAATAACATTTTGTCATGTTTTATAGCTTATAGAGCTTTTTGGAGTGAACTCATAAGTGTGTATGTTTCCAATTTGGTACACCGTGTAAATTGTCAAGTCCATAAGCTAATGTCCCTTGATGAGACCACTTATGATTTCAGTAAGCATGTAGAACGTCATTATGGAACGGTCTAATATAGGTTTAAACATTGCTGACTTTAACCAAGACCAGGAAAAGTAACTTTAATTTAATGTTCTCTCCTAGCAATAAATTGAAGAGGAAGGAAGAAAAAAATAAAATAAACAATTTCTTATCATTTTTTTTTTTTTAAACGATGTATAGGTTTGTCTATTGGTGAATGCAGCAAATCTGTATATTGACCACTAGGTGGAGAAATTGGATCAAAAATGTAAAAAAAATAAAAAAAATACAAGATTAAAGTAACACGGATAAAAATATAAATATATATATTTGTAATGTTTGTGTTCCTTTCTTTGATTAGATTGCAGCCCCTTATATTCTGAAAGCAAAAAAAGTGGTTACACTTACCTTTAGCCTAGTGCTAAGACTGTCTTGTCTCTGCAGCCACTGTGCCTCCAATGAAGAGGTGTGGGTTGGAAATTGCAAACAAACTGCAATGTATTACTTGACCAGAGAAAAGGGACTGGGTGTTTGGACCAGAAACACTTTAATTTAAAGGGTAACTCCAATCACAATGATCACTAGTGATTTAAAGTAGCCATAGTGCTTGGAGTCTGTATGTGCAATATTTCTCTTTGAAATGCTGCACATATTGAATTTAACTCCTCTGATGGCAGGGGTGTAAGTCAACCTCCATCAGCATGGTGTCATTATTCAGCCAGGAACAAGAGTTTCTGGGTCAGCTTATTTAAATTCTGTGCACATGCCTATGCATAGAAATTAATTAATTGACAGCAGACACTTTCAGCCAATGACTGGCTAGCAGGATCTATTTATTACTAAACTCAAAATGTTCACAAATTAAACCTGAATGGTAAAAAATGAGGCCAAAGTTTATGACTATAGCCAAGCCAGGGCCCTCAATATGAAATTATTTTGTGAGTCAGACCAAGTAGATTGAGCTATCGCTTTAATCCTTTGTACAATTTCCACACCCCTGTGTAGAACAATAATTTAAACAAAGAAAACCTTAAAGATTTAAAAAATGTGTGAGCAACAATTCATTTATAGTTTGTGTTTTCTGTACTTCATCTTGCTTTGTGCAATTTCATCTTGAAGTTTGTTTTGTCATTTGAGCAGTTCTTGCTGTCTTACGATAGGATTGACTTGAGTGATCTTTCCTTTCATATAAAATGTGTTGCTTTATGTAGCGGATGGCATTGGGCTGTCCTCAGAAATATGTATATTCGTATGTTTACGGTTTAATTTTGCCATGTGTATGTCAAGTGTAAGCAGCATTCGTCTGATTGTTCGGTAAAATCACTCGTTATTATGCGAGTGAAACTACCGAACAATCAGACCACCCCAGGAATAAGTGTGTCTCCAATTACCGTTCGCAACAATGTTGCAAACGGGTAATTGGCAATTCGTGCAGTGTGTACTTTGTCCTCTGGGTGGCCGCCATTCGGGAGACGAACATATGGCGGCGGCCATCTTAAACTCCCCGAACGCTGAGACCTCCACACTGCTGCAAATTCATGTAAGAACTACCGAATGGCCCCCCCCGTTCGGTAGAAAGAACCCCACGAACAAGGGGATTTACCTGAATCCTCCCTAGTTCTCATAACCCAAGCCATTTGTGTGTTTCATTCCCTTTTCTGTGACCGACCGCAGGGCCAAAATGTATGGAACCCTTTTCAGCTGTTAACTCCAGCGTGGTCGGTCTTTTTAGTACCTCCAGGAATTTCCCGAACCCCTGGTCCGATCTGGGTGATTTTTAGATGTGTCTCACCCAGATCAGGGCTACTAGGGGATGTAATATTTAAAGGGGTACCGCTATGTTTAGGGGTACATCCAGAAAACAAGGGGAACGGTGTCCTGCATAATGGGATTATGTGTCATACTAAGGGGAGGGGATGTGTGGGTGGCAACTCGTGTATGATTGGTGTATTGTGTAATTACTGTAAATCCCTCCCTTGCATGTGAGAAAGCTTTAAAAGAAGGTTGTGTGATTAAAAGTTCAGTTCTGCTCCTGATGCTGTGTGTCGTCCAGTCATTGGGATTGATGTTGGGATATTATTGGATTGTCTTGCCTGCTGGAATTATTGCCTTATGGATTTGTAATACTTGTTCCTGAGCCTCACTGGGATCTTGATGGGAGATAACCTACACTTCATTTTGACAAACATTACAATGGTTTCAAGATTTCCACCCCGTCATATGAGCAGATGGTACTGCTCTTAAGTTCTAGCTGACTTCTATCATATTCTAGCCTTGATTTCCCGCACTCAGATGTCATATTTTCACCATTTAATATATGCAATAATCAATCCTGACTGCCTCCAGCAATTAACTTACTTTCCATGTATTTAACAGCAGCCAGGGAGCTACCTTCTGCTAGGAAAAAGGTAAAATGAGAGACTTTAACTCTTGTAATTGTAAATGGAGCATATCACTACGCCAGAAAATAAATAAGTATAGTTTCATGTGGTAGTAAAAGTCTAAAATAGGTGTTAAAAAAAATATATATATATATATATTGTGACGAGAGCAATCTCGCCACATTGCACTGGAGAAGCCTGGTTGCTCGCCTGCTGCCTTTGGACTATGGCCCCACGTTAAAAGACTTTGTTTCCCCTGCAGAAAAGACTTATTCGTGCTTTTCTGCCCGGTGTTCGGTGGATTCAATCTACCGAACAACCGCACGAATGACTGGACCACCTAGGAGCTGGAGTGTGCCGGCAATTAACCTCCCTGAAGCTGCGGTTAACCGCAGCTTAATTGACGAATGCTGGGTGGCCGCCATTCGTATAACGAACACAAGGTCGCGGCCATTTTAAACATGCGAACGCACAGCGGTGTTCGACGCTTAATTCATGGAACGAAAATCAGACACAGTTTTGCGCGAACACCGCTGAAGCCGCCGACCTCCCTTCTTGTTCGGTGAAAGTGTACGAACGGCCCGGTGTTCGGTAGTTTTACTTGAATATGTTATACCCCAGATAGGAATCTCATGGAGCCCATTCGCATGAGAACTGACTGTGTAAAGACTTTGGCTCCATGGCGATTAAACTGTATTCGTGTGGTCTGAGCGCCATTCGCTTAATAATGTGTGCTCAGACCTGAGCTATCTGGGGACATGTTAAATGTACAGTTTTATTGTAAGTTATGTCATATAATGTATTTTAATAGTAATTCATGTTTTAGTATCCCCACGTGCATAATGGCGATTTGTCTTTGTCTTGGGAGATAATTGAATTACTTCTCAATTATCTCCAAGGCAGAGGGGAGGAAGCCAGGATGCATTGTGGGAATATAATGTGACTGTGTGTCCTGTTTGGCTGATTGTCTGTCTTTTTTCACAGTCTCCCATTTGGTCCCCTAGGGGAGTGTCCACCAGGTGGGAGACCTGCATAAATACTGGGCAGGTAGCCCTCATTAAACAGATCACCGCTTGACCCATAACACGGAGCCCTGTCTCGTCTTTGGGGGGGATTTACTGAATGCTGATAGAGACTGATTGCTAGGAGTGTAAGCCGCTTGGATGCTTTTCCTATTCATCTGCTAGCAGCTATTCATATGGTTCCAGTTTGTGAGTTTGGAGTGCTATATTGTATGCCGTTCGGGAGTTTGGAGCATTCCCTTACACTGCATCTTGGAAAGGGGACGATCGCCTAAACGGTTTTTACCCCTTGTGTGCAAAACGGTCCGTTACATATATGCTGTAAGTTATTGCCAAGAACATTTAATAATAAAAAAAAAATGAACACACATTTTCAACAACTGCATGATGAAGTGAAAAGATGAGCAACACAAATTACATTGTCCGTAATTTCCATTACATGTCCAAAAAATATATATTTATAAAACATCTTTAGTTGACATTCGGCATATAACCGCATCTAATATGGAGCCAATCTTTTCTTCTTGTGCTGTAATTTTATATACCTGTAAGTAAATAAATAAAGAAGAAATGTAACAGTTTAGAAAACCAATGTACAGTGGGACCTCGGTTTACAAACGCCTCGGTTAACATAATTTTCGGTTTACAAATGAAAATCCATTGAAAATAATGCCTCGGTTTACAATTTTTTTTTGCAATACAAAAAAAAGTTTCCCCAGGATGCATTGCACCTGGGAGGTTTATAGCACCGCACCCTGGATGCTGAAGCCTGTGGGTAGCACGTGGCATCGAGTGTGGAGGTGTTGGAGCAGCTTTTGCATTGAGTTTTGGAGCCATTCTGGAAAAAAATTTGCAGCGGTTCTGGGACTTTTTTTGAACTTTTTTGGTGCATTTCTCAAGCTGTGGAAAGGTAGGGAGCTGAGCTTCGTCGTTTGCATGCCTTTTATTGTGTGTTCTGCATTGTGGGCTGGTTTCCTTGCCAGCTCATTTTGACTTTTTTCTGACCTCCAAAACGGATTAATTGTTTTTCAATGCATTTCCTATGGGAAATCGTGTTTCGTTTACAAATTTTTCGCAATAAGAAACGGCCTGGAGAACGCACTAAATTCGTAAATCGAGGTCCCACTGTATACTTTTTATTTTACAGTATAGTTAACAGTATATTAGAAAAACAGACTGAAATTATAAACACATTTGTAATAAAGCTGAATAATTTACATATTTTATTTGCATTAAAATGTAATGGCCATTCACAGTAATCTAATCACTTTATTTTTGCCACGAAGTAAAATAAAGAAAAGGCTTGTAGCAACAAAATGGAAAGGTCTTAGCAATTCCAAAGACCCCTGACATTCAGATTTAATTTTGGAATTGCAAACACAACATTTGTGTGCATTTCAAGAAAATATTGTGAAAGTCTCAAACCTGCCACCAGTCTCAAGTCCCTGAAAACATCTGCATTCAGATACCTTCAAACAAAAAGCAGCATTTTATTTCTCTACTGTATGTGTAACAATGCGTCTATTATTGTCTAGTATATATATCTTACATGTAACAAAGGATTTTAAAGATTTTTTTTGTGAGAGGGGGGACATTGGGCTGCTGGGTGAGAGGTGGAGACAGGGGATACAGGGTATGAGAGAGACTGCTGGGTGAGAGGGAACATGGGGCTGCAAGGTGAAGGTGGGAACAGTAGCTGCTGGGTGAGAGGTGAAGAGGGGGTCCTGGTGGGAGTGCTGAGTGGCAGGACAGAGGTTTCTGGGTTAGAAGGGCAAATAGAGGATGCAGGGTATTAAAGGGGGATGCAGGGGATGAGATGGGACATGGGGCTGCAAGCGGAGAGGGGAAGACAGGGGTGCTGGGTGGGGGAGACCAGGGATGCAAGGTATGAGAGGGAGAGATAGGATGCAGGATATAAGAGGGGGTGACAGGGGACATGGGGATACAAGCTGAGAGGGGAAGACAGAGGTGCTGGGACAGGGGATGCAGGGTATGAGAGTTGGAGACAGGGGATGCAGGGTATGAGAGCTGGAGACAGGGGATGCAGGGTATGAGAGAGGAGACATGTTGCTGCAGGAGAAGAGGGGGCAGGGGCTGCAAGGTAAAAGGGGGGGCAGGGGCTGCAGGGTGAGAGGGGAAGACAGTGGCTGTAGGGCATGAGAGGGGAAGACAGGGGCTGTAGGGGCTTTTGGGTGAGAGGGGAGCAGCAGCTGCAGGGTGTAAAAGAGGGAGTGTCAGGGAATGCTGGGTGAGGAAAGGGGACATAGAAAAAAAAATACATACTCCCCTATCCCTCTTCCTTACCTTGATCCTTGGCAGGAGAGGATGCTGGGGAGGAATTTGTTTCCCTGGTGGTCAGGTGGAATAAGTATCTGGTCTACACCCCATGACAGATCTCCCCACCGCACTGAGCTCCCTCTATGGGCCGGAGTTCAGGCAGCATCAAAGCCCACAGGGCATTTGCCAGGTTTGCCCAATGGCCAATCCAGGCATGGGCCTGATAGAAGTCAGGTGGTTGTAACAAGGTTAATTTATAAAAGTGACTATGTCTTTTGAAATCTGTACGGTTTGTAAAATGCAATTAAAATAAATAAATAAATAAAACGCTCTTCACACGTAAAGTATTTCGGCCTTAGGGGTTTGGAGTGTGCCTTTAATCTATATTGCTTCATTCTCATGCTGATTGGATCTTTCATATAGTTTGATGTTTTTTATAAAATTAGTCTCATAAAAAAATTTTTTTTTTTACATTTCAATCTGATCTTACAGCTATGTTTGTTTACTTTAGATGTTTTTATCTCCTGCTCTGTTAATTAATATTTAATCACACACACAAGGCTGTTGCAGGCTCTAACAGGCTATTAACATAGCAGGAGTTAAGAAGTTTTAAATTAAACACACCATGCAATAAGAAAAGCACATAAAAAAAAAAAAAATAAAAAATAAAAAATAAAAAAATCGACTCTCTTTCAGGAAATGTGTAGGGAGACTGCACATTTGCTATGTATACATCAAGTATTTGCACTGTTTCATGTAGACTTTTTTGCAACTTTCCTAAGGCAGATACATACCTGATATATGCCTCAATTTAATATTTTTGGATAAGCTTTTAGATGATTTAATATTTTTGAATCTACTTTTAAAATGGCTTATTCAAAATACTGAAATATTGTAAGAGATAATATATAAAAAATATAGCAATATATTAACAAATATCAATTTTGTTTAAAAAAATTTTGAAAAGTTAATTGAAAAGTATTAAATCACTTGAAAAGCTTACCCAAAAATATTAAAATGAGGCCATGGTGCCTAAATAGTGTGCAAGTGTTTCCTTTTACACCTTTTGTCTCTGTATGTACTTTTTTAAGTTTCACAGTTTCAGTAAAGACAGTCAAACAAAAACCCCAAGAAATTAGAGAAACTATTACTAAAATGAACTGAGAATATCAGTACTGCGTTTTTGGGTACCAGAGTTTTGTCCTGGTAGTTATTCTTGGTATCAGTTTAAATATAAAACACTTTGTATTTACAGAGTGTTACATAAAGAGTATCAATAAAACTAGTATACCAAGGTACAAAGATCAGGGAGGATTGTATTAAAATGGATCTTTGTGTATTGTACTTTTATAAAAGAGAAGAATTAATGACTTGGCCACGTGTGCATACAAATATACAAAACACACACCTCTCTCTAGTATAGCCATCTGGATCCTGGCCACATACCTTAAGTTTTTTTTTTTTTTAATGCATTTAGTATTCATTTAATCTTTAATACTTGCATTGGAACAAAATAATCACTGCTAATCTCTGCTTGGAACCAACCCTCCTGTTGATGTTCGATTCTGGGCTATTGGGATATGCACCGGTGTTGCTTTCCGTACAAGTTCATCTTGTCAGTAGCCCAATTATTTACTAAAACTGGCTTGCACAGCGTTTTTCTAGAAAACCCTTCGCATACATAGTTTAAGTCCTCTGCTCCTGGAAGTGTACCTCCAGCTCCGTTAGCATCACTAGTCAGCTTGGAAATATGAGTTCCAGGCTGGCAAATGTGAATTCTCTGCATATTTCTATGCACAGACGGTCATTCATTGGCTCTGAGCGATCAGTTGATGCTCTCAGCCAATAAATGGCGGTGGGTATCTGCATTCAGCTTCTATAGTTCTGAAAAAGCAGGATGTCATCACATTCAGCAGAATAATGCTCAACATAGCCACCATTTCTCTCCTATAATGATGATCTCAGCCATTCCAATGCTTCTCCCAAAGGGAAGCATTCTTGAATGGTGTGCAAATGTGCAAATCGACATCATCTCAGACATGCATTGGCATCTCTAAGTGAAGCATATGACGTCTTCATGCAGAGCATGAGGACGCCCAATATGAATTCTGCAAAGCTTGGAGCACCACACCAGGAAGGACATATCGTGTCTGCCTGTCAGAGTGACAGCGACTAGAAGTGGCCTTAGGGATAAATGTAAAGACTGCCTTTGCTCAGAAAAGTCAGTGTTTACAATTTTCATTGCTGATAGTGACAGCAAGCAAAGGGGATACTTTTTATCCATTACTGCAGCAACATTTACCAAGATGCCATTTGCAAATCAGCAAAATGTTACAAAAAATTGAATTTGAAGTCCTCAAGTTTTAAGGTAGTAGTGATGTCATGCTAGTTGGGCTTGCTGGCAGTTTGAAAATTACAGTTTAAAGAGGAGATTAAAGTGTCTTGGCTACGGTAGCCAAAAAGGAGAACAGTAATTAGTTTCAAGCATTGGGACTATTGATTTGGAGATCTGTCCTACCTTTTTTACTTGTGTGATATCTGTTAGTTGTGACAGCTCTGCTAAAGAGACCTGCTGGCCATCCACATGAGAGATTATTTCTTGGGAATTCAATGTATTTCTTCCATCATCAGTCAAAGCAACAAGAACGTCAGAATTGCTGTCTGACAGACCAAACTTTTTGAAAGCTTCTGAAATCTAAAATGAAAAAAATATTTTGCTTACAAAAGGTTAATTTATAATTATTGTGAAGGTAAAAAGTAATACACTCTGTATTCATTTATAACAAGATAAATAAACATTTAGCACCAAAATCTTTCTTTCTGACCGAATAAAATTTACTGCTAAAAAACAAAGGTGCTGGAAGCAGAATGTGCTCTCAGTCAACCAGAATTGAATTCAACGAGTTTGCTTAATGCCAGAGATTAGTTTTTTGGGGGAGGGGATAGTGAGGGGGGGTTTACAAAAACCCTGTAAACTAAATACAAGAATGTTAAACATAAGGTGCAGGCAGTTTTTAGGATTTTATTTGTGTTGTATGATGGTGCATAGGCAATTAGACAGAGCAACGACATGGCAATATGCAAATGTTTTGCTTACCCTACAGAAACTAGGCATTAAAGGGATATTATAGGGCCAGGAATACAAAGCTGTATTCCTGGCACTATCGCTCCTCCTGCCTTCCCGGTAAGTAAAGGATTAAAAAAACACTTTATTTACTTACCTTCTCCCAGCGCTGCTGTCCCTCGGCACTGGGGCCATGCTCCGCCCTCTCCGACGTCCCGCTATGAGTGGGTGCTAATGCGATTTTCCCCAACAGGAAAGCATTGGATCAATGCTTTACTATGGGGACAAATTGGACACTGGATGTCCTCATGCAGAGCGTGAGGATGTCCAGCGTCAAATACCTGACCAAAGGTCCATTTCAATCCAGGACGTCTTCTAGTGGCTGTCTGATAGACAGTCACTGTGGGCAGACTTAGTGCTGCAATGTAAACATTACAGGTTCTCTGGAACTGCAATGTTTAACGTTAGAGCAATAAGGGAAATAGGGACACTGCACCCGGACCACTTCAATTAGCTCAATTAGCTCATTAGGTCTGGGTGCCTACAGTGTCTCTTTAATACTTATTTCTGTAGTAATTCTGTTTTGTTTTTTGCTTCAGATTTGGCAACTCTGCTAATGAAATCATTTAACACTAGGTAATCTCTTAGGTTTGATTGTTAATGTCTCAGAGCCAGTTATAAGGTCCATAATTCAGAAAACAGATGGAAATATTTTTCACTGTATATCCTCATACAGTCTTGAAAGCTAAGTATTTATGTTACCTATGTTTTTACTCTTTTCCTAAACAAAAAAGTCCCTTTTTGTACCTCAATGTTTTACCTTTAGTCATAAAAATTATAAAGGGAATTAAAAATAGCTACTGAAACACTTTCAAAAATGCAGCTAATTTTGGGGAAAGTAAAATATACTCATACACTTGAATACTACGCGCTAAGCATATTTAAAAAAATAAAATAAAATAGGATAGTTGCATGGCGCTAAATATAAAAGTGGTGCAGCTATATCACCCGTGAGTCAATCACTAGATATTCACAATCCTACATCTAAATACAAGAATACCAAAGAAAGTGAGAGCACACACAAAGTGAAATAAGATATATTAGAATTACCCTTGCTTGTTATTTAAATTACTTATAACAAGGAAGGGTAATAATATTATTTATATATTTCACTTCGTGTGCGCTTTCACTTTCTTTGGTATTCATGTTTTTCAAGCGCGCATAATATAAATGTTTATTTCTTTAGTGGGGTAATGAATATGCAGAATAAGGTGGGGCTGACAACTAATCATACCCATTTGACTTCCAACAAAAATAAAAGTATAAGAAATACAGTGCTGGATAGACCCAGACAGTACATTATAGAACATATCTATTTTAACTCTCTGAAGTGAACTCAGGAGGCCCTTTGTATTTAGATATTGTATTTTAATACCCTTCTATAAATATGCACTTGTATTAAGTGGGAAAGAGAGACACACATAGACAGGGAGGTTGATACTTAAATGAAGAGAATAACATTTTTGATAAAGATACTGAAAAAAAGAAAAAAAAGTCCAAAAGTAAGGTGACATTTTTGTAAACTATGAAAATGCAGTGAGTTTACTACGGTGTGCTTCCTGTATGGTGCTACTTACATTGTTGGTGGGGGACAGGTTAAATATGATTTCAGCATTGAGGGACCTCGTCTTCATTTTTCCAAGCTTGTGTAGATGAATTGCCTTGTTTGCTGCCACACGGATTTGAAGTGCATCTAGAATCTTTTTGAAATAAATAGAATAGATGTATGCGTATTTAATTCAGTATTACTTCATTTATATCCTCTCTGCTTACCACAATAATTATTTTACAGGTATTGCTACCGTGCTGCAGAATGAACCCTCAGTAACCGCCAGATAAGGGATAAGAATAATACCTCAATGTAATATTGTCTCTGTACTGGGAAACAGTTTAAGCATTTAATAGAAATTGTAATATCAAGAAGCAGTAGCTAATAGTTGTGCTTGAAAATAGGAGAAGTTACTTTCTGTAACTATCTAATCACAGACTTCTCAATAAGCTGTATTACAGCTCATTGGGATGTCTTTTAAACTCAGGTGTACTGCGCGCAAGCGTCTGCACCGTTGAGTTTAGCAACATGAAGATAAACCAGGAGGAAGGAACAGGGCCGCCAGTCTGACAGCTTGGCAGGTGTATCAACATTCCTTTATAAAATTATCTATTACTATTGACAACAACCCTTTTAGAAAATTGACACAAACTGAAGTGTTTTAGGTATTTGCTGTATTCCTTAAAAGGGTCACACCAGCAAAAAAACAAAACAGTTTTTAAAGAAAACATTAGTTTTGGTTACAGTAACTATAACCAATTCAATGAGCATGCTGTGCACGCTGGTGTCAGATGCCAAATTTACACCAAATTCACATTAGCCAGCCCTGAACTCTTAGATGGATGTGAAACTTGTTAGGGAATAGGTTTTTCTACTAATGGCTTTAAGTTAGACTACCTTTCAACATACTGTTATATTCTATTGCTTCCTATTGTTCGGAGGAACAGTGCTCAGCACATGACATGGCTTTACCATTGTAAGTTAGATCACAATGCATACTTACCAATGCAGGATTTAGCAATGCACCTTCAATGGATCCTTCCATTGCTTTACGTTTTAGGGCTGCTGCATTTCTAATATTTCTAAAAAGTAACAGTTTTATCTGACACCCAGGAAACAATTCCAAGTTATATGGCTCATCCATTGCGATTGAATACAGCACAGTATCTGCAGAGAAAGGAAACAAGAATCCTTATGTCTTCTAGCATATAAGCTCATTGAGCAGGGCCTTCAATGCCTCTGTTCCTGTGCGTCCACTTGTCTTGTGACAATTATGAGTCTGTTGGTCCACCCATTGTACAGTGCTACGGAATTTGCCAGCAGGCCCCTCCAAGCACCGTGACGAGGTTTAGGTCGTCACAAGCGCCAACAGATTCCGCAGCGCTTTACAATATTATGAGAGGGGCTGATTTAACTATAAATAGGACAATTACAAGAAAACTTACAGGAATGATAGGTTGAAGAGGACCCTGCTCAAACGAGCTTACAGTCTACAGGAGGTGGGGTATAAAACACATTAGGACAGGAAATTGCAATTGAATAAGGTGGGAGTGAAGCAGAGCTGGAGGAGAGAGTCAAGTGCTGTCCTTTAAGAGAGAGCAAGAGACAGGTATGTGAGGTAGAGGTCATAAGCTCTCCTAAAAAGATGGGTTTTATGGCACTTCTTAAAAAATGCAAGACTAGGCCATAGGCAGGCTATTCCATATGAAGGGAGCCGCCCGCGAGAAGTCCTGCAAGCGTGAGTTGGCCGTATGGGTGCGAGCAACGGACAGGAGAAGGTCACATGCAGAGTGGAGAGACCGAGAAGGGGCATACATATGGATCTGTGAAGAGCTATAAGAGGGGCTAGAATTGTTCAGTGTTTTACACGTTGTTCTCCCCACCTGTGTACTTTTATTATACAAGACCGTCACATGATAGAGTTTAACTCCGTCGTCACAGTGGAAACAACTCCAGTGGCTGGCATGAAAACAGCCACTACAGGTGTGTTTATTCCTGTGATGATAGCTTTGCCGTTCCTACCAAACAGCAAGGTTTTCAATGGCAGGACTAAAAGGACACAACCACTGCATGCAGACCACTTCATTGAGATGAAGTGGTGTGGGTGCCTTTAGTGGTCTTTAAGGCCAGAGTAACCAAGCTGAAAGCATATCTGACTTAAGGAATGTACTTTAAAGTGACACTGTAGGCACCGAGACTACTTCAGCTCATTGAAGTTGTCTGGGTGCAGTGTCCCTTTTGCACTTAGTGCTGCAATGTAAAACATTGCAGTTCCATAGAAATTGCAATGTTTACATTGCAGCTCTAAGTCTGCCTCCAGTGGCTGTCTAGTGTCAGTGACAGTGATAGTGCCTGCAATACAGCTCTGTATTCCTGGCACTACAGTATACTTTTAACAAAACATAACTACATACACAATACTGTAATGCATTCAGAGGGATACTCCAACCCAAAAAAAAAAAAAAAAAAAAAAAGGTCTTTCTGGCCTTGCTGCGCCAATCAGCGTCTTCTCAGAGAGATGTATTGAATCAATGCATCACTATGGGGAACTTTCAGTGTCTCAATGCAGAATGTAGACGTTAAACATAGGTGCTGCACATTGTGCATCTCTAGTCGCCTTCTGACGAGGTAATTCCAGGGGGAGACAAGCAGGGGAGGGCTGGCAGCCTTAGGCCTGGGGGGCAAAACCAGTCAAGTGGCCCATTGCACCACCAAATCAGTGCAATGGTGCCCACCTTTTCCTGGTTTTATAACGGATATTGATGTTATGCTAATCAGTAGCTCTTTGCCATACCCACTCCTTCACGGCTCTGACTTTCAATGTTGTCAAAGCGCAGGCTGAGAATCTCTGAGCGTGTGCTCTGACTCACTAACTGAGCGCTGGAACCACGAGGGAGAGGCTATAATCTGACTGCACCTACTGCTGGTGCGTACCAGTGGACCACCAGCGAATCGTTTAAATTGAATAGGCTGGTGTCCCCAACTTGTGAGCTGTGTTGTCCGCCGGGCGCCTCTGTTGTGATGGCACCCTGCGTGACCGCACAGCGTGCACACCCCAACGGCTGGCCCTGCTGACACACACTGATGTTACTACTTAGAAATCCCTCAATATTAATACAGACATCAGAGTAAACACCAATAAACTGTGGAAACAGAGCTGATCCCACCCAAATTTATAAAGATTTGCTTACTGGATTTGTTGTAAGATTAAATCATACCTCCTCCTCTCTCTCTCCCATGCGCTGCTCTGTAAGCTGGGAGGAAGTGAAGAGTAATCACAATCTCCCAGCACAGTGGCACCTGTGGCTGCATGGGGAACAGCTGTATTTCCCGCCCCCCATGTGACATCACAATGCCCCACCTATATGAGCTGCCATACGAACTAACGCCAGTGCTGCCCACAGTGTGTGTTTACATTAAAAAGCCTGCAGGGACCGGCTATAGACACCAGAACCACTTCATTAAGCTCCAGTCGTTCTGGGAAATATAGTGTCCCTTTAATGTGAGGTAAATTATAGATTAGTGTCACTAATAATATACTAGATTGCCTACTTACAACCAAATGAGGATGATGATGGGCTGCAGTTTGGCTCCACTGGTCTGGTGTAGAACAGGATCTCTGGAGGCTGTTTGCAACTGTGATCACAAAATTCAATGTTCTGGGAGAATTGGAAGCAGCTCCATTTTTTGGGGGCCCCTTACACAGCTCAAGGTCTGGGCCCCAGGGCCTGACGGTGAGTATGCCCACAAGGCCCACTCATAAGTCCACTTATATGTTCCACCCACCCATGAGTTCGCTCACAGGGAGTGGAGTGTGTAGGGGATGTGTTATTGTAGAGGATCTAATATGTGTGCTTATGGTATGTAGTGTATAGGGATACCAGTTTGTGCAGGTGATGCAGTGTGTTTGTGTGTAGTGGAAGCAGTGTGTATAAGGGATGTATTGTGTGTTTCTGGTTGTGTGTAAGGGATGCATTGTGTGAATCTGTGTTTGTATGCATAAAGGATACAAGGTGTGTGTCTGTAAGTGTGTGCATTGAGTGTGTGTTAGTGATGCATTGTGTTTCTGTGTGTATGTAAGAAAAGCAGTGTGTGTGTAATGGTTTGCATTGTGTGTTTCTGTGTATGTGTGCAAAGGATGCATTGTCTTTGTGTGTAAGGGTTGCATTGTGTGTGTGTAATGGATGCATTGTGTGTTTCTCTGTGTGTAAGGGAAGCATGTTGTGTTTCTGTGTGTGTAGGGATGCATTGTGTGTTTCTGTGTATGTATAGGGATGCATTGTGTGTGTGTGCGCGTAGTGTGAAAGAGCTCCCTGTCTTGCCCCCTGTCCTATAGAGCTGTCCCTTCTAGCTCTCCCCTGCCCCTTAGTGGTCTCTCCTCTCCCCCACCCTCCCCTAGCGGTCTCTTCTCACACTCACCCACCCTCCCTGTGCTCTTCTCATCCACCCTCCATGTGTTCTTCTCACCTCCCCCCTCCCTGTGTTCTTCTTACCCCCTCTCCTCCCTGTGTCCTCCTTACCCCCTCTCCTCCCTGTGTCCTCCTCACCTCCCCCTCCCTGTGTTCTTCTCAGTCCCCCCCTTCTCCACCCTCCCTGTGTTCTTCTCAGTCCCCCTTCTCCTCACTCATCTCCCCCTCCTCCTTGTGTTCTTCTTACTCCCCCCTTGTTCTTCTTACCCCCCGTTTTTCATACCCCCTTCTTCTTATTATTCCCCCTCCTCCTCCTTCTGTTACTCCCCCCTCCTTCACTCCTTCACTTACTTCTCCCTCCTACTTCTGTTACTTCCCCTCCTCCTACTTCTAAGCTTACTTCCTCCTTCAATGTTTACTCTCCTTCACTTAATACTCCCCCTCCTCACTTACTTCCCCTTTACTTACTCCCTCCTTCACTTACTTCTCCTCCTCCTTCTGTTACCCTCCCTATTCACTTACTCTCCTATTCACTTATTTCCTCTCCTTCACTTACTCCTCTTTCATTTACATACACCCCATCTTTACTTACTCCTTTCACTTACTTCTCCACTAAATCCCCACCTCCTTCACTTACTCCCTCTTCTATTTACACCCCATCTTCATTCCCTTCACTTATTCCACTTCTTCAATTTATTCCACTCCCCTTCACTTATTCCACCTTTCACTTATTCCAATTTCCCTTCACTTATTCCACACCCTCACTTATTCCCCTCCTTCACTTATTCCCCTCCTTCACTTATATTCCCTCCTCTACTTATTCTCCTTCACTTACCCTCCTTCACTTATTCCCCCTCCTCACTTATTCCCCCTCCTTCGTATTCTTCCCCCTCCCTTCACTTATTCCCTCCCTTCACTCTATTCCCCCTCCCTTCACTTATTCCCTCCCTTTCACTTTCTATTCCCCTCCTTCACTTATTCCCTCCTTCACTTATTCCACCCTCCACTTATTCTTCCCCTCCTTCACTTATTCTACCCCTTTCACTTATTCCCTCTTCCTTCACTTGTCCTCCCTTCTTCACTTACCCCCTTCACTTACTTCTCCCCCTTCACTTACTTCCCCCCCTCACCTGTAGCGTGGCCGAGCTGCTCGCTGGTGTTCCGCGCGGAGTTTCTGTTTCCTGTAACCAGCCGGACTGACAGGAAGTGCACACTGAGTGTGCACCTTCCTATCAGTCCGGCCGGGCACCGTGGACCAGCGAGCAGCTCGGCCACGCTACAGGGGAGGGGGGGGAGAAGAGCAGCTGCAGCCGCCTGAGGCTCTTCACAGAACGCTCAGGCGGCTGCAGCATTTAAAGGGCCGGCCCTGCAGTGGCCGGTCCTAACAGAATTTAGGGCAGCCTGGGGGGCAATTGCCTCCCTGCCCCCCGGCCCAGCCCGCCCCTGGAGACAAGTTTTAATTGCCTCCAACAGAGAATAATAGGTGATGTTAAAGGGATCCCCCCAATGCCCAGATTCTTTTGTATCTGTAGAGCTAACATAATCAAATTGATAACATCCCTATTTGCCGAAGTTGTCAGAAGGTGTTTCTGAACTTATTTATAAAAGCGCTAATTTCAAGTAGAAATCAGCACTTTTATAAACTTCAATCAAAACAAGCATATCTGAAAAGCCAGTGTTTACATTAAAAAGCCTGCAGGGACTGACTATACTCACCAGAACAACTACAGGGTGGCCTGTAAGTCTCTACCCATCCATATATCTTATGTATCCAGTGTATCTGTGTGCTGGATGGGTAGGGACTTATGGGCCACCCAGTACATTAAGCTGTGGTGGTTCTGGTGACCATAGTGTCCCTTTAATTGTAAGATTCATTTTGAATTTACTTTATTGAATAGCCCTGATGGAATTCTCTAACAAGATGCAGCTACAGCATGGTTATATCGAGCTTTACGCTCAGGCCGAGGCTGCTCTAAGAAAACATTTGGGTTTATTTACTAACCTGTAGATGCGAGCTGGTTTTATATTGTCCCTGCTGTTGCACAGCTCGCCCACCCGAAATGCCAGCAGTCCTAACAGAAAACGACCCTGTCCTTACCGTGTGAGCGTGGGTTCTAATGACAGGATTCCAAACAGAACGCTTGTACAGGAGCGTGTTTCCAGCCGAGCTCCGCAGAACGCTGCACACTTCTGGGTGTACACAGCCACAGCTGCTACTGAGTGGGAGAGCTGCACCTCGTACTAATCAACTGAGTGATCACTGAGCCAGTACACCGCCATTCGGTTTGTGCATACACGGTTACAGGTGTTATAGGTATGCTTTATCTCAAACTGCATTGTGGACTACAGATAATAGGATGATCAGTTTACAGAGATTCGTGTATCACGTATTAGCATGGGCTGTTTCGTTTGTTTTACACGTTGCAAAGTAGATCTTGCAGGAAGCAAGCGACAATATTGCATTTTATATTAGGAGAATAGATCTTATTATTATTTTAACATATAATATATCCTGGCAGGGTCAAGCTGCAATCACATCTACTCTTGAAGAGCATGATTATATGTCAGTGGTTTAACCCATAAGAATAACTTTCATAACTTTCTGATACGTGAGATTTGTTGTGTTGCCCATTTTAAACATTGCTATGGTTATTTGGTAAACTGAAATTGTTAATATCTGTGTTCTTTCTTCTTACAGTCTGTGACGGCACTCTAAAACACTCATGGACAAGCTTGAAGGTTACTATTTCTCCGCTTTATTTAGCGGCTGCTTTCTGCTATCCAGTGTACTTTTTTCAAAACTCACCAGAGAACAAAGAGATCCATACATGGATGAAATTTTCCACATCCCACAGGCACAGCAGTACTGCCATGGTCACTTTAATCAGGTATTAAGTCACACAAATACAGAATAATTTTGGATTATGTCACTAGTAAATGTATAAGTTTAGTTTTACTTCCCCTTTATGGGGAATGTTATAGTTAAAGGACCACTATAGTACCAGGAAAAAAAACTTGTTTTCCTGGCACTATAGTATTAATAGGTCCCCCCTCCCACCGGACTCTAGGCGCTGGGGACTCCCCTCCCTCTTCTGCCGAATGCGCAGAACGCGCACGCATTCAGTCAGTCCATAGGAAGCATTCTCAATGCATTCCTATGGACGCTGGCGTCTTCTCACTGTGAAAATCACAGTGAGAAGCGTGGAAGTGCCTCTAGTGGCTGTCAATGAGACAGCCACTAGAGGCTGTATTAACCCATATGTAAACATAGCAGTTTCTATGAAACTGCTATGTTTACAGCAGGCAGGGTTAACCCTAGTTGGTCCTGGCACCCAGACCACTTCATTGAGCTGAAGTGGTCTGGGTGCCTATAGTGGTCCTTTAAGCTTTAAAACTAACCGCAACTAACGACTGTTTCCAAACTACAAAATCGAATCGATTGCGACTGGTAATTCCCTGCGACAAAAGAGTTATCATCTCCAATAGGATGTAATAGGTGACCTTAAAGGGATCCCCCGCAATGCCCAAATTCTTCTGATTCTGTGGAACTAACCAAATCGAGATGAAAACTTCTCTAGTTGACAGCCAGAAGGAGTTTCTGCACTTAATTATAAAAAAATGCCTATTTCAAATAGAAATAAGCATATCCTCACACATAAAGCTCTTCAGAAAGCCATAGCATACTTACCAGGGGTTAATTTGTAGATGCTAGGCCTAGTGAATGGCAATTGTGCGATGCATGGATGTCTTTATGTATATACACACAATGATCAGAAGCAACATTAAGACCACCTGACTAATATTGTTTAGGTCCACCTCACTCTGCCAAAACAGCTCGGATGCGTTGAGGCATGGACTCCACAAGACCTCTGAACATGTCGGGTGGTAGCTGGAACAAAGACATTAGAAGCAGGTCCATTAATTCATGCAAGTTGCAAGATGGGGCCTGCATAGATCCGATTTGTTGTTCCAGCACATTCTAGAGATGCTCAATTGAATTGAGATTTGGGGAATTTGGAGGCCAAGGCAACACCTTGAACTCTTTGTCATGTTCCTCAAACTATTCCTGAATAATTTTTGCAGTTTGGGAGGGTGCATTATCCTGCTGAAAGAGGCCACTGCCATCAGGGAAACATCATTGCCGTGAAGGGTCTGTAGGCAGTCTGCAACATCCTCTAGGTAGGTGATACGTGTCAAAGTAACATCCACATAAATACCAGGACCCAGGTGTCCCAGCAGAACATTGCCAAGAACATAACATTGCCTCCACCAGCCTACCTTCTTCCCATTAGTTCACTGCATACCAGGGACACCCCACCCCATAAGACTTGTCGTTTTGGAGATGCTCTGACCCAGATGTCTAGCCATCACTATTTGTCCCTTGTTAAAGTCACTCAGATCTTTTTGCTTGTTCAGTTTTACTGCCTGTTGTGAACTGACCACTTGTTTTCCAATGTATCCAACTTCTTGACAGGTATTGTATATTCACTTAATTAAAGTGGACATCGCTATACATAATTTAAGACCATAAAATCCAATTTATATAATACCCAAAAAGTGTCAATGTGATACACCATATGTGTACTTTGATGATTTTGATAAATATATCAAATCAGTGGAGTAGAATTTATGTCTCTGTAAGCAAATAAAACCGAATACTTTCATTGGGTAGTGCAGCTTTACCACCAGGATTTTTGGAATGAAAACTGGAAATAGTTGGTATCACACTAACATTTTAACGAGCCTGTTCTTATAACTGGCTCAGCTAATATCCGCTTGAGTGTGAGTATGCAGAATTCACTTGCAGCACAACGCGTTTTTTAACGTTCTGGAAGTCTTCCTCAGCTGCTTATATATTGCTCAGGTAAGTTCCTAATATTTAAAGCCCTTTTTGGCACCAAATGAGCACCTAAATCCAACCCATTTCTGGCACCAAACGAGCGCCTAAACCTGGCTCGTTTTTGGCACTCGTTTATCGCCAAAAAGGGCTTAAATTAGAGGAACTTCCCTGTGCAATGTATAAGCACCTGAGGAAAGGATCCAGAACGTTGAAACGCGTTGTGCTGCAAGTGATTTCTGCGTGCTTAAATGTAAGGCTTTTAATGCTCTGTGAATAAATGCTTCTGATTTTACTCTGATGAAGGCTGCTTTTCTCCTGTTTCATATCTGACAAAACAAGCTGCTACCAATCCTGATTGAAAACATAAGTATCACACTCAGGCTGATTTTACCTGAGCCAGTTATAAGAACACGTTTGGTTTGATTGCAGTGGCGTACATACCAGGGTCGCAGGGGTCGCGGCTGCGACCGGGCCCGGCCCACCAGGGGGCCCGACCGCCCCTGCGACCTGGTATGTACCCACAGGGCCAGCCTCTTCCCCTGGGGGGCCCAGGAGGCGGCCACCTCAGGCCCCCCCCGAGGCTGGCCCTGCTGACCCCAGCGGGCGGGCGGGCTGTCTGGGCGGCCGGTGCGCGAGGGAGCACTTTCCCCTGTGTGCTTCCTCTTCAGCTCCCTCGCGCACCGCACTGATGCCGGAGCTGGAAGATGACGTCATCTTCCCGCGCCGGCATCCCTACGCGGCGCGCGAGGGAGCTGAAGAGGAAGCACACAGGGGAAAGTGCTCCCTCGCGCACCGGCCGCCCAGACAGCCCGCCCGCCCAGTGACCTGCCGCCCAGGAGCTAGCAGCACCAATGGACCCCAGGGAATCCCCCCAGCACTCCAAAAGGTTAAGGAGGCTTGGGGGATTAAATTTAAAAAAAAAAAAGTGTGTGTGCGTGTGTTAGTGTGTGCGTGTGTTTGTTTGTGTTAGTGCGTGTGTTTGTGTTAGTGCATGTGTCTGCTATTGGGTGTGTGTCTGCTAGTGAGTGTGTTACTGTGTGTGTCTGTTACTGAGTGTTTGATGTCTGTTAGTGAGTGTGTGTCAGTGAAAGTGTATGTTTTGTAAGTGAGTATGTATGTCTGTCGCTGAGTGTGTCTCTGTCAGTAAATGTGTGTCTGTTAGCTAGTGTGTATGCGTCTGTTCGTGAGAGTGTGTGTGTGTGTCTTCAGCATTTACCTTTCTCCAGCGTCGGACTCCCCAGTGTCCGCCTCTCAGCACCGAATGCACATGCAAGAGGTGCGCGCGCATTTAAACCGCCCATAGGAAAGCATTACTCAATGCTTTCCTATGGACGTTCAGTGTCTTCTCACTGTGATTTTCACAGTGAGAATCGCGGAAGCTCCTCTAGCAGCTGTCAATGAGACAGCCACCAGAGGCTGGATTAACCCTCAGTGAAACATAGCCGTTTCTCTGAAACATAGCCGTAGGGTTAAAACTAGAGGGTTAAAACTAGAGGGACCTGGCACCCAGACCACTTCACTGAGCTGATGTGATCTGGGTGTCTGTAGTGGTCCTTTAAGTGTGTGTGCATACCGCGGTCGCGGGGTCGCAGCCCTGCAACCCCTGCGACCAGGTGCCCGCCGTCATGTGTTGCGGCCCCGACCCGCGCCGAGTAAGCGCGCGCGGGGGGGGGGGGTGGGGGGGCGGCACGGATCAATTTTCGCACCGGGGCCCCATGGGTCATGTGTACGCCACTGTTTGATTGGGTATATTTATTAAAATAACCAAAATAAACAAACACATGGTGTTTCACATTGACACTTTTTGAGTATTGTATAAATCGGATTTTGTGGTTTTTAAATGTGTTGCATTGTTCACAAATTTTATGTTTTATGTACATTGTGAAATTTGAGTGATTTTAATTATTTTTTTTATTTTTTATTATTCTTTATTCCGGGAAAAGACACCAATACAATAACAAAAGCAGTAAAACAGACTTAACCCCTTAAGGATGCAGCTTCAAAAACTGGACTTACCCTTAAGGACACAAGCATTTTTTGCTGTTTGTGTTCAACTTCCGTTTGCATTTTTCTTATTTATTGCACCAACACATGTTATATATAATTTTTTAAAGGACAAAAAGGGCTTTAATTTGATGTGACTTATACATATATAAATTCTTATTTATTATAAAAAAATTCAAAAAAATTGTTAAGGAAAGTAATTTTAAAAAAAAATATTCAATTCGTTGTTCTGATTTTCAGAGTACATAATGTGTCTAGGATTTAAGCTTATTTTGAAAGTTACAGGTCACAAAATACAAGGAATAAAATAACATTTTAATGTGGAGCTATTTTAGAATTTGGTATGTTTGTCTTGTACTCGTAATAGCCATCACAGAAAGCAAAATTGCCGCACAAAAGTACATATTTATATAAAGCACACATCACAGGCTATTTACCAAAGGGTATTCTGACACTTTTTACGTAGCCATTTCACCGCCAATCTCTGCTAAATATTGTAGTAAAATTGTGGGGTTTTTTCAGATTTCTAACATACACACATAAAACAAGGATTTTTAATGTATATTTTATAACGCTGATATATACTACTGCTGTAGAAAACCCCATATTGTTTTCTTTTTTTTTTTTTTTTTTACAATCTTTATTTTGCGTTTTCATAAACAGGAAAATACAGAAAGAAGACCACAATAGCTTTGAGTTAGTGTCACGTTCCAAGGGTACATTCAAGAACCACATAGAAATCGCATTTATAATACAGTTCTATCTATAAAACAACTGTGAAATACAGCCCATCTGACTTCTTTATACCTTACTATTCTTATTGTTTGTTTTTGACATTCTTCAGTTATCTGTTATTATCCAGGATAAATGGGGGTGTGGGAGAGAATAGGGAAAGGAGATTAGTCAGGGGTACGGGAGTAGCGTTAACTATAGCGAACACCAAGGGTCACAGGATCCACACGTTCAATTCTGTCCCTCTTTTAGCTACTTGCGATTATCTAGATTATATCGGCATGAATAGAGTCTGTTTGCGTGTCGCCACTTTTTTTTTTTTTCTTTTCTTTAAATTAGCGTTGGACGCACATATCAAATGTAATGGTTCTCGTAAACGTTTGAGACGGTTAGCCTCTTTTGTATGGTTTCTGCGCCTGTCAAGTGTGTTCGTCCTGGCGGAGGGGTGCCCCATATTGTTTTCAGCCATATCAACTGAGTAAAACGATACCCCCTATCTATGCCTTTGCCAATATCCTGTGAAGTTACAGTGTCATAAAAGAGACCTGACCATTTCAGTTTTCACAGTGATAATTTTGATTGATGGGGGCAAGTCTCGTTTTGGGGCATTGTTTAACTGTTGAATTTATCCCTCAAGGACCTACTATTGGTGAAAGTAGACACTACACTGTATCACATATGGTGTATATTGTGCCTTAATGTGATGCCATTTTTTCACCAGTTTATGTCAAACTTTGCGGTAAAATATTTTTTTTTCCATTTTTTTTTTTTTTTACATACACATTACATTTTTTGGGGTCATTTTTCAAGTCTGGTATGTGCCACTGTTATCAAAACCCCATAATTATTCTCAGCAAACTCTTCTGAATAAAACAGTACCCCCAATGTATGTCTGTGTCACTATCCTGTGAAGCTACAGTGCCTTAAAAGAGTCCTGACCATTACAGTTTTTACAATTAGAATTTTGATTAATGGTTTGATGTGTCTATATCACATTTTAGGGCATTGTAGCAATTTGACAGTTAAAATTACCCCATAAATTCATACCATTTGTGAAAGTAGACACCACGGGCTATGTCGTATGGTATATTTTGAGCTTTATTATACAGTTATGTTAGCACCAATTTCTTTAAAATTTTATCATATTGTTTTATTTTTGCATTTTTATACACACATGTTGTATTTTAGTGGTTAATTTTGGAAACGTGATATATGCTACTTTAAATTAAATCACTAAATTATTCTCCGCTATATTTCCTGAGTACAAAATGACCCCCTTTGTATACCTTAGCCAGGTTTTTGTGAAAAAAATACAGGGCTAAAACCATACCCAGCCCAATACAGTTTTTTTTAAATGGCAAATTGACGATGGGTCTTTGTTGCATTTTAGTCGCTCATACATTTAAATTATGCCTCCAATGCATACCATTTACAACAGTGGACACCATAGGGACTCTCACATAAAATATTATAAGCTTTATTGATGTGACATTTTGTTACCATTTTGTTTCAAAGTTTGTGGTATTTATTTTTATTTTAACATTGTTACATACACATAGTATTTTTGATGCTTATTTTTTAAATCTCGTGTGTCCCACTGTCATAAAATTATTTTAGCTGTACTCAGCAACATCTTCTCAGTACAAATATACCCCATATGTATATTTTTGGAAAGTAGCGATCTTAATCCCAATCTAAATCCCTAATCCTAAATCAAGCCCTAATTTTAAACCAAAAACTAATCCCAAATCTAACCCTCAATCTAATAATAAACCCTTACCACAATCCTAACCCATAACGTAATCCCATGTGTAACCTTAATCCTAATCTCAATCCTACCTTTAGCAATAGTGTTAAAATGATTCCCCCTGCTGGTGTCAGCAGAGGAATTCACTTACAATATTCAGCAAGGGATGCCCGTACTGACCCTAATACTAATCTGAAACATAATCCCAATACTACAATTAATTATAAACCTAATCTTAAACCTAAATTTAACAATAAACCCAATAATAAAACTGATAATAAATCTAGTACTTATTCTAAACCGAATAATAATCCTTAATTTAATCTTAATCCCAAAGTTTTCCCTCTACTAATATCAGTACTGATATTAGTAAAGGGGTTTTAAACTAAAATAGACAGTGATATGTTGCTGCCATCTACTGGCTATTTTCAGTATTGCAGTCTCCCATCTCTTACATTGAAGACATTATGCCCAATGCAATGCGATCTGTGCTGGGCAACTGAAAATGCCCAGCATTGATCAGAATGTCATTGGGGCATAGAGGGTGATCCTCCAGGGTCTCCCAAGCACCAGATAACTTGAGAGAATGACCGTAGCTGAGCTTGATTGCTCAGCTGCAGTGTTCTTTGTGGATTTAAATGGCTACATGCAGTGCTGACTTTCAGCACTGCATGAAGCTCATCAAAAAGTCTGGGGCCACTAAAAATGACCCCAGCTGACAGAGTGAGGCCCCAGGTATCTATTGATACGTAGGTTTCCTAATGTGAGCAGAGATTTAACCCTGCTCACACTACATTGCTGTCTATGGGGATTTAAATCCCCATTAAAAGAGCTGCTTGTTGACCTCACTTTGAGCTCTGCATGCAGCTCATAAAAAAAAAAAAGCCTGGGGACACTAAAAATGGCCCCAGCTGACAGAGGGGACCCCCAGGTTTCTAATGATACCTGGGTGTCCTAGTGTGAGCAGGGATCTAACCCTGCTCACACTGCATTGTGCTCTATGGGGATTTAAATCCCCATTTAAACAGCTGCATGCCGATCTGACTTTGAGCTCTGCATGCAGCTAAGCTGTCAGTCTGGGGACATTAAAAATGACCCCAGCTGACAGAGGGGAGACCCAGGTTTCTAATGATACCTGGGTTTCCTGGTGTGAGCAGGGATTTAACCCTGCTTACACCAAAATCTAGATATAGGCATTTAAATAGGAATCAAACGATACCTGGGGCTCATAGCTACCAGCAAGGCAATAGACGCTGCTGGAAAAATACTGCATGATGGAAATTTTCCGTCATGCGTCCTTAAGGGTAGGACCGGCATGACGGGAAATTTCCGTCATGCGTCCTTAAGGGGTTAAATACAGTAGAACCATGACAAATTCACAATGGTACAAACATATGTAAAGACACATTGGTTATTCGTAGCGCAGCAATAACGTCGATAAAACATTACAGTTCCTCAGTACACGTCTCTACTGTGGTGCTGTTCCGTTCGGGTTTTCAATTTATTTTATTTGTAAAATAGAATATATAGAAACTGACTGAACAAAGAAAAAGCAACTGCTGCTCCAGTGCTTTTATCCGATGATCAGTGATTATCCCATTGAGGATCACCGGCATTGAGGACCTCAACCCCACTTTATAGGCCCCAATATTGAATAAGCACCTGTCCAGACCGGTGGTCCATGCTATGGCTAAGTCTCGGCGCAACAATTGTCAAGCGCCTATGGGAGCATGGGCTAGCCTTCCATTGATAGTCAGGGACACGAGAAAAAGAGGAAAAGAAATGATCTTGATGGATCTAGAGAGAAAATAGTGAGAAAGGTAAAGGAGAGGAAAGAGGAGTGAGAGGAGATTAAGGGGGATCCCGCAAAGAAGCCATCAGGGGACTCCGCTCCTCTACCGATCGACCGGGGGCGAGACGCGTCTAGAAGTTTGTATCTTTATTATCCTATATTGCGGACCCTGACAAGTACCTCTCCCGGTAGGGGGATCTCTCCAGTCCCCCTTGTAAGGGAGACCAGGATGATTACAGTTGTGAACAGGAGATATTCCTCGAACAGTAATATTGTGGGGGGCTGAACCCGCCCCGCTCCGCTCTCAATTACCCAAATGGGAATCCATCCAAGGGCCCCATACCTTTTCAAACTTCCGCATAGTGCCCCTAACCTGAGCTGTCAGCTTGTCCATAAGTAGCGTGTCCCTGATTTTTTTTTTGTGTGACCGCTGCAATTGGGGGGGTCTTGCTTTGCAACCAAACCTGCGCCAAGGCCCTCCTGGCTGCCAAATCTATCTTATGTATAAGTTTCTGTTCCGTTCTCGACCAGTCATCCATAGACTGGGCCCAGAGGAACACCCAGGGGTCTAGTTTAATTTCCCTGTCAAACCAGAATTTCTGGGCCTCTGTACAATCCCACACATGTGTAAGTAAGTCCCCCTCTGGCCGCACCCCTTGTTGGGGTTTTGTTCATTCTATAAAGTTTCACCGGTGCAGTATACCACCAAAACAGTCTTGTAAGCTTGTTCCTGCATCGAGACACACATTGAGGATGTTGCGGCTGCCTCCCAGATTTCCTTTCACTCAATGCCCTCTAATACTTCCTTAAGATCCGCCTCCCATTGGTCTATATAAGTAAGCTCACCCCATTCCAGAGTATTGGCACTGAGGAGAGCATAAAGGCTAGATATCAGGCCTGTTGGGAAATGCTCATCTAAGCACATCCGTTCAAAAAAATGTAGGCTGCGTTAACGCAGCCTCTTTAATCACGGGGCTCAGGGCAATCTCCCGAAGTTGGAGATATCGAAAAAAGTTAGTAATTTGTTTGTAATTGCTCAAATGTAGCCAAGGATCCATTTTCAAACAGATGGCATAATCGCTGTACTCCCGTGTTTTCCAAACCTCAGAAGTCTCTTGCAGTCATCCCTGGTAGGAAGGACGCATTCCTCAAATAAGGAGCCAGCGGAGAAGGGGAGGAAGACAAACCATATTGGGATGACGTGGAATCCCAGATTTTCAAAGAATTCAGTATAGCTGGGCATTCCACATGCAAATTCGGCCTATGTTCCTTAGGAACCCACATAAAGAATTGAGGGATATCCGAGCCCAGGAGGGAAGCTTCTAGATCTACCCATTGTCTCTCTTCAGGAGGAGCGCGCCATAGCGCTACCTGGGTTAGCTGATAAAAGTAGAGGTTTGGTAACCCTAAACCTCACTTCGATTTTGTTCTGTAAAGAACATTACAGGAGCCCCTATGATTCCTTTTCTGCCAGATGAATTTCCCTATGGCCTGTTGTAGAGCCCCTAAGTCAGATTTGGTCAATCTGACCGGGAGGGGAAATTTTAGTGATTTCTAGCTACACTTTTTTCCCCCCACTTTTAAAGGTATTATTCACTTCACCTTTCCAGTGGATTTAACCCTTAATGTTAGGGTGGGCTATACCGTCCTCTAAAAGGAGGGTAACGCCGTTAGGATGGCATAGCACGCCATTGCGATCTGCACCCTTCGGCCCAGATACTTACCATTCGTAACAATTTCATTGACAACTGAGGCAGTTGCCCTGAAGCAAATCCTGCCCATCCACGCCTTGTGATTGCCATGACACATGTCACAGATGTACAGGATTTACTGTATCAGATTTGCAGTTTACATCACTGCCTAGGTTGTCAGGCAGATCCCCCAATATAACTTTAAATAAGACAAAACAATATTTGAAATATGCTGGATTTATGCTTACGGCCCTGCCTTAGCTTTTCAGTCGGGTTGAGGTCTGGAATTTGACTGGGCCATTGCAACACCTTGATTCTTTTCTTTTTCAGCCATTCTGTTGTCAATTTGCTGGTGTTGTTGGCATTCATTGTCCTGTTGCATGACACAATTTCAGCCAAGCTTTAGTAGCCTCTTGAATACTTTGGTACACAGAGGAGTTCATGGTTGACTTAATGATGGCAAGGTTACCAAGTCCTGTGGCTGCAAAACAAGCCCATATCATCACCCCTCCACCACGGTGCTTGAGAGTTGGTATGAGGTGTTTGTGCTGATAGTCAAATGAAATTTTAGATTGGAGATACCCCTAAATTGTTCTTGTAGTAGTAATACTTTTTAAGTATATAGTCCTCTTTCAAGGTTGTGGGCTGAAATGTTGCTTTGCATCTGCTTCAATAAATCTGCTCACTGGATTTAACTTGAGTGCCTGGACCATCATTAGTTGTTTGCAAATTACATTGTGAGGATTAGCCAACTTCGGATTCAGTTGCACCCTGGGATCCAGGAGTGCGTATCCATTTTGGTAACTATACAAGTAACTTAAATGGCCAAGCTAGTAACTTTGTATTTGACTTTTTGTGTCGTGACATTACTATAAATGTTTTGTTTTATTTTTTTTATTTTTTTTTCTGTTTGGTTTTTAAAGCTCTGCCTTGGGCATAAAGCTACCGTATATATTCGAGTATAAGACTAGTTTTTCAGCACATTTTTTGTCTCGTCTTATACTCGAGTCAGTGTCTGTATTATGGCAACTTACATTGCCATAATACAGACCAGGACCACCGGGCTCATTACAAGCCCGGCGGTCCTGTTGGGGTCTGGGAGCAAGCTGTTACTTACCTTTACAGCAGCTCTGTTAAGCTCCCTTCTCCTCCGTGCCGTTCAGCTCCACTGTAAGTCTCGCGAGAGCCGTGGCCGTCAGAGCTGCAAGATTTACACTGGAGCTGAATGGCACGGATGAGAAGGGAGCTGAACGGAGCTGTTGTAAAGGTAAGTAACGGCTTGCTCCCAGCCCCCCTCCTGCACAGCCCATCCACTGGACCACCAGGGAATAATATACCCCCCCCTCCCTGGCCAGCTAACAAGCAGGGAGGGGGGACGAAAAAAATAAAATAAAAATGTAAATAATATTATAATAAAAATAAAAGTTTAATATTAACAATAAACATAAAAATTTAATAATAAAAAAATAATAATAAAAATGCCCACCCCCCACCAAGGTTACACACTCTGCACTCATATGCACACACTCTGCACTCATATGCACACACTGCATTCATACACACACACACTCTGCATTCATTATATACGCACACTGTAAATAAATATTCAATTAACCCCTTAAGGACCAGCCTGTATTTGCGATGTTGTACGTTAAGGACCAGAGCGGTTTTGACACTTTTGTGGTGTTTGTGTTTAGCTGTAATTTTCCGCTCTCTCATTTACGGTTCTCATACAAGTTATATATTGTCTTTTTCAGGACGAGAAAGGCTTTCTTTACATACAATTATTTGTATCATGTCAAATATTTTATTTAAAAAAATAAAAAAAAATGGTGAAAAATTGAAAAAAAAACATGTTTTTGGACTTTTACTTGAAAATCTTTTACTTATCTACAAAAGCTAATGAAAAAAATTGCTAACTAGATTCAAAATTTTGTCCCGAGTTTAAAAACAGTGTTTACATGCTTTATTGCTTTTTTTTTTTTTGCAAGTTATAGGCCTATAAATACAAGTAGGAAATATATATATATATATAATATTTTAAATTTATCAATAGTGACATTGTAAGTTTTCCCAGTTTTTTGGGGTAAAATTAGGGGCCTCGACTTATATTCGGGTCGCCTTATACTCGAGTATATACGGTACATTTTACTTCATTTATACAGTGAATTGTGCAATTGTGTAGGAAAAGGCTTGAAATTCGTTTAAATTAATATTTATGATTTAAGTAAAATGGAAAATGTTTTATGGAAACAATATGTTAAAAGTTCTCCAAACCGATATTACAGACCGCTGATTCTTCTTTTAGAAGACCATAACGCCACAATAGCCTTAATCTGTTGTTAATCTGATATCTCTTTGGTGCTTTATGAAATTTGTGTATCTCTCTTTAAAGGAACACTATAGTTTCAGGAACACAAACCTGTATTCCTGACCCTGTAGTATTAAAACCACCATCTAGCCCACCTGGCCCTCCATTGCCTCCATAAATATAGTAACATCTTACTCGTATTCAAGTCTGAAGCTGCTGGCTCTGCTTCTGAAACTGCCTGTGTCTGCTGACATCATCAGAAGTGGTGGTCTGAGCCAATCACAATGCTTCCCCATAGGATTGTCGGAGACTGTCAAGGAGGTAGATCAGGGGCACAGCCCTGGCCAATATATATACGCCCTGAGATGAATTGAATCAATACATCTCTATGAGGAAAGTTCAGTGTCTGCATGCAGAGGGTGGAGACACTGAATGGCCAAAGAAGCACCTCTAGCAGCCATCTGAGGAGTGGCCAGTGGAGTTATCACTAGGCTGTAATCTAAACACTGCGTTTTCTCTGAAAAGGGAACAATTCTACTCACCAGAACAAATACAATAAGCTGTAGTTGTTCTGGTGACTGTAGTGTCCCTTTAAGGACACAGGCTGATCCCTAAAGACTTTATGCTCAATTGGAATGTTCTGCTTGTTTGGCATTTGCAGCACTAAACAGTCTTGTGCATTTAGTACCTCAGTGAAGTGGTGTGGGTGGCATTGTTCCCTCCCCTACCCCTGTTTTAATATTGTAAGTGAATGTTTGTTTAATGCATATTTATGTCATTGGTCCTTAATGGGGCACCTTTACTTATTTAAATACATTTTTTTTTTCTTCAGTGGGATCCCATGATCACTACCCTTCCTGGCTTATATCTGGCATCTGTGGGTATCGTTAAACCGGTTGCTTGGATTTTTGGATGGAATGAAACCGTGGTCTGTTCTCCTGGAATGCTCCGTTTTGTAAACCTTCTCTTCAGTCTCGGAAATCTGTACCTGGTTTATTTGATCTTTTGCCAGGTTCACTTCAAACACAAGGTATGTTTGCTAATCGTAGAAAAACAAACAAAAAAAAAACATGCACATACTAATAATCTATTGCCAACAAATACAGAGTGCAGCAACCAATCAACCAACATTATGTAAACCAGATGATGTGAATTATTGCACAAACCATGATTCTAAAAAGTGAAAGGGAAAGGCACAGAATACAAATAAAAGTGTTAGAAACACAAGAATAAAAAGTGCTAAAACCAAGGACAGGTAGTCATGCCAAATGGTAGAGGGAGCAAAAGTACAAAGAAATTAGATACACAGTAGATAAAAAAACACAATTTTGAATGGGTAGCTCTTAAACTGGAAAGAGGGTCACCAATCCTCTATAAGTCAATAAGTATACAAATATCCCTTATATTAATAAGATGTGAAGGTTCCAGGAGCTATAGTAAATCACAATAGTAGCAGACTAAAAAAATAGAAATAAAATAAACTAAGATGTAGCTCAAGTTAATGCGCTTTAAAAAAAATATAATAAGTATAATAGTCCAAATGTCCAAAATTATTCACATAAGATTATAACTTTTAGATAGAAGAGTTCACATAAAAAATCCAAAAAAGGAAGTCCACAGAATGTAGCATATGGATAGACACACTAAGCTGTGAATATAGACATAAATATATCCCTATCCCTATGTCAGTATTATATATTTTCCAGAAAGCAGTAAATATAATACAAAGGAAATCAAAAAAGAAAAAGGAAAAAAACTAAAATGAAAGGACAGCACAGTACTATATCAACTGTGCGCCGGAAAAAACACGAGTTAATGAAAAGAGGGAGAAGTGCTTCTTAAAAAAAATTCCAAACCGCTTTAATAAGTCAGTAGATAAAATCTAAATTGATCCATAAACAAACTGTAGAAAAATGATACCAACGGTAGCTCTAGATAGTCTGCATTTGGTGGCTATGGTGGTTGTCGTGATGGATGGGAGCTGCAATCCTTGCTGTGTGTGGTCCTCCGGTGAGGTTGGTGTGCGTTCCACACGAAGCCTCACTCCAGGGTGTGCTTCCACCAATCTCCGGATGATCTTTGGTATCTCTCCATGATTCTAATAAATTCTTACAAGTTCAAGTACAATCTCTACTTGTGTCTATTAGAGAAAGCACATGTAAAGAAATTCACTTAGTGTACATTGATTGCACACTATCAGGGTTCTTCACGAAAAATATCAAATTTGCAGAGCATAGCGCCTCATTACTGCCTGTATTTAAACGGAGTGGTGTTCTATCTCCACCTGGGTACACATCAATGGGACTCACTATCCATCATGTATGGCTCCCCACACTCTATCCGAAACAGGCTGGGGAGCTGCCCATTTGGCAACGCTAATAATAAAAAAAAAAAAAAAAAAAAAAAAAAAAAAAAAAAAAAAAAAAAAAAAGTGCTTCAAATGATGAATTCTCCTATGTCCCAAAGCATTATGGTAAAGGGATTGTATCCATAAATGTGCACAAAGAGTGATTATTATAATAATAATAAAAAAAAGCATAGTTAGATGTTTACAGGTTTTTCATATGGGGTATATCTACTAAACAGTGATTTATTTTTTTAGTTTATTTTTTTAATTTGGGCAATTGAGTTCCACTTTAATCAGCTTTTTTTTTTTATTGTGCTATTCATTTTATGCAAACATATTTAATTGTAAAATTTTAATTTCAGCTTTTCTTTTTCCTTTTAGGTTTCAAGTTTCAGGAAAATCTTGTCCGCCCTCAATTTGTACTTATTTCCAACACTTTATTTTTTTACCTTCCTTTATTATACAGACTCTGGATCTACATTTTTTGTTCTTTTCACTTACTTAATGTGCCTTTATGGGAACCATAAGAGTGCCGCCCTTTTAGGGTTCTGCGCCTTCTGTTTTCGGCAAACAAACATCATATGGATCATTTTCTGTGCTGGAAACGTCATTGCAGATGAGCTGACAAAAGCACGGAACATTCACATGAAGAAGAAAGATGAAAAACCAGTGGAAAAAGGAACAATTTCTGAAATTGCTGATATTATAATATTTATTCTTCGTTACATGTTATCCTTTAAGAATGTGTTAACTCTTCTTGTGTTAACGTGGCCATATGTTATTTTAGTTATTGCATTCTTGGGTTTTCTTGTTGTTAATGGTGGAATAGTTGTAGGAGACAAAAGCAACCATGAAGTCTGTTTTCACTTTCCCCAGTTGTTCTACTTCTTCGCTTTTACGCTTGTCTTTTCATTTCCTCAGCTGATTTCTTTACAGAAGAAAAAAGATTTCATTAAGGCGTTAAAAAGACATTGTTGCTTATACATAGCAATAACCTGTATATCTTTATTTCTTATTTGGAAATTTACATATGTACATCAATATTTGATTGCAGATAATCGCCACTACACGTTCTACATCTGGAAGAAAATATTCCAGAGACATGAACTAGTGAAATATATTTTAGTGCCGGGCTATATATATGCTGCTTGGAGCTTTGCCGATGCTCTGAAGAGCAAGTCCATTTTATGGCTCTTGATGTTTTTTACCTGTATACTGGGTGCCACTGTTCCTCAAAAATTAATGGAGTTCCGTTACTTTATCCTACCATACCTCATCTTCAGGCTCAACATACCCATCCCTTCTGTAACCAAACTTCTTCTGGAGTTGGCTCTATACATCTCTGTGAACTTAGTAACCTTCCATCTGTTCTTAAATAAGCCTTTTTATTGGCCTGATCACGAGGAAACCCAGAGATTTATGTGGTAAGCTGATGACTCACTTTTGTTGCTGCCCTGGCACCAAAACTGTTTATTTTGACTCGAACAACTCTTCAGGGTTTGCACCAGGCCTGACCAAATAGACAATTCATATTACTGAGTTTTGAAATGTAGAATTATGCACTTGTGGTTTCGGAATCAAAATTGGCCAATTGGTTGCTTTACTACACTTGTCGGATCATAACTGGGAGTCTACAGATTGTTCATCCTTTAAACATTGCATAGTGATTATTATGAATCACATGGATAATCAGACTGACATTCTTTGGGTTGGTAATCCACACGTTGTTTGGAAGAGGATTGCATTTCAAGATCTGGAATTCTCAGGTATTTGCCCTGTGATTAAAGAGGCACTCCACACACCGTAAGCACTAAAGACCCCTTGTTCACCATTTTGCTATTACAGAAGATACACTTTTGCATTAGATATATCAGGTCTATCTGTGTTTGTACAACATTTATTTCCTTGGTGAGTTGATACAATCAGCTGATAAATGCCACTTGGATACAATTGATATTGTTAATGCAGAAGTGTAACTTCCACAGTAGCCATATTGCTTGAGAAGAAGAGCCATGTGCATCCAGGGGCCCCTCTGTTGGAGTTCATCCACTTCTTCACTGGTTTGACACAGAACTAAAGGATGGTACCCGCTATAGTGCTTATGATGCTTGGATTGCCCCTTTGAATTTAGGTTTTCAAATTGGGCACAGATTAAACGTGACTGTTTCATAAAGTTGTGTGAGATGGTGGTTTGTGATTTATTTGTCCCCCCCTCCACACTCCCCTCTCCCCTTCTTCCAGTAAGTAGCTTACTATTACGCACAGTAACGTTCATGTAACAAAAAATATTTTTGACACAGAATTCTAATATGTTTAAATATAGATTGTTTTGCAAAGGTGTAGTATTTTTGTTAAATTAGAGAAATCGGTCTTCATTCTTTTTTATTGAACACAAAATAATGTATGTAATATAGCTTTGTGTATTATTTTGTAATGAATACATATAAATGAATATCCCTGTTAAGTGAATCTCTTAGCTTATTCTCGCTCTGTTAGGTGGCCATTATTAGCCCTGCACTGTTGAGGTGCTCTGTGTTTGTACATGATGGCAGAATTTGAACTCTTGATTATGAATTATAAAAAAAATACACTTAGAGGCTACAACAGTATGATGCATTATTTAGGTGTTGTTTTTTTAATTAAAAAAAATAAAAATTACAGTTGAAGACCAGATCCTTTTAGTTTTATAATGCAAGATTAATATTGAGACATTTGGGGATTCTTGTTTATATTATTGTTTCTTAAAACTGTCTAAAAAAAAAAAAAAAAAATCCTTTTCAGGTAGGTATATATTAAATCTAATTACTGTCCTGATGAAATCAGTGTATAAAAAAAATATATATATATTTACCAGAGGTACCTCATCCTTCCAAAAGTCTTAACATATTAAATCTAGAGGTTTTTACGTGTCTTTTGTATATGCATACATATACATAATGTGTACATTGTCTAAATATTTGAGGGGACATAGCTTCTAGATAAATCACTGCTGGAATTGATTGTTTAAAATAACAAATATGTATTTGCGAGTAATAAAAAATAAAGTTTAAAGGCTTTCTCCAACCAAAAAACAGTGTTTTTATTAAAACATTGTTTTTGTTAGAGTAACTTTTCATATCCTGGTCCCCTTCCTCATTCTAAAATAAAAGATAGCATCTGCCCCAGGGCTAAGTTCTAATTGCAGCCCGATCTTCCTTGATTTGACATCACTTCCTAGGTTAGGGGAAGACATTGACGACACATAACAGGTTATGTCCCGCCACCGTGCTGGTTAGATGCTAACTTTGAACCAAACTCACAATATCCAACCTGGAACAGTGTTGACTAATGATGCCCAAATGGTGGGGTTACACCTCTGGCAGCAGAGGGGTTAAACTCTCTATGTGCAACAGTTTTATAACTCCAGGCACCATGACTACTTGAAATTACTATAGGGTTACATGAAGCACCATGAGCAATTAAGTGATTTAATTGGTCATGGTGCTTGGATTCTGTATGTGCAGTGTTTTAGCTTGAAACATTTCAAATCTAAAGTTTTAACTCCTAACACCTCCAGCAGCATTATTAACTAGCCAGGAACGAGTGCTAGTTAAATCTGTGTATATTTGTGTCTGTCAGCATGTATTGCACAGCCTCCCGTCAGACCCATTAAGCTTGCTGTTGTGGTTATGTGCCTGTAGTACCCTGGTACACCACCACCTTCAGAACAGTTTGACAACTTACATGGGGTCCACTGCAGCCACAAGCTCCTGCACTGAGTTAAGCCAACAATGTAGCCAGGTGCTCATTGGCTGCAAAGTTTAGTTCAGTTGACCTAATGGAAGCTTGTTACAGGAGCTTCCAGCTCCAGAGGATGTGGTAGTGGGTGCCATGCGGGTTTTCATTGCAGTGTTACCACACCACTAGTGGCTGTTTTCCTGACAGCCACAAGAGGTGCTACAGCTGCAGTAACAAATGCAAACTTAATTATTCAATCAAATGCTTCTCATAATGAGTAGTTGAATGGTGCATTGAGGCATTTTGCTGTGTCTGCAACTAGCTTTCCAATGCCTAGACTGATAAGGAGGCCATGTGGCAATGGCAAGACCAGTGCACTGCGGGATATAATTTAAGTAAAACTTTTTTTTTTTTTAATCTAAATAGGTAGGGTAAAACTATAGCATTAGTGAAACGTGTTTGCATTCCTAACAGTGTTTTAATGCCTACCTTTATTGCAGTTTGTGGGTTTTCTTTCTTTATTAGCAATAATGAATGGATATACTGTTCAGTTAATATCTTTAAGAAAAAGCATGATATGCTTCCTTTCTTAGTATTCTCATGGTGTTTTCTGTTTCTGAAAAGATCAAGTGTATAGTGTGTAGATCCTACTTTGGAAATATATAACAGCTACTGGTATATACTTTAAAATGGCCAATTGATGGCAGTATTTAGCTTGGTTTGTGCTTTGTTAACTTCAATTACATTGTGTGGTATAAACATGTATTTGTCACTTCCCAACAGATGGAAAAAATTGATTCTATTTTTTTTGTTACTTTGAACTAATGTACAGACATTTTTTTTTTTTTTTTTTTAAATAAAATATTTTTTTGCATTAATTAACATGAGTTTATTGCTGGAATTATTCCTTTAATTATTTCATGCACATTCTTTCTAACGCTCAGAGATGACGGAGTTTAATTCTGGAGAAGTCCCTGCCTTGCCCCATTGTTTTCATTGTCCACCCCTGCCAGTCTGATCTGTAATCTGTTTGGTGAATGCTTAACAGCCTTCTGTAAAGTGTGCAGTCACATCTGCCTGCTTGTTTGACATCCTGGGTTCTATTATAATACGTAAATAACGCTTGAAGGAAAGGTTTAATTTTCCAAAAAAACATAAGCAAAGCGATTTCTGTCAGACTGCCATGTTCATGACGGAGCACACAGATTGGACACGGGAGGAAAGTAATTGCATATGTAATATGGTATGAATACAGAGTACTGATTTTGCGGGCATTAGCGCTGCTTATTTTTGAGTTAGTGCTTGCGTTGCATGTTGATTGAATCCTCTCACCGTAAAGGGCATTAAGATGTAAAGCAATCTGAAGTGAGTGAAATGTTGTCTAGTTTTGGGAGATGAGCTGACAAGAGCACTGAATAAAATGTCAAATGCGTTGTTTCATTTAACACTACTCTTCCTTTGTGAAAAGAAAGGCCAGACTGCGTATTGGAATGGTACTGTGCGTTAAAAATCGATATTAAAAGTTTGTTTTGATACGGAAAAGTCCATGCAGATTATACCTCATTTGAAGTTCACCTTTTACAGTTTATATTGAGACAGATTTTACTGGAAATTTCCTCTACCCCTAGTATATAATTTTTGACACCGTCAAAGTATATATGAATGTTTTCTTATTTTTATAAATCCCAAAGCATAAAAGATGGATCACCTTGTTAAAGAAGTGTACATACAGTTTCATATAAACTAGATTCTGATTTGCAAAAGCCACAATTATGTTTCACTACTTAGTGATGGTGAGTCATGTGATGGAGAATGCATATACCATTTTTAAGAATATTTAATTTTCATCTTTATTTCCATGGCCATCTCCGAAAGAGAACATGTACTCTGTATGCCAGTGGTTCTTAGCAGGGCCCATATTTTGGCACTTTAATGTCAAGCAATAGGGACCAAATAAAATGCCCATGTGGGCCAAACCTAAAGCTTTAAAAAGCACAAGCGCTTAGTAGATCGGTCCCATAGTAAATTCTAATGGGTTCTAATACAGATATATTAGCAATATTGTGCAGAGCTCTATATCTGTACACACTAACCCAGTATTGTGCAAGATTATATATATATATATATATATATATATATATATATATAAAAACACAAAAAACAAAAACAAAGGGTATCCCTGCACTCAAGCTATAATTTTCCAAAATACCGGGTGCCAGCCAGGGCCCAATAGTATCCAAGCAAAAAGCAAAAGTATAGCTGCACTCACGGATTGTAGTTTAAAATCTTGAATGCTTTATTGTTCCATATTAAAAAGATCAACGTTTCCGTCCCTCTAGGGGACTTTCCTCAGGATCAAGACATGCTATATATAGTATTAGATAGGAATAAACCAATAAACATAAATAAACATGTATAAAATAATAAAAATTTATTATGTTTTAAAACACGGGCATTCCTAACTATTGCTATAAATAGCTGCTAACACAGTAAAAATAAGTGATGATGCGTTCCAATAATCACTAGATGATGCAACAGAGTCAGTGATATAAAGAGAGTAAAGTTTTCCTGTGGAATATATTACCACTCCTTCACAGGCAGCAAGACCCGTATGGCAATTGGAGGCTTAACCGCTGGATAATATCCTTAAGAAGGTGATGATTAGCCTTATCTCCACTTCTACGCGTTTCACCTGATCGCAGGCTTTTTCAAGATCGAAAAAAGCCTGCGGAGATCAGGTGAAACGCGTAGAAGTGGAGATAAGGCTAATTGCAACATTGTTTCAGAGATTTATCTGCAGTGCTTACTAAAGCCATCTGTTTGCTCTAAGAAACTCACTGCCTGGGATTCTGGCATTTAAAGTCCATCTGCTACAAAAGTATCTATCTGGACACAAGAACAAGCTTTTAAATCATCACCTTCATAAGGATATTATCCAGCGGTTAAGCCTCCAATTGCCATCCGGGTCTTGCTGCCTGTGAAGGAGTGGTAATATATTCCACAGGAACACTTTACTTTCTTTATATCACTGACTCTGTTGCATCATCTAGTGATTATTGGAACTCACCATCACTTATATTTACTGCTAGCAGCTATTTATAGCAATAGTTAGGATTACCCGTGTTTTAAAAACATAATAAATTTTGATTATTTTATACCATTTATGTTTATTGGTATATTCCTATCTAATACTATATATATATGTCTTGCACACCACTGGGGAAGTGTGTATAGATATATAGGCTCTGCACAATATTGCTAATATATCTGTATTAGAACCCATTAGAGTTTACTATGGGACCGATCCAGGGCCGGCGCATCCTATAGGCGACTTAGGCAGTTGCCTAGGGTGCACCGGCCCAGAGGGCGCTAGATTTAGATAACCGACAGGAGGGAAGCGCATAGCGCTCCCTCCTGCCGCTCACTCAATGTAGCGTGGCGGAGCGGCCCGCTGGACAGGAACTTCTGTTTCTTGTACCTGGCCACCAAGGGGGGGGAGGGGTTGAAGGGAAGGATCACGGGAGGGGGGGAGGGGAAAGGACCACTAAGGGGGAGGAGAGAAAGGACCACTAAGGGGATGGGGGAGGAAGGGGAAAGGACTACTAAGGGAGTTGGTGGAAAAGGATCACTAAGGGGGTTGGGGGAGGAAGGGAAAAGGACCACTAAGTGGGTTGGGGTAGGAAGGGGAAGGAACACTAAGGGGGTGGGGAGAGGGGGGAGATGGAGGACCACTAAGGGGGTGGGAGGAGAGGGAGGATCACCAAGGGGGACCTGCAGAGGGACAGGGGCCAAGGGAGAGCACTAAGGGACAGGAGGGAAGGGGAGATCACTAACTGACAGGAGGGGAGAGCAGGGAGAGCACTATAAAAAAAATTAAAGAGTTGTTCCCCTCTCAGTCCCTATCCTACCCCACAAACCCACTCTTTTACACTACATACAATGCATCCCTACTCACACACAGACACCCCGAAACACACAATGCATCCCTTACGTGCACACACACACTGATTCTCTTACACACACTGCATTAAATTACATACACAGAAACACACCTTGCATCGCTTACACGCACACACACACACACACAGAAACATGTAATGCATTCCTTACACACACACACACACACACACTGCATCCCTTACACAAATTGGGATCCCTATACACTACATTCCATAAGAACACATACACATTACATCCTCTAAAATAACAAATAACACATCCCCCACACACATACACTCCACTCCCTGTGAGAGAATTCATGGGTGGGCCTTGTAGGCATACTCATGGTGAGGCCCTGGGGGCCCAGACCTTGAGCTGTGTAAAGGGCCCCAAAAATGGAGCTGCTTCCTGTTCGTTAATAGTTGTGAGCACTGTTACAAACAGTCTCCAGAGAGCCTCTTCTACACCAGACCTGTGGAGCCAGACTGCAGTCTGAGCCCATCATCATCCTCTTGTCCTCATCTGGTGGTAAGTAGGCAATCTAGTATATTATTAGTGGCACTAATCTCTAATTTACCTCACATTAAAGGGCCACTATAGTCACCAGAAGCACTACAGCTTAATGTAGTGGTTCTGGTGTCTATAGCCTGTGCTTGCAGGGTTTTTAATGTAAACACACTACCTTTTCAGATAAAATTATTATTATGTTATTATTTATATAGCGCCATCAAAATCCACTGCGCTTTACAATGGGTGGACGAACAGACATGTCGTTTTAACCAGACAAGTTGGACACACAGGAACAGAGGGGTTGAGGACCCTGCTCATTGAGCTTACATGCTAGAGGGAGTGGGGTAAAATGACACAAAAAGGTAAGGATAGTATTAGACTAGTGACAGTTGCAAAAGAGGAATCAGTCGGGAGCTATTAACAGTTTAATTGATACGCTTTTATGAAGAAGTGGGTTTTTAATGATTTTTTTAAGGAGTGGAGACTGGGTGAGCATCTAACGGAGAAGGGAAACGAGTTCCACAGGAACGGTGCAGCCCTCGAGAAATCTTGAAGGCGAACATCAGAGGTGGGAGTACGGACAGAAGATAGACGTAAGTCTACAGCAGATTCTAAGGGCCTAGACGAGACATACTTGTGTATTAGGGAGGATAGATAGGTGGGAGCAGCATTATGTAGAGATTTTAAAGCAAGAACCAGAATTTTTAATTGAGCCCTATATCTTACAGGTAGCCAATGTAGGGACTGACAGAAGGGTGAGGTGTGGGAGGTGCGGGCGGACAGGAAGATGAGCCTTGCCGCCGCCTTCATTATGGAGTATAACGGTGCAAGTTGGGAGCACGTAAGACCACTGAGAAGTGGATTACAGTAGTCAAGGCCAGAAAGGACAGTGGAATGAACCTTAGTCGCATCTAGCGTTAAGTAGGGGCGGATGCGCGCAATGTTTTTGAGATGGAAACAACAGGATTTGGCGATAGACTGAAGATGAGGCTTGAAGGGAGAGATCAGGAGAGGACAGGTAGATTTGTGTGTCATCTGCATAGAAATGATATTGGAAGCCAAAGGAGCTAATGAGCTTACCAAGGGAGGCAGTATAGATGGAGAACAGTAGGGGACAAAGGACTGAACCCTGGGGGACACCAACAGAGAGGAGTTGGGGAGAAGAAGCAGAGCCAGAGAAAGAAAAACTGAAAGAGTGCTGTGAGAGGTAGGAGGAGCACCAGGAGAGAGCAATATCTTGTAGACCGATATTGCGGAGGATGAGAAGAACCTGTTGATGATCAACAGTGTCAAAAGCCGCAGACAGGTCAAGGAGAATTAGGATAAAATAGTGACCATGAGATTTTGCAGCGAGTAGATAATTGGATACTACACTTTGTGCATAACTGGCGTTGGCCCATATGGCAGAGCGTATGGGCGGGGCATTGTA